CTTCTCACCACCACCACGATCAGTTCGCGCCTGGCGCCTGGTCGATGCATGGCTGGCGGTATCCGGCATAGCAGGCTGGTACATCAAGTAGCGCATGGCACATAGATGATGACACAGCAACGACATAGCTCGATTGCGACGTATCTACGTTTCGTCCCCGCTTGACTCATCAGGCAATCTTCTTCTTGGATGTCTTCATACGGAGCTTGACTCGGGAGAATGAAGTTGAAGACACCACTGCAGCTGTACTTATGGTTGATAAATATGGTGGTAAAGACACACCTGGCAATATGGCGGTAAACACACGCCTGCCCACACACGCTCTCTAGGCTGCAAAAGTTCTGGCACAGAGCTCTCCTTCTCACCACCACCACGATCAGTTCGCGCCTGGCGCCTGGTCGATGCATGGCTGGCGGTATCCGGCATAGCAGGCTGGTACATCAAGTAGCGCATGGCACATAGATGATGACCCAGCAACGACATAGATCGATTGCGACGTACGTTTCGTCCCCGCTGGACTCATCAGGCAATCTTCTTCTTGGATGTCTTCATACGGAGCTTGACTCGGGAGAATGAAGTTGAAGACACCACTGCAGCTGTACTTATGGTTGATAAATATGGTGGTAAAGACACACCTGGCAATATGGCGGTAAACACACGCCTGCCCACACACGCTCTCTAGGCTGCAAAAGTTCTGGCACAGAGCTCTCCTTCTCACCACCACCACGATCAGTTCGCGCCTGGCGCCTGGTCGATGCATGGCTGGCGGTATCCGGCATAGCAGGCTGGTACATCAAGTAGCGCATGGCACATAGATGATGACACAGCAACGACATAGCTCGATTGCGACGTATCTACGTTTCGTCCCCGCTGGACTCATCAGGCAATCTTCTTCTTGGATGTCTTCAAACGGAGCTTGACTCGGGAGAATGAAGTTGAAGACACCACTGCAGCTGTACTTATGGTTGATAAATATGGTGGTAAAGACACACCTGGCAATATGGCGGTAAACACACGCCTGCCCACACACGCTCTCTAGGCTGCAAAAGTTCTGGCACAGAGCTCTCCTTCTCACCACCCGTGACCACGATCAGTTCGCGCCTGGCGCCTAGTCGATGCATGGCTGGCGGTATCCGGCATAGCAGGCTGGTACATCAAGTAGCGCATGGCACATAGATGATGACACAGCAACGACATAGCTCGATTGCAACGTATCTACGTTTCGTCCCCGCTGGACTCATCAGGCAATTTTCTTCTTGGATGTCTTCATACGGAGCTTGACTCGGGAGAATGAAGTTGAAGACACCACTGCAGCTGTACTTATGGTTGATAAATATGGTGGTAAAGACACACCTGGCAATACGGCGGTAAACACACGCCTGCCCACACACGCTCTCTAGGCTGCAAAAGTTCTGGCACAGAGCTCTCCTTCTCACCACCACCACGATCAGTTCGCGCCTGGCGCCTGGTCGATGCATGGCTGGCGGTATCCGGCATAGCAGGCTGGTACATCAAGTAGCGCATGGCACATAGATGATGACACAGCAACGACATAGCTCGATTGCAACGTATCTACGTTTCGTCCCCGCTGGACTCATCAGGCAATCTTCTTCTTGGATGTCTTCATACGGAGCTTGACTCGGGAGAATGAAGTTGAAGACACCACCGCAGCTGTACTTATGGTTGATAAATATGGTGGTAAAGACACACCTGGCAATATGGCGTCTATGTGCCATGCGCTACTTGATGTACCAGCCTGCTATGCCGGATACCGCCAGCCATGCATCGACCAGGCGCCAGGCGCGAACTGATCGTGGTGGTGGTGAGAAGGAGAGCTCTGTGCCAGAACTTTTGCAGCCTAGAGAGCGTGTGTGGGCAGGCGTGTGTTTACGGCCATATTGCCAGGTGTGTCTTTACCACCATATTTATCAATCTTGGAATGTCTAACAGTATATCATTTTTGAAGGAACCACAATTATGGAAACATAAAATACAATCGGAGTGAGAACAGAAAGAAAAAACAATAATAATAATAATAATAATAATAGTTACAGTTCGCATGTCACTCATGGAAGGATCCATGGGCTTAACGCATCTGTCAACGAAATCCAGGCAGAAGAGCCGACAAAAGGCATCTCATTATTGTTAGAACGTATCGCAGTAAGAACAACTACGCAAGCGCAGCACATTTTCCACAAGCATCAGCCATTCTTTCTTGTCTAGAGCCAGTTCAAAACAGTCAGAAATATCAATATTGGCGTGCTTTAGATCACTTTTAATATTGTCAATCCATCTGAGTAATAATAATAATAAAACAGGTCGCGTAATGAAGCAGCATAACGATAGATGTGCAAAGTCATGATGCCTGGTCCGCTTCTGTCCTGGGTTCACTACCCCGTGCGTTGCAGCTGCGAGCAAAACCAGCTCAGGCTGAGAGTTCCCTCCATGATTGCTTGTCCAAAGCGCGCATTCTGAGCCCACTCAGATCAGTCATGGTCTTCAGTGGCATGTCTCTGGCAGCTGTGCTTGCCTTGACTGCCGTGGCCAGGTTCGATTTCGGGCGTCCACGCACACCGGTGACATCTCGACGGAAGTAGTTGTCCATTGCCTGCTGTGGCGGGGCATCTGAGGGCATCCTCAGAACATGACCCAACATCCGGAAACGGCGGACAGCAACGGTGTGCGAAAGTGGCTGTGTGTGTGCTCTGGAATATAGGTCTTTGTTGGAGATGATGGCGGGATACCTAATTCCGAACAAGTTCCGTAGTTGACGTCTATGGAAGGCGTTCAGCTTCTCCAGTGCAGCCTCTGTCAGTCCCCAGGTTTCGCAGTTGTATAACAGTGTTGGTAGGACGATGGCATTGTAGAGACGAAGCCTGGTTTCCTCGGATACAAGTTGACGTCGTATCCAGAGCGAATACATGCGGCCATACGATGTTGATGCTTGGTCCATTCGTCGGCTCAAGTCCTCCTCTTCCCCCAAGAGAGAGCCAAGTTGCTTCGATCTTCGCCATTCGGTGGTGGAGGCAGAGATGTGAAGCCACTCTGTTTTGCTGCTGTTAACGTTGAGTGACCAGTCACCCAGGCCGTCAGCTATCACGGGTAGGGAGTTGGCAAGCCATTGTCGCTCAGTCGAATAGAAGGAAATGTCATCGGCATATCCTGTTTCCTGTGGTATTGCTGCATCAGTGTCTGGCCGTGGTGGTGGTGGTGGTAAGAAAAAACAAACAAAACAAAATTTAATAAAGGCAAGCCAACGAGTCATGGTGGTGAGTCTCCGACCTGTGGTCTGGGCGTCACCATGGTCACCGCGAGCTTGCGCACTATGAGAGTTTATACTATCCTGTCCTCTTCCTATCGAATAGGAAGAGGACAGGGGAGAACAGAATGGAGGGATTATGGTGATAACCTGAGAGAAGACTGAATAGAGAGGGGACTATTGTAGGCTCACGACTCGTTGCTAAACAAATCCTACTAGCATAGGACATCCACCACCAAACCTCCCCATCACACCTGCAACAACCACATCTTGCACCACAACGTCAACACCAACCATACACCCTTCGACAGACAAGAACCTACTCCATCGAACACGCACGCACAAACAGGCACAGAGATTCCCCCATCAACAGTGCCCTCGCCCTCTACATACTCACTCCCTATCGACATCACAACCCAACCTCGTAGAAATTCTTCCCGAAACAATGCATCCAGTCTTCTTTTGAGCAGTACCTGTTTATGCTCCGCGCACCCCCCCCCCCCCCCTGGTTTCTGATATTTCGAACGTGTGTATCTCGATCGCCCCTGCTAACGTTATTGCCCCCGCTTGTTTTTCATGATCCATTGCTTCTTGCCTCCCCAGGATATTTCCATCTAGCTGTTTCTGGCTAGTATCACTATCAGTTCTATCACACTTATCAATCGTCCTTATTGGCGTCACGCCATCGATTCGTGGAATAAAAGAATAATAATAAAAAGGTGGGGATGTGTGGAGAATAGGATGAGAGGGCAGAAGATGTATGGATGATCCGGGGTGGAGCACAGGTGCATAGAAATACTAGAACTTAGACATGGTCTACAATAGCTATTGGCGTATAATGCTCGAAGTATGGGCAGATTCTGCTCGAAAAAACAGTGAAATTGGCAGAACCATACAAGCCTAACAAAGCATTTTGGCCGGACTCGCTCCGTTTTGCAGTTCGTGAATGGCGCTTTGGTGCTGACAGCACAGCTCCAGCACTCACATAATGCCACACACCACCTACCGGTATTCACAGCCCCTGAACCCGCATGCTCCTGTGTTCACCCCTTCGTCTCCAAATCCTCCAACCCCAGCATTCGACGGAACTCGGGCCACAGGTCGCGCCCCACGGCCACCACCAAGGCCAGGGCCACACGGATTCGCTGTGCTCTCCATGATTTTCAACGAAATCCAAGTAAAATAAAGCTAAACAAACAAACAAACAAATCCACAGATTGTCCCCACATGGATCCGCTGTGCTCTTCATGATTTTCAACGAAATCCACAGATTGCACTCGCAGATTGCGCCCCACATGAATTCGCTGTGCTCTTCAGGTTTTGAGAGAAATCTTCAAATTGCACGAACCACACCCTGGAATTTTTCACCATACATAGTACGATGATACTTGGGTATGCTCCCTGAAGTCTCGCAGAAGCTCAGGTACGCGGTTTTACCGTGCCTGGTCTGTGCAATCTGGAATTCTCAGATTGCGCGGAACACCCACACTGCCCACACTGGGCCACAGGCGCTAGGCGCTAGGCACAGACGTTTTCTGGCATGTATTTCGGCTTTGAAAGCAGTAGTTTCACGAGTTTTATGATTTCATCGCGGACCACATACTCGACCCGGCGCTACTATGCTGCTGCTAGCGTCCAGTCTTTAGCAGGGCTCAGTACAACTACATGACCAAGTGAAGTGGCAGGTCATGTGCCTCCTGTCTTGTGTTTCCTGGCTTGTAGTTGTATTGACTATTGTATGTCGGTTGGCGAGCTCATATCCACCCTGTACTGTATATCAACGTGACGTACTTCCGTTGCCGCTCTTCAGGAACGGCAGCAGGCCATGCTTTGCGGATTTATCGACAATCTTGAGCTGGACAAAGAAGTGAGTTCGTGAGTGAGCTCTGCGGGAGTGCGCTTGCACGTGAGGAGGAAGACAGCTCGTGGCATTCCCACACGTACACGCGCAGCTTGTAAGGAGATAGAAATGCTAAAGTCGAGCCTCGCAGTCTTGCAGTAGCCTTCTTGTTCTAAGCTAACGTTACTTGCAGGGAGCTAACGCTGGTGTGCGATACCATACTTCAGAAGTCAGTTGCACCCGAGCAGCATATTCTTTTCCGCAATAGATAGAATTCCTTAGTGTGTCCAGCAGTTCCAACACACGGGCAGACATGGAGAGAATCGCCTCGAGAGGCGCGGGGAGTGCCAGCAGCAAGCGCTCTTCCAGAACTAACCCGGCACTGGATATCGTGACGGACCTGCCCGATGAAGGCAGCGGCATGGTCGTCCACCAGCCAATGCCAATGGTCATGGCCAATCCGCTCTACTTCGACACCCAGCTGCCTGCATCGCGATTGGCCTGGACTAACCAGATGGAACCTAGATGCACAAGCTCCGGTTGTGTGTGGCCAGGAAAGGCACCGCTAGCAGTGGCAACGGAAGCGCCGCTAGTAGCAGCAACGGAGGCATCGCCAGTAGTAGCAGAGCGGCCACTGCCTTCAGCGGAGGCGCCGCCAGCAGGGGAGACGCCGCCAGCAGCCGAGAGTCAACGCGAAACCGGCCATGAAGCGACATCGGTCGATGGCAACGCTGAGCAGAATGAGGACATCGCGAACCCAGTTGCTGACTCTCCTGAACACGAAGCGACTCGCACTGAGTCTGTGCACGTATCGCTTCAAGTTCCCGCGGTATCATTTCTACATGGATCTATAAGTATAAAGCCGGATGACTTTGATCATGATGTGGATATGGCAGAGCAGATGATGCATGTAGAGGCTTCAGGACTTAGTACCGAACAACAGGCGCAGGCACAGCCTCAGCAGAAAGGAAAGTACGAAAACTGGTGGGCATCGGAGATATTCGACTGTGGAAACAATGTAGACATTTGTGAGTACTCATATACCATTATTTTCCGGAGTATAAGCTGCACGTAACTACTGTCGTTGAACACTCAAAATTTACCCCCAAAAACGGGGGTGCGGCTTATACTCTGGTTTGGTTTGGTTGGTTTGGTTTTTATTATTTCAGTTCGTTGCCTCAACAGTACAAAGTACAAATATCAAGAGGGACGAACGAAAAGAGAAAATAAAACATAGCAGAGAGGAAGATGCAACTGAAAGGAAAGAAAAACGGAGAAGGAATGTGGACTGGGCGGATTCATGAACCATTACTAGAGCAGGGCAATGCATGAACAGAAGGGGCAAATCCGTCGATATTCATGTTTAAAAAATTCCAACCCTTATTTTATTGGTGAAATACATTTTCAAAAAGGAGGGGGTATAGGGATATAGTCAATTTGTCGTCATTTAGAGCGTGCAAAAGTTCTGTAGAAAATGATCTAATGTCCTCACTTCCTTTCAAGTGAGCAGGGAGGGCATTCCACATAAGAGATGCTCTGGTGATAAATAGAGTAGATGTCTGTATTTCGTGGCAAAAAAATGGGGGGGGGGGAGGGGGTGCGGCTTATACTCTGTAAATTACGGTAGTCAACAAGTTTTAAAGATGCAATGATGATGGTAGTGATTGGCTTGGGCTGAGTACTGTGAATATACAAAATTTCGGAACTGCATAATCATGTCGGCATTTCCCGATTTTCGACATATCGGCAGCAAGTTATTTTCAGCATGGGCTTTGTGTTTATTTGAAGACTCCTTCAATGTCCACCTCCACGGAAATCTTTAGTAAAAGGCGAAAGATCTATTCCTGGTTGAAGGTAAACCAGACTGTTACAAGTATAACATCAGCAAAGCCGATGTGAAATATTCCGTCCGTGGTTTAATTTACCCGTTTTGGGTCGGTGCCGGATATTGCCGACATTAACTACATGTAGCTGTACTCGGATGGAGAACCAAGGATTCATTTATAGCAAAGAAAATTATAAGTACACTCAACTTCTCTAATAACGACAATTCGCGAAAAACGACAGAGTTCCCATGCCCAGAGCAAAGTCCCATCTAACTGTAATACATATAATGAGACTTCGGGTATAAGGATACTTCGCGAATAAGGACACTTTTTGATGCCCCACCGGTGCACCGAGTGTCGTTATACGCAAAATTGACTGTACTCAGATACTCCATGAACCTTCCAAGTTGGAAGGCCGTTGGTTAGCGCTAGCGAGCAGTGCTCAAGCTCACTTCCTTGCCGTGGAATGTCTCAGTACGCCTTGTCAGTCTGGTGATACCTTGTGCACGTCTGACTGTTCAAAACCTGGTTTAGTTGGTGGACTCTAACGCATAACTTGTGCCACGCCGTTTTACTTGTTTCCATTAAAAAAAAATGAAAAAATGTATTATCCAAGATGTGCCATAGTATAGAGCTGTTAACCAGTTTGTTGTAGAACGTCAGTACCGTCGGTCAGTGTCGTGCAATGTTATCGCATGAGCTGATTGTTTAGTAACTGGCGGTGTTAGTGGACAGTATAGCGTAACTTGTAGTTCCTTGGTCCTTTTATTTATTTATTTATTTCTGCACCTCGTGGCATGTCAGGACAGCCAGTTGAATTGAGGAGAGGGTGAGACCAACCACAGAAGAAGAGAAAAAAGAAATTGAAGAGCACGTACACAAAGTGGGAAGGAATTAGCAACTTACAAAGCAATGGGATGCTCAGCGAGCTATGCAGCGGAAGTGGTGACTGTGATTTTGTTTACTGGGAGATACTGAAGTGCTGTCTGACGAGGGTACGGAATTTGGGCATATCTGGAGCTTGCCTTACACTGGGAGGCAGTTGGAGCCACGTGGAGTAGGAGGAAAAGAAAGGGGAATTTACGAATAGGGTAGACCTGGCTAGGGGGAGACGAACGCAGCTTCGGGTGGTGCCACCTGACTTAAACCTTAAAAGAAAAATTGAATGTGCCAGGGTGCACTTGGAAGCATCAAGGTAGTGTTGCAGAGTGGTAGTGGATGCAGCAGCATACAAGTCTAGATTTGACATATAACGATCAGTACGAAATATGATTTCGTTGCTTTAAATTAAATAGCTGCTGAAATTTTGTATATTTACAGGAACAAGTAGTGCTGGAGTGTCCGCTAAAGTAGTCATACTGGACTCTAGGAGTAGAAATGGACTTTTGACGGCATATTAGTAATCGATCAGGGTCCAAAAATAATTCACGTAAGCACCCACCTATTTCCTCTGGTTGAACTCACCCATAAATCGAAGCCTGGGTCGAAACCCACGTGATTTAGCGTTTATATACAGAACATTATCCAATGCTGTCTCCTTACGCCCTGACGTGCATATGTGTGTGTGTGTGTGTGTGTGTGTGTGTATGTGTGTGTAGTACAAGTACAAGTACAACAAGTAAGTGTGTGTATGTATGTGTATGTGTGCGTGTATGTGTGTGTGTATGTGTGCACGTGTATGTGTGTGTGCGTATATAGGCATGTGGGGATTGCTCTGTCCATGGTACTTGCTCTTCAAGATATCGCACATACTGGACAATAACAAGATAGACCGCGGAGAGAACCATCGCGCCGCGCGTGCCCAGCAGAAACCACTGGGCTACAGGATGGTGCGAGCAGTCCGACCCGTGTTCTATATCCTATGCTGCTTTCTCGGGCATCTGTTTCTACGCAAGAGGGTCCGGGATCGATTTAGTATTCAGGTGAGAAAGCCACAATGTGCACAGAACACTGTGAAAGTAAAGTTTGCACGACTGGCTATACAGTTGTATTGAGAAACACAACCAGCTTAGGAAATTTCGCATGACACACTGTGCGTGCGTGCAATGTGCACATATCAATGCATGCATGGATTAGTTCTTTCTACCAAATTCACTGTATACAGAGTACTTCACATCAGTGTCCGCTGCTCTAGGATTTCAAACCAACTGGCTACACGTGTACCTGGCATGACTCTTGCAACCGGGTCAGTCCCGGGTACATTCAAGTGCGGCTACTGCATGTAACGTTACATGAACATCAGGGCTCTGTAAATATTTTTGGACTCCCTGAGATTATGACTGTATTCCCAACCGGGTCACAAGTGACCCGGTGTTCTTTTGCCAAATGGGTCCAAATACCCCCCAGCCGGGTGGCTGACCCGCTCTGGAGCAGACACTGCTTCGTGTACACTAAAGAAACCATTGACGGCATTTCAGCACATAACGGTTAGCAAGCAGCTACCAACTCGAAGGGAGATGGAGGAGTGGGTGGCACATACCAAGCCCCTGCATCTCCCTTGGAGTTGCGGGTAGCTGTTGCAGCGCCAAATGATTCTGTGCTTCACACCCAGTGTCAAAAAGATCGCACGCCACTCACAATCTAAATTGACAGGACCTTGCTTTCAAGCAAGTGGCGAGAAACTGAGCATCTATTAGTATGTTCTTTTTAATGCAGTATAGTCCTGAGAATTCACTCTCCAGAAGTACTTCTCGAATTAAGACTTGTCACGGTGGACCTCACGTAACCGCATTACACTGTATAGAAGAAAAAGGGATCTGTCAACTGACACCTGCTCCATCAGTTGCATTTCGCTCTGTTCTGGTTTTCAGTTGACAAACCCTCTTTTCTTCTATATTCCTGAGAAAAATATGTAGCACCTGATCACTGCCGATGCCACTTGTGTATCCGCAGCACATGACAGTTACCATCACGGGTACGGGTCAGCTACACGATTGCCATTGTATTTTTGACATGCGTGCACGTGCTTCTACGCATGCACAACAGTGTTCTATTTATGATATCAGGCCCGGAGGCAGCTCCTGAGAGGTGTGGTACGGCACCTGGCTGGCTACAGAGCCGACCATTACCCTATGATGACTGAGTTTCAGTCTCATGGGAGCATGAACCGCGTACCAGTGGTGCCGGTAATGGGTATCCAGGACTCGTGCATATCTCAACTGAGCAAGCTTGACGATGGGTTTTTCCTGTTCCCTGATTGTGAATCTCCAATCATGACTGTGATGAAAATTACACATCTACAATTTGAACAAGTGCCATGTTACGTGGTGATGTCTGTGGCGTTTTATACTTTAAGAAGTACTTGTCATAGCTTTAATTAAAGTATTCATCAGTTTGAGCCGGCGAAAGGTGCAAACAATTTTTAATTAAATTATTATCTCCTCGCAGATGATAATTATTATGATTGTGAATTTGTGATGCGTATTTGCCCGGCAACAGGGATCCTTGAAGAATGACTGCATAGTCACTTGCCTGTGTGGCCTGTGCGCCGGCTGCCAAGAAGCTAGAGAAGTTCAGCAGCTCGGTATTAGCGTCGGAAATCAAACCCAGACGATAGACAAGGGAAAGCTGCCCCCGTTCTACCTGAAGAAACTGCGCCACGACGCCATAACCAAGTCTGATCGTAAGATCGTAGCGGTGTGAGCCGATCGGCAGTGACTGCGTTGTGTGTGTGTGGACCAGTACCAGTACTTATGCCATGATGACATAACCAAGTATCATGGTAGGATCATAACGGTGTGAGCCGACCGGCACTGACTGTGTGTGTGGACCAGTACATGTATACCAGTATTTGCGCCGCAGGATGCACGTCATGAGAAACACATTGCTGCCACATGGGCGTATGCAGACATTGGCTCACCGGCGACAACCACCAAATGGCTCGCAATGGATTCTTCGCAGCGGCATATGTGCACGTCTACCTCAGTAGCTGTGCCAGTACGGCAGTAGTGGTCTGTGTGTGTGAGCCTACTGTGTCACATGACCTGTGTGCTCCTATTTCGGTCACATGACTACATGCTGCATTTGTTCATCACATGGTGATGTCATGACAGTAGAGATCAATGCATTACTCAGGCTGACTGGAGGTAGGGCTTGTAGTGAAGTATTGTCTTTTTATCGTATATTATTGCACACACCTACAGAAGAAGGGGAAACACTCAAAGACAAAGCAAAAAAAACAACAATGGGTGTGTGGGTGCTACATGAGCTGCACTGGTGAGGTGCAGTGGACTCCCCCACCGACCACTGCATGATAATAGTGAAGGTACTATTGTCGTGTTGGGTACGATCTGTAGCTGGAATTCTAGTCTGGCCCGATGGACAGGTAGTAAAATAATACTATATTGATGTTGCACATCAACTGTACCAGGCACTCACACATTACAGTACATTGTAAGTAATGGCATTGCCGTAACTCTCAACGCTTTACAATACGGCTGTTCCTCTTATCTCTGCTTTTATGGTGGACAATGTCGATGCTGTTTCGGCTAAAAGAAACTTGGCTTTATATATCTACAATTGCATTTCGCTGGCAGGCTTAGCTCTGCTGTTATTTAAACCGTGAGAGCTTTTCAAGAAGATCGTACTAGAAGACCTCACCTCATCGTGGCTTTTAAAATCACATTCATATCATCTGAGAACTATTTATGCAAAGTCTGGCAAGCTGCGAATACGCCATAATTGGTAGATGCTCTATAATTATGTCTCTCAGGCCGAGCCAGAACTCCAGAAGCACTTACAAACATGATTGTGATTCATGACTCGGAGATGGCGAAGCGCTGCTGCTGATAAAATATTATGATCGCTACTACAAGGAAGCTGGCTGCTGCCACATAAATATTATAATTATTATTGCTTGGAAACAATGCATTTATTACTCAGAAGTCTTTTTCAAATGAACCTGACTGACGATGTTTCACTGTCTGTGGAGGGCACCGATTGTGATAAGCCGGATCATCACAATATTTATGCCTTGCATGGAGCAGAAACCAATATTAGTAGCTGTTTGTATGCTGTGGCATATTAAATGATATAAACTTTACCGGCGGGATTGTACGTCTCCCAATCACCAGTGAAAGTCACTGAAGAAGGGTCTATGGCTAATCATGGGATCATCCAGATTCCTATAACCATAAGGATTGGGAATGGATGAAATGTGCCGCAAAGTAAATCTTCACCACAAGAGTGTTGATAGCGCAATGACATCATTAGGTACCAGGAGGGTTCTAACGCAAAGTTACTTAGTTAGTTGACCCGAAGGTTGCGGAAGTGACCTTTCGGCAGGTTGTCATGTCTTGGCAGCTTCTGACCTTGTCAACATGTGACTTCATCTTTCACCTCTTGGGTAACTAACAGCTATCAACCATTGTTACCTGATCATATGGGATCATGTGAGACGCTCGTTTCAACCGGATAGTAGTGTGATACAACAAATTAGAAATGTCAAAACGTGATTGGTCTACCGAATGCCGGAATTATTGTAGCCAGTACATATGTACATTGGTAACATTGTAGGGGCATATCAAAGTGAATGTGCCACTGCACATGTTACCAAATGTACCCAAAGCGAAATGACCAAACCGTGGGCAGACCACGCAAAAACCCAGTCTCGGCTCTACCACTGACACAGCCGGAAAACAACTCAACGTGCAGCAACACGACGGAGAGGAAGACCACACGTCGGGCCAGCTGAAATCGTCGGTACCACCCATGCCCTTGCCACCACCGGCACACCATTGTGCCGGCATTGATGGCTGGGATAATCCGATTGGGGTGGACTAGCCCTTGATGGACAATGCTAGAAAAACTGGCAGGTTCTGCTAGAAAAGCAGTGAGATTGGCAGAACCCTACACCGTGACCTCATGGCAGGCACTTCCTTGAATTCCCATTCATTTCTTTATCCACATACAAGGAGGAAAACTTCCTTCTGCCAGCAGAGAGGGCTCAACACAATAATGTGGAGCACTAGTACACACAAAAGCCACAATGGAGGTTTACAGAGTTGTCGCCACTCAGAGATTCTTGCTCAATGCAATCATCAGGCTACTTATTCCATGTTCAGTGGGACTTGGCCAATATAAAGCTGTGTGGACCCTGGCTAGCGCCAGACGTTACTGAAGTAACGTCTTCTGCATAGCTACGGGAATAAAGCATAGTTTGGTGATAGCTGGTTGGTATCCTCCATACATGTGTATATGTACCAAACATGCTTGGTACATATACACATGTATGGAGGATACCAAACAGGTAGACATACCAGAAAATGGACCAAATTCTGCCAATTTTTCTATAGCGTTAGCTGCCAATGGCTAGGGTGGACCCACCCACACACATCACAACCAGAAGCCATGGATGACACCGGCGCACACAGTATTTCCTACGGTTACAGGACATTTGAAAGGTGACCGGCATGGAATCAGGCATGTACCAAGACGGCAAGAGTACTACTAGTAGTACTAGTAGTAGTAGATTGGTGTGAATAAACCCGTTCTCACGTGACCACTGGTTATGTAGTCTGCTAGTACAATAGACGCCACCATGGCATGGGCACGAGGAGTGCAAGTGAAGGGGGAAAGTGTGACTGTCAGTGTAAATAATTATTTTAATTATTCAGACTGATTAAAATCAGTCCACCTCCACATGTGCTCTGGCCGACCTCATCACACCAGCAACAGGATTCCAAGTTGTAGATACATGCACTGACAAATGAAAAGATTTTTCCTCCATGGCAGTGTGGCTGACTACTAGTATTGAAAGGTCGGAACATCTCAGGAGACAAACCAAGGAATAGCGGGTTAGCCTGGCAACCTATCAGCTAAGGAGGGAAATAAGAGCTTATATGTAGAGGCCGAAGAAAGCAAGAGGTCCACGGGGCTAAGCTTTACATATGTGTGTCTGAAGTTAGTTAGGCTCTGAATAGCTCTTGGCGGATAACACGATAATTATAATGCCTGCAGACAAATAATATTATGGTAGAATTTGGTACTTTTCTGGTATGTTTTATGCATTGGTATGTGGATTTTTAAGAAATGGAGCAGAACTCATAGAGGTGCCTGCCACAACTGGCATAAGGTTTCTATGGTTCTGCCATTTCAGTTTTCACAACTTTTGAGCCGAGCTGAGAATCTGCCAAGCTTGGGCTAGCCCTGAAATCCGGATCACGACCGACAATATTATTATGTACTAGTACTGAGTAGTAGTAGTACTACTAGTTGTAGTACAACTGCCCAAAACTAAGTAAGTCACGTGTAGTTCTCGTAGAAGTCACTCGACATAAAGTGTCGGGGTATTCCCCACGCCACGTTGCACTCAGCTGACAGGTCGTGTGTCGGGGGATCGGGCGAGCGGCGATTTGTTTTGTTGAGGTTGCACGTGCGTGGACATGTACACTACACAGTCAACCATCAGAACTCGTTCAATCAAGAACGAAGAAGATCCCTGCACTGCTATGCATGCAGCCAGGTCCAGGATCTAACGACGGGTACCGGGTGCTGTGTGCATATCATACTTCATAGTGTGAAGTCGCGACTACATTCGTTGCGCTTGATCGCCCGGCGGCCTGCACATGTCACAGAACTACATGACTGTAGAACACTACAACGACGTTACGTGTACAGCATCCTTCCCTAAGTAAGTTGTGGTTGCACTGGAAACAATAAAGATTTGTTGGAAAGCGAAGTTCGGAACCCCTTCCAGCGCCAAGGAGAGCTTACTGGAGAGCAATCGTTGGTGGTTGTTTCTCCTATTCCTAATGACCCTCTAGAAGGTCTATCGTGCACCCAGAGCGCAGTCGAGCTGCCAACACTGAAGCAGATATTTTTTTCTGTTATGTGTTATCCCACCTGGTGGTTTGTAGTAGCGGGTGTACCAGGTGTACAGGGTTTCTGCGAGTCCTGTTTTCATTGTGAATGCTAGCATGGCGCTGCGAGGATTAGCATTGCTCGTTCTGGCAGCGCTGCTCGCCAGTAGCGAGCCAATTGGACCTAAAATCCAGGGTCTCGTGACCATCCCGACCCTGCAGAAGACCGAGCAGTGGCCCAAGATGCGACCGAGTGTGTTCGTGGCTCTGCTGTGCCGGAATAAGGCACACCTGCTGCGGAACTCGCTCGGCTATCTGGAGGAGATGGACTATCCTAAGGATCGCATCACCATGTGGTAAGGGGTGAAGTGGACTGTACGTAATATCGGGAGAAACACCTTCCATTATTATGACGTACATGTACAGCTCAACCTATAATAATTTTCTTTTCAAACGGTTGTGGAATGCATTGATCATTCAACCAACTAGATATAGATGTATACGTAATAAGGAGGCTCTTTTTAATGTGGTAAACAATGCGTAAAAAATTACTAAAAATATACCAAAGGGATCATATTGGGTATACTAGTATGCAGAATAATAATGCCTTCCAATCAATTTTAAAATCGTTTGTAAAATAATGGACAACCGTGACACGCTGAGCTGAGTGAGCATCACACGCCCTGGCAGACATCTCTGTCTCATCTTGCAAGTACATGTATAATGTATACTTTTCACCGTCACCATCAGTGTGTGCCTATGTAGACTATAGTATAGAGAGTTTCATGTGGAGTCTTCAAACTATTGATTCATTCAAAATAGTTGTTGATCCAATCAATTATTAATAAAAATTCATAATAATTATGAAATTGACACTGCACATTGTGTAACATTGTCACAATGCGACCTTCCTGCCCTCCACCACCAGCACAGCCAGGCACGGGAGGCGACAACACCCAGACTCAGTTATAGATATGCATGCATACCATGGCCGTGCTTTCAGGTTGGTGTGGTCGTGTACTGTGTTGGTACAGTGCGAGTCCACCACTGGGTTGCATTTCAGTTTCCAGCACTGTACAAGCAAACCAGTCGAAACTGCCTGTTGTGTGTTTTATTTAGAGTCGAAGAACAAACGGCCACAATTTCCTGATTACATGATAGAAGAATAAAATGTAAGAGGCCAATAACGAAAATGATAATAATGTGGGTAATGGCGCACAGGGAAAAACCTGATGTGATTTTTCATATTTCCCGCAGACTGGTACATGGTAGCACCATTCAGCAGGGCTACTGAAGAACAGTATTTGCTGGGAAGGACTCAAATGCTTCCTTTGCTCTTTTCTCAATAGGATACACACCGACCACAATCAGGATAACACTGCCGAGCTGCTGACCGAATGGAAGAGAAACGCCCGCTACCTGTTCCACGACATCAAACTGACCGTTGGCGAATCGGACGCCTATACGGCGGTCAACGTGAACGGGACGGCAGACATGGACTGGAGCGACGAGCGTTACGTTCACGTTCTGAAGCTGCGGCAGGCTGCGCTGGAGGCTGCACGACAGGCCTGGGCTGACTACATACTGGTGAGCGGTCATGCTGCATGGGACTGCCACTAATGCGATGATACAGTTAACAGTGGAAAGGGTCCCCCCCCCCCCCCAAACGCTGGAGCTCGCCCTTTTCCGCCGACTTGACTTGACACTCATCGTGAGTCAGTCAAGTGTCAAGTCTAGTCGGCGGAAAGCACAATCTCCAGTGTGGGGAGCAATCTCTTTCCTAGGAAATTATCGCCGAAGTCACTACCATTATTTAGTACATTTAGCCTCGCAAATAACAACTTACAAGTTTAACATCCCTTTGGAATAACAATGACTCGCGAATAGCGACACTATCTTCAGACCTACATGTACATGTAGTTATCATTTGAATACATGCTGGTGAGGTCATGCTGGTGAGGTCATGCTGGTGATGTCATGCTGGTGAGGTCATGCTGCCTGGGACTGATATGACAGTACAGTCTACCTCGCAAATCGCAACCTCAGTTACAACAAAAACTTGCAAATAGCAACACCATTCGCCTATTGACCATTATAATTGCATACTTTCAACCTCATGGATGACGTCAACTCTTTGATAACGGCACTTTTTCCATGCTCGATTGATGGCCGTTTTTTTGCGGGGTTGACTGTATGCAGTGCGAATGTACTTCAATGGGATAGTTTGAACAGTTGCAGAGGTGACTCTTATCAGGATGAGGTGAGGTTGTCGATGTGAGAGAGGTTATGCTCATGCGCTGACCTTATGATCCAGTTCCGTGGTGTACACGAGTCACTTGTGTCCCATGATGTCATGATGTTGTGCTCAGAGGTGCAATACGTGATATGTGCAGGTCTGATGTGAAGCCGTTACAGCACCAATGCACTGTCCAAGCATTCCAGCTGTTGCAGTGGGTTAAAGCTTGCTTGCAGATGCTGTTAGCCCTTTCATCACATTATAATGAGCTGGGGTGTTCTTGTTGTGTTTGTGTGTGCTCTATACTGCAGTATGTGGATTGTGACAACTTTCTGGTCAACAATCAAACGCTGAATATGCTCATTGAGCAGAGACGGTGAGATAAAGTTGCAAACACACGTACTGTTATTATCTTGTGTACAGTACTTGTAAGTTACAATGAAACCTGTCAAAAGTGACTGCTCAAGGCAAGGGACCTTACAAATGGTAACACAAAGTAACATTACAGCTGTGTAAAACAAGGAGCTGTGTTAAACATTTTGAAATAGATATGGATACAGCACGCAAATAGCTCGTATGAAAATCAAATGAGGGTGATGGATCTGTCGGCAACATCGAGCCAGTGCATTCTATCTGACACAAGCTGCTCCACTTCCAAAAGAGACCTGATGAAAAGTAAAAGATCATTCCTGCTGTGTATTGAAAAAAGAAGAAGTTTAAAAACGTCATTTACCTGGCTGGCTTCTGGATTGTGGTGTTCCTTCACCAGATTTGATCTAAATTTTCATTGATATGCGGCCACCATCCAGTGTTTGTTTGTGTGCATGAGCAGCTGAAGTATAACAACAATACACTTCTGCCTGTATTCCTGGTGTTGTTCTTCAGACCTGTTGTAGCACCTATGCTGATAAGCAAGCCGAAATCGGCGTACTCGAACTTCTGGTGTGGCATGGATGACAACGTAAGGATGTGTATGCATGGCAATGCATGTTGCGTTATGGTGGTGTTCAGAGCACTTCTCTGCCCAGTTGTTTTCGCTCTGTGGGAGAGCTGACAAGTGGTGAACTGTGTGCGAGCTCGGTGAACTTTTCTTTCTTTTCTTACTTGCCATGGCTGGCTATCACCCCTCTCTCGCAATCTGTGTGCCAATTGGTCATGGACCACGAGTTGAGTGAAATGAAGAAAAAAACCCAGAATCTATAAGTGAGTCATAGTTGCATAGTGTCTGCACTGGATCATTGATGCCGGGCTCCTGTCTCCTCTGCTTGGCTTCATACACCTGTCCTGCTTCTCATCTCCTTCTGTTGTCTGATGATTGGTTGGTACCAAGACAACTCTGAGTTACAACAAACAAGCTCTTCCTATCCTTTGTGTGCCTCTTGTGAATCTGTAAGAGATATGGTGGCAGGGTCGTAACCAGCTTGAGATGGGAGAGGGATAGCTGGGCTAGTTTGTGCTTCACGGTGACAATCTGGCATCGTTATAGTCACCTTTGCTACCTTCCTAAAACCCTTGATCTCGTCGGCTGGTCACTGTAAATCACTCTCAGTTTTGAGGCTAGAAAATTTACTAATTCATCTTCACAATTCACAAGATCATCATCAAGAAAATCTGTCACGACAATGATAACGAGCTATGGAGGGCAATATATACATGTGAGGAGCATTGAGACTATAAACAACTCTCTATGTATTGTCTACTTGCAGGGGTACTACCGTCGCACCCCGGAGTACATACCCACGCTGCTCAGAGAGCGCGTCGGCTGCTTTGAGGTGGTGATGGTGCACTCGACATACCTGATCAATCTACGACTGCAGGCATCCCAGCATCTGGCATTCTGGCCTCCGCCATCCGACTATAAGAAGTCAATTGACGACATTCTGGTGTTTGCGCACACCGTAGTGAGTGCCGGTAAGATCCCTAACATTACCGGAAAACAGCAGTACATGTACTAGTACTTTGGAGACGCAGCTGGATGCTGTGTTCCTTGTCCTCTCGCATTTCAATGCACCATCGACCAGCACGCTGATTCGATCTCCACACATCTTCATGCATGCAAGGTCCTGTACATTTTGTGATTTAATTTGTATGTGCGTACTGTGCTACTGTAGACTAGTGGACATTGAAATCCGTGGAGAAGTCAAGCGGCCACGGGGCGCTGGCCTTGCAGCCACGAGCACTGCTGGTCCATTTTTACAGTGTGTACATGAACTACGGTGCATGTACATGTACATGTACGTGAACTACAGTACATGTACGCGCTAAAAGCGGTATGGGCGCCAGTCCCGTTCATCCCATCGGATTTCAATGTCCACGACAGTATTTCTACTGATGTACATGACGTGTTGTGGTATTTGTATGCACAGGCCTGAAGATGTACATCCTGAATACGGAGTACTTTGGGCAGATGACACCAACTGCTGATACGTTTGAAAGCCTAGCCGCCGAGGCTCACCATTATGAAGGATTCAAGCAGCAGTTTCTGGGTAAGGTGGCGGTGGCCGGGGAATGCAAATTTGACCCTTCATCAATTTTAGTTACCCTGGTCTTCAATCATGTGTCTCATCATCATCATCATCATCATCATCATCAGCCCTTTCGCGTTGGCATCGGCGTTAGCCTAGCCTTCGCTTGGGCCACACCCAATGTTAGACATGATACCAGAAGAGAAAGAGAATCATGTGTCGAGTGTGCCTATATTGCACTCTTAGTATCATTAGACCAATGTAAAGGAGGCTTCATGTTGTCTCCAGAAATGCATCATTCATTTTTTGATTTGAAAGGTATTGTGAGCCCCACACAATGGTAGCTGGGAATCTGCAACTGGGTAAAATTGATAGACTAGACTGTTGATGTTTGATAAGCAGGTGGTTGTAAGAGGGCTGGCGCAGGTAGAATACTGATATGCGGACAAAGTCCATTTCTAGCGTCCTGTGTGGCCGAGTGACTAATATGGCAATAACGTCGGTGTACATGTACATTCTCAATTTCAACCCTTTCCTGGGAGGGGGGGGGGGGGGGAGGTTTCAAATCATCCCAGGCTTTAAAACCTGGGTCAGGTACAATGCACCGTCACGGCGTGTTACTGTAAGTGCCGCTCCAGTCAAACTATGTGCGTGGGGGTTAGCTGAAAACACACCGTAAGGATTTTGTTATAACCGAGAGCGTTTCAACACAAAAATAAACAACAAGACTTTGCCACCTGGTGGAAAAAACTGAGGACAACAAATACTGTGATATGTTTGTCTTTCTGGGTCAAAGCACGGTACGCCAGTCCGTGGATACGGGATCTTTGGAGGTGCTTTGTCCGGAAAGTCACCGCACTGTACATGATAGAGCAGCAGGCATGAAACGCCATTTGCGGTGTTGAGGGCTAGGTGATCGCCGAAGGGTTACCAGTAACACAAAGGCTTCTTGACTGGGTGTAATGCGAGCAACCAACTCCTGCTAGAGCTGGTAGAGCTGGTAGAGGGGTGGATGGTAGAGCTGGTAGAGCTGGTAGAGGGGTGGATGATACTGCTGGTAGAGGGGTGGATGATACTGCTGGTAGAGGGGCGGATGATACTGCTGGTAGAGGGGTGGATGATACTGCTGGTAGAGCTGGTAGAGCTGGTAGAGGGGTGGATGATACTGCTGGTAGAGGGGTGGATGATACTGCTGGTAGAGGGGCGGATGATACTGCTGGTAGAGGGGCGGATGATACTGCTGGTAGAGGGGTGGATGATACTGCTGGTAGAGGGGTGGATGATACTGCTGGTAGAGGGGTGGATGATACCGAGCTGTGTTATATGCTCAAACTTCCTCTTGGCATCAGTGAGGAAGGATCCGATGACACGACAAGCGTTTTAAACGTAAACCGGTGCTCCCTTGGTGGTTATGTGATGTGACGATGTCAGTATCACTGTACTGATGGCTTTGGCAGATGTTCCTGGTTGAGTGGCACCAGCAGCGATGGAAGCTGAGCCAGAAGATAGATGAAGGCATTTTCTGCCTGCCGCGGGCAGTGTCGAGAGAGGTGCACTGGAAGGCGTGTTAGACGGAGCAACTGAGGGGACAGGCTGAGTAGTGCCTCCGAGGCAGCCGGTGGCCCGGGAAGAGCCGACTACCAATTTGAAATGCTGGAGGCAGTCAATACCGAGAATCGGAGAGGTGACACCTGCTATCACTATCATCCTCTGAAACGGTGGCACCGGAGGCCAATGTTGATGGTTGCTGAGCGTTAACCATATGTAGCGATGCACGTGCTGTTAGCAGCACGTAGCCGGGAGGATGGTGAATGGCGGTGGTCTGCGACAGAGGGCGGGGGGGGGTTAGGGGTCGTCGCAAAAGTTTTTTGTCGTCCCTGAAACGAACATGATTCATTTGGGGGGGAGGGGGTGCGAGCCAAAATCGCAAGTCGACCGACACTGTACATATGACATGTACATGCATGCGATTTTCGTCGTCCAGCATAGCAGGCTGTGTTCGTTTCAGAGGGAGGGGAGGGGGTCCAAGTACGAAATGAACGATGTTCGTTTCAGGGACGACAGAAAACTTTTGCGACGACCCCTTAGCTGACCATGGTTTCTTTTCAGGTGTTGTACGCCTGAGAGGGAGGCGGGAAAATGAGAATGTTCCGGACGTCGGCGACCACCTGAGAGTCCAGAACGGCGACCACGTAGTGAAATTTGGTGTCCTTCCGCTTGATGCCCTGCAATGCTTTAGGCAAACCAGACTCCAGAGCTCTGGGTCGAGGGCCCAGACATGTGCAACGGAAACTGGAGCGTGCGACTGGGCATCCTGATGGCCACAGAACAAGACCAGATGGGGCTGACAAACTTAACGCAGACAAAATGGTGCCTCACTCACGCCCATGGAGCCAGAGGATTTGGTAGACATGGTGGAAATTCCGAAAAAAACAACACTCTGAGCGTGGACGGCAGGTGCAGGCAAAGCCTAATGCAGATGTCTTTGAACACCTGTTATGTTGGGATCACACGTTTGTGAGGACGAGCTCAAACAAAACACAGGATTCTGGTATAACTGAGTGTGTGTATGTGTGTGTGTGTGTGTGTGTGTGTGTATGTGTGTGTGTGTGTGTGTGTGTGCGTGTGTGTGTATGTGTGTGTGTGTGTGTGTGTGTGTGTGTGTGTGTGTGTGTGTGTGTGTGTGTGTGTGTGTGTGCATGCGTGTGTGTATGTGCGTGTGTGCGCGTGCATATATGTACGTGCATGTGTTTGTTGCTTGCAGTTGATCACAAGGATATTCCATACAGTCCATTCATTGAGCACACCTGGCAACCAGAGGACAACTTGGGATTTGATGAGGTAGGGCTGCTAAGATGGACAGTGTTATGGCGCTGTGTCGCCAGTTTGGAAAGTGCACATTCCCTCCCTTATCTACCCTTAAACCTTAACCTCCTCCTCTTCTCCCTTTCCCGTCACCACTTCAGAACCTTCATAAAATGTAGTTTTCTGGCTCTTGTAAACCTCAGTCCTTTGCTTCTTTCATCCTGTGTCTACATCCTCTCAGATTTACCTAATCAACCTGGCGCGGCGTGAAGACCGCCGTGAGCGCATGCTACGTTGCTTCCAGGAGCTACGGCTGCCCTTCAAGTGGATAGCGGCAGTGGATGGCAAGTGAGTGCGCAATCCTTGACACTTAAGAGTCCATCATGTAGAGGATGCAAGTGTGGTTATGGGTCAGTGCAGGGTGCCCTGCCTCCATTCTAGATAACGCCTGCATCATGCCCCTGCTGGTACTAATGCCTTTCTGCACCCCCACATGTGCTCCAGGCGTCAGGGGCCCAGCCTCCCCACCCATTCTGTGCTCAGTCTGTCGAGCACTGATGCAAACCGATGCAAACTCTAAACCTTGTGTGTAAAAATCAGCTTCATTCAAAAGTTGGGTTCAAACCACAGGAAAAGCGTGGTGTTTGATTTTCCGTGGTACGCGTCTGTTAGCTGCATGATGTAGTGAAGGTAGCATGCCGTGCAGCCTGGCCTATACTATAGCAAACGATCGCAGTTTGGCATTCTTCAAAGTTTAACATTGGTCGTGGGTTCTGGATACTACACGTCTTCACCTGCACTGTGTTCTGTCACGGTCTTGGTGTGCTGTACTGCAGAAACCTGACACAGGAGTATAAAGATTCTCTCGGAATCAAGATGATGGAGAACTGGGAAGATCCCTTCGGTAAACGGTGAGCTCTCTTCTTTGCGTACGTTTGTGCGTGAGTGTGCGTTCATGCACATGGGTGTGCATGTTTGTGTGAGAGAGGGTGCATGTATGTGTGTGTGTGTGTGTGTGTGGGAGAGGGTGCATGTATGTGTGTGTGTGTGGGAGAGGGTGCATGTATGTGTGTGTGTGTGGGAGAGGGTGCATGTATGTGTGTGTGGGAGAGGGTGCATGTATGTGTGTGTGTGTGTGGGAGAGGGTGCATGTATGTGTGTGTGAGGGAGGGTGCATGTATGTGTGTGTGAGGGAGAGGGTGCATGTATGTGTGTGAGGGAGGGTGCATGTATGTGTGTGTGTGAGGGAGGGTGCATGTATGTGTGTGTGAGGGAGAGGGTGCATGTATGTGTGTGAGGGAGGGTGCATGTATGTGTGTGTGTGAGGGAGGGTGCATGTATGTGTGTGTGAGGGAGAGGGTGCATGTATGTGTGTGAGGGAGGGTGCATGTATGTGTGTCCAACACTCACACATCTACCTGGGTCTAGTTATGTGGGTGTTAAACCCTGCGTTGCTGACCCCAGTGTACTTACATGTACAATCATGCATTACTCGTACCTTCCTTATTTGGCAATCTGCAATGGGCTTATGTCTGATAACGCTCTGTTGTTTGCTTGGTTAATTAACTAGGCCGATCACAGACGGTGAGATTGGCTGCTTCCTCAGCCATTACAAGGTGTGGAAAGACGTCGTCGACCGTAACCTTGGCGCCGTCATGGTGATCGAGGACGATGCAAAGTTCGAGCCTGGCTTCAACCAGCGTCTGATTGCCACACTGGATGAGATTGAGCAGCTGAATCTTGCATGGGATTTGATGTAAGTGTTTGAGTTTGGCTTCTTCATGGTTGCATACAGGGACATAGTCTTGTAAGCAACCTGGTTTCAACAATCACCTGATCTCTACAGCGTACCCTTACTTTGCTGCCAAACGTGGGATGTGCAGAGGTCGCCCTGGTTTCAGACTTAGGAGACCACTTTCATTCCAAGGCCAGCTATGTCGGGCCGCAAATGCCGGTCCCGTGGGTAGTCGCTGAAACCAGCTCCCACCTGTATTCACTGTGGAACCTACTTTTGCAGTATTTGATATTCATAAGTTTGAGGGAAGTTGCAAACGGGAAAATTCTGAAGAAAAAAATGGACTGTAACCGCCAGGACTCCGGCGAACCAGGGATCCTCGCTTATGGCCAGCACTGCTCTACAGCTACGCTATGGTGTAGTCGTCATCCAAGCAGCAACTGAACCTATTTGAAGTGAATATTTGGCAACCCAGGAATGATTCCCGTATGTCAGAATATTGTACGTTGGCCGCAGAAACTTCTCCCGGCGCTGAAGCACGTTGTATTCTGATCTGAATAGTCTGCTACCGACAGTCAACTGGGACTTATGGCCAGGTACAAGGGATACGTAGATGCGGCTAATGGAGCTTTGAGCGCGTGTACCATTGGGAACGGGGATGAAAATTTACTTTTTACGCAAATTGGCATAAAAAGTAAATTTTCATCCCCGTTCCCTATGGAACTTACAACGGCCTTTAACACCCAGAATAACCTAGCATCGTCAGTTGAGGGGATAGGTTTCACAACCAATGGTACAAGCGCTCAAAGCCAATACTGTACAGTACAGTCAGACCGCGCACATCTTAACCGCACACATCTTAACCGCACACATCTTAACCGCACACATCTTAACCGCACACATCTTAACCGCACACATCTTAACCGCACACATCTTAACCGCACACATCTTAACCTCACACATCTTAACCTCACACATCTTAACCTCACACATCTTAACCTCACACATCTTAACCTCACACATCTTAACCGCACACATCTTAACCGCACACATCTTAACCGCACACATCTTAACCGCACACATCTTAACCGCACACATCTTAACCTCACACATCTTAACCGCACACATCTTACCGCACACATCTTACCGCACACATCTTAACCGCACACATCTTAACCGCACACATCTTAACTGCACACATCTTAACCGCACACATCTTAACCGCACACATCTGTATTCCACAAAAATACTTGTATACGGATAGGCGAGGGAACAGGATAACCGAACACCGTTTATGTTGGATGCATCACGTATGCTGTAAATATGTAACCAGCTATTCAAGTTCTTCCGGGTGGCGAGTGATCCGGATAAAAGAGGACCGGATAAGCGAGGTCTGACTGTCCTTCTGACCTTGTCACGTGTTTGTGCGTGTATGCAGATATCTGGGTCGCAAGCGGCTTGAAGGCGTGGAAAACTGGGTACCGGGCAGTAAATACCTGGTGACGCCTAACTACTCGTACTGGACTGTGGCTTACCTGCTCTCGGCCCGCGGTGCACGCAAGCTGCTCAAGCAAGAGCCGCTCACAAACATTCTCCCGGTGGACGAGTACCTGCCCATCATGTTTGACAATCATCCACGGTGAGAATGCACAGCACAGTTTGTACATCCACGGTGAGAATGCACAGCACAGTTTGACAATCATCCACGGTGAGAATGCACAGCACAGTTTGACAATCATCCACGGTGAGAATGCACAGCACAGTTTGACAATCATCCACGGTGAGAATGCACAGCACAGTTTGACAATCATCCACGGTGAGAATGCACAGCACAGTTTGACAATCATCCACGGTGAGAATGCACAGCACAGTTTGACAATCATCCACGGTGAGAATGCACAGCACAGTTTGACAATCATCCACGGTGAGAATGCACAGCACAGTTTGACAATCATCCACGGTGAGAATGCACAGCACAGTTTGACAATCATCCACGGTGAGAATGCACAGCACAGTTTGACAATCATCCACGGTGAGAATGCACAGCACAGTTTGACAATCATCCACGGTGAGAATGCACAGCACAGTTTGTACGCACTAAATAGGGGTGTCGGACACGCTACGATCACTGCGGTATGGACCGTACCACTATTCGTCCCGGGCTATGCGATCTGACCTGTGAATCCCGGCATTGATTTGGGCTCCAAATTTCCAAACTTTTCAGAGAGGCCACCCCGACCCCACAGGTAATTATGTGTACTTCATGTATCTCACCGTACCACCCCGGCTGAAATGTCTCCTGACACCCCTGCTAAACATGACTCCATCATACAGATATTACCCGGCTCTACACCAGTTGGGCAATGACGGTCACTTTAGTTATGCCCACAGTATATTCAGGCTATCACCACCAAAGAAGGGTAGTTTCTTACCAGCCCGGCTACGCTGTGAATTAAAAAGGAAAATACTAGTAGAATGGTATAGAGTTCCTTAATAGTCTCCTCGTCATCTGTGAATGATTCTGAGGAAAATGGTAAGGTATTTTTAGAACAAAACAGACAACCTGATCAAAGGTCTGTGCTCTCATGTGTGTTATTATTGTAGTGTAGGGCATGCATGGATGTGGCAAATGGGATTTAGACCTCTGGCCTCTGGTTGGTGGATCTGATCTATCCTCCCCCACCGTTTAGGAGCCGCATCTGACGCCTGATCATGGAGTGGTGGCCCGGTACGCGAACCCGTCGAATTTTTTTAATTTTTTAATTTTTTATAGGGGATGCATCGTGTTGGTAATTATGGTCATTTCATGTGTGGCATTGTTTCCCTTCTCCAAAATTTTACTGTGTGCTTGCCTGCAGAGACAACTGGAAGCTGAAGTATTCAATTCGAGACCTGGTCGCCTTCTCCGTTCACCCACTGCTGATCTACCCGACCCATTACGTGGGCGACGAGGGTTACTTCAGCGACACGGAGCCGGCCAGTATCTGGCTAGAGCGGCACAAGATTCGCGCGGCGCAGCGAAAGGAGAAGGAACGAACTGAGCTCTGATCAGTCTCCAATGCAGGTGTCTTGAGTATGTATGGCTACACTGCAGATGTGCTTGCTGGTCAAGTTCTGTGCTCTGCTGTTATTATTCCGGAAAACAAACAAAAGCTCTGTCTCCCATCATGATTATCCTTTTCATGTCACGTGGTGTTAGCACATATGGCACATGTCAAGTGTACCTCTGATTACATCATCATTATGTGCAGCCCTATAGTGATGGTGTCATTTCAAGATGCAGCCATGTTTGACTCCAGTGACGTCATAAAGCATCAAGCAAAGCCCTGTGTTGTCAAGATTAAGAAGATGATGCTAGCGGTGTGCGTCAACGGAGTGATGCAGTTAACTGGCAAAGCGTTGTGAGGCTGTGGTCTTGCACTTGTTACAGCTTGAGATATGCCACCGTATACCCGTTTTTTTTGCGAGCTCTCAGAACCGTCATTGTTCACATGAGTTTGCCGCTGCTGCTGCTGCTGCTGCTGAGTGTCAAATCCTGAATATGCAATACCCCACCCTACAGCTAAATAAAAAAGTATTGACTTCGCTGAGAACTCATGCCATATTGCAGTACATGACTGGCATAGCTGAAATTCTGTGTCCAGCTGCTAAAACAGTTTGCTGTTTTTCGATAGAGATTATTTTGTGCTGATTTTACGCCCCAAACGCTTGCCCTATTTTCAAATGCGAAGATTAGTTATCTATCTTGTAAAGATCTAAAAAGGCAACATCACTGGCTGTGTGTGCATTGGGGGGGGGGGGGGGGGAGGGGGGGGGGGAGGAGTCTAGATTTTGGAACTCAGTCTGGGAATTTCCCGGCCTTCTAGCATTTGGCACGAGGGCCTCACCTCTGACCATGTACCTTCAAGTACCGAGGGGATCTTGACATCTTGCTGAGGCGTTTGCCATACTAGGACCAGCACATCCATATTCGCCGCTTCCAGACACAGTGGCAACGAAATCTAATAGTAATCAGCAGTGCAGTATATTATACCACCATTAGCGAAATAGTTTTATGTCAGCGAAGAGGATAATAGAATCAGAAAAGACGCGAGATGGCTTTTTATTGGTGTTGCCCACCACCATGCGTTTTGCATGTTGTAATCAAAATCACTTGCAAAGCAGAAAGAATATCCATCAACTAAATAATCAGCGTTCAAAATTCAGCACAAACTCAACCCATGAGCTGGAAGATGACGACTCAACTTATAGATTAGAATACGGCAATATCTCAAAAATAAGGCTTTGGACAATATATATAGTCACGGCAACCTCGGAAGAAGCTATAAAACTGAGAACGATGGATCATCAACAGAAGATCAGTTTCCACATGCCGAGGAGTAGAAACATCGTAAATAGGACGTATTGAAGGAGGTGACTACTCCATTGCTCCACGGAGTGCATGGTTTTAGCTTGGTAACTTACATGAATACGCTAGTTTACAGATCATTGCATCATCAGCTTATCTTAATGATGTCATTGTATTCCAACATGATGTCATCACATTCCAGTATCATGTCACTGACAGTACGGTATGCACTGGGTACTAGTGGGTAGGAATGGGGCTACCCCATCACCACCACTCGTATATCGTGACATGCTTCAACCAGCTAGCTCACGGCAGTATGCAGCCACAGCACGCAATTGATATGCAACCTCGATCAGCAGCATTTATAAGCTCCTTGCTAAAGGACACAGGAGCTACGCACTTCAGGTACTCGTTCCAAACCTGATTGTTTTACAACAGATGTTAGTCTGGTGGGAATGGACACACGGATCAGCGAATTACCTATCACTCATCCTCCGTTCTTTTCATTCCTGCATGTCGAATCCATTATCTAATCCGTTACATGGATTCAAGTTCAATCGCAATAGACTGTGCACGTTAACGTGCGCGGGGATCGAGCAGTTATTGGATCAAACTGATGCAGGAGTTGGCAAAGGCACGTTATTCACGTACCATACCGCCGTCCACCGCCACTGCCCCTTAGCAGCTGTTTCTCCTGTTGACCACTGTGCCGAGAGCCTGTCGGAGATGCGGCGTGGCGGTGCAGTGCGGTGCGTGTCCGCAGCGCCATGGAATTCTCCAGATCGTTGTCGTCCTCGTCCTCGTCGTCCTCACCCACCGCATCGCTGTTGACCGTGCTGCCGTTGCCGCTCTCTCGACTTGTCGACGTCCCTACCGTTGTGTAGCCGGGGCTGTGGCAGATGCACAGGATCTGCGCGGCCGAACGCAGTCGTTGTACGACGCCCTGCCTGATGGCGGCGGTGAGGCATACGAACAGGATGAAGTTGACAATGCCCTGGCTGTTGTCACCTACTGCCTGCGCACGGCGGAACCCAGAATCACACCACAACGACACGGCATAGTCAGAATCACACCACAACCACTCGGCATAGTCAGAATCACACCACAACCACTCGGCATAGTCAGAATCACACCACAACCACTCGGCATAGTCAGAATCACACCACAACCACTCGGCATAGTCAGAATCACACCACAACCACTCGGCATAGTCAGAATCACACCACAGCCACTCGGCATAGTCAGCATCACACCACAACGACTCGGCATAGTCAGAATCACACCACAATGACTCGGCATAGTCAGCATCACATCACAACGACTCAGCATAGTCAGAATCACACCACAACGACTCGGCATAGTCAGCATCACACCACAACGACTCGGCATAGTCAGCATCACACAAATCGAATACCAAGGCTAGGGATGGCAGTAAGAAGTCTCACAGCACACAAAGCGTGACCTCAAATGCCCGCTGAGAACTCCTACGAAACTTTTCTTCGACGTATATACTTGTCGGGCCCGCCGGAAGCGGTCCGGTCGGTCAGATTAACACCGGACCAACTTTGTAGCTACCAACGTATGTTTACTGGTGAGGGGGGCATATGTCCCCAGACTCCCTGCCATATTATACACAAACTGTATGTATATAATACAACCCAGCAGTACGCTTGTACGTGAAATATAAACCGACATACAAACCGAGGCGAAGCCGAGGTTTGTATGTCGGTGCTGGCCTCAAGCGAAGGTCCCTGGTTCGATTCATGGTGGTGACATTCAATTTTTCTTCCGACTTTTTCCTTTTTCATTCCCTCATGTATCTACCCTCAATCTGCGGACAGAACTGTTTCGTCCTTTGTGGACTTATCAGCGCAGCACAGAGAAAATGAGGCCGAACCTGATAGCAATGAAAAATTAATTTCCAAAGCCAGATTTAAACCAGGCCCGAACGTACCTTGCCAGAGTGCTGATATACCTATCAATAATAGAGAGATTCCGGAGTATGATTTTCCGTGCCAAAATCCATATGGGCGTTACGGATTTTTCGAGGCGTGCTTCATACAATTTTTCGGCACAGAGAATCCGTGTGGACTGGCTTTCATACGAATTAGAACGAGGTCTGTCTCGTTGTCCAGGAAACGACCAATCAGCGACATTCCCGCCAAGGGCCTTATCAGAGTTTAAAGCCCGCTCCATCGTTATTTTACTACTCTTGATGACGCGTCGAGGGCCTTGGATTAGTTTGAAGCCCGCTGAATATACTCTAAACTGGTGCGTACAACTCCCTGCATACATTATAGTACGGTGCAGATAATGAACTCTGCATAAAATGTACGGTGTACTACTAAAAGCTATGCATTTCAGAAGTGTGTACGGTTTTTGCCTCCCGTATTCTTTCATCTGTACGAATTTCCTTTGTCAACAGCTTGCGGAAACCTATAAAAACCGAAGATCGAAGTCATTAGAGGTATCGACAAGGGGCTCCCAAATCCCCTATATAGCTCCACAAGCTATGAATAAGAATGAAGCTCGCAATAAGAGCCCAGCATTTCATTTGCTTCTATTCTACTTTTAGTAGTCCTAAGTGGTGCTGAGTTACCATAACTTACCAGAAGAAAATATTCTTTCTTACCACACCAAGTCTCTCTGCACACAAACCACAAAACTACCCAATATAATGGTACACAAGCATGATGGAAGTGAGATAATGCATGTAACCTCGTTCTAAAATAGTTAGTGCATGGCAGGGAGGGTCTTATGGCTTGTTTGTGCCCTTCAGGGTAGCCCTCGGGCCTACGGCCCTCAGGCTACCTGTCGGGCACTAACAAGTCATAAGGCCCTCCCTGCCATGCACTAACCTATAATTATGTTTCGTATGGAGATCCTGCGCCATCAAGTGCAGAACGATTTTTCGCGTACAAATTTGGTACGAGAAACATCGCTTTTCCGCGGGAAAGACCAAGGAACTACAAGTTACGCTATACTGTCCACTAACACAACCAGTTACTAAACAATCAGTATAGCGTAACTTGTACAGTACGTATCGCCTATAAGGTTGGCGGCTATAGTAATATACCGGATATAGTGATCAATTTCTCAAATTCATTTTCATTTGCCATAACTAAGTATACACAGTTATCGCGTATAGTAATAATCGTCTATAGTAATATATCGCCTATAGTGATCAAATTCTTATTTCAAAAGACATTTATTACATTATTTTTTGCATCGATTATAGTGATTGATGTAAAATCAAGTGGTGTCAGAGGAAAACAGGGTGTTACTTCTTCGTGAAGAACTAACTTGTCCAGTGTTGTTTGGTGAGTTCTGCTTGTACAAGTGGCAAATATGCCTCCATCGTGAGGAAATGCTGATGTTGTGTGACATGAGCTGTAGCCACCTATGCAGTGCGTATGTGCACGGCGGCCCTGAGTCGTTTGACACCCCACTCGCATACATTGCATGCAGTATCGGTCATAGTGATATATCGCTTATAGTGATAAAATGCTCAAAATCAAACACCAACGCTATAGGCGATACTGACTGTAGTTCCTTGGTCTTTCTCTTTTGTATAAATTAAACCTTGGCTCTCCATCTGAGTCCATTTCCGTGGAAAGTTTTGATTTCGGTACAAATTTTCAAAATAGAAAGCCATAGCGTGGGAATATGACGTGTTTGCGATCGTAACCTAGGCAATGACGGCAAACACATAAGTTCCGTTCTCCCGGAACATTTCACTGCTCAAAAACGACGTATAAAAAATCCGTAGCGCCTCTACGGATTTTGGCACGAAAAATCGTACTCCGGAACATCTTTAATAATATTACTCACCATATTATGTTATGTAGTGATGTCATCACACTGTGACAACTATCCCTTCACTATCCCTCCGGCGCCCCCTCCCCCCCCCCCCCCCCCCCCTCCTCCACACACACACACACACACACACACACACACACACACATACACACACGCACGCACGCACACTCTCTCAATCTCTCTCTCTCTCTCTCTCATAACGCTGTGCTGGCCGTCTGCATTGTACCTGCATATACTCCAGGGCATCGAGTGACGTCTGCGACAGTTCCACCTTGCAGGACCTCTGCAGTGCGTCGGTGAACACCCGCACAGTGCCCCACACGCGCATCAGCACAAAGCAGACAGGCAGGATGGCTAGCTTGATGTTGACGCCACGAATGGCACGCTGTACTGGCGCACCCATACGCAGCTTGCCCTTGCCAGATGTCTACACGCAGAATCATCAGAGTAGCACAGTTCGTATCGCCTATAAGGTTGGCGGCTATAGTGATCAACTGCTCAAATTCATTTTCATTTGCCACAACTACATGTAAGTATACACAGTTACCGCGTATAGTAATACAGTGTAATCGTCTATACTAGGCTATAGTAATATATCGCCAATGGTGATCAAATTCAATTTTCAAAAGACATCTACTACACTATTTTATGTTTGCATCGGTCAAAGTAGTTGATGTGAAATCAAGTGGTGTCAGAGGCGAACAGGAAGTTACTTCTTTGTGAAAAATTCGCCCAGTGTTGTTTCTTGAGCTCTACTTGTAGTATTAGTTGTACTAAATGCCTCCATTGTGAGGATATGCTGACGTTGTGTGTCAGGGGCCTTGGTTGCATAAGCATGGCAGGGCGCATTTCTCACAGTATGAGTACACAGGATGTACGCTGCAACCAACTATGCAGTGTGTATGTGTACGGCGCGCTGAGTCTTTTGACACCCCACTCGCATACAGTACATGCAGTATCGGTCATAGTACTATATCGTGATAAAATGCTCAAAATCAAACACCAACCGTGCTATAGGCGATACTGACTGTGCATCAAACGTAGGTCAAGCACATGTGGAGCTGCATGCATGCATTGATTGTCACAGCAAATGTTAGCATGCAATCACAAACATCATGTCATAATTATACCGTATTTTCCCGAGTATAAGCCGCACTAAGATTTTTTTAAAAAGGCGACGTGGAGACAATAATCTTAATAATGCAATGAATATAACTAAATGCGCACTCATATCACAACCATGGGGACGAATCATGTACATGTATTCCAGAACGTTTTCTTGTCACAATTATCAATGGAATTCGTGACTAAAGAGAATGATGAAACTACAATAGGATTTATACACTTGGAGTGGAACAGCGAGGATACAAGCATAGTAAGAAAAATAGCACAAACCTAGGAACAATGTGCACAGGTAATAAACTATAGGTGAGGTGAGAAATGATAGGAAATTCAGCAAGTGCAGTGTGACAATGGACATGCATGTGCAAGTGTGTGTGAGTGCGAATTTACTGGAATAGCGTAAGTGCGGTGACATTTTCTTTTTGTTTACAAAGATTTGGATCACGAATGCGAATGTAGACTGCTTCTAGAACTTTCAACTGCTTGAAACTACTTGCAGAACGAACAACACTGAACCAAGAATCATCATAACTTTCACGACACACGGGGTTGGACAACAAATGCAATTTAATTGCCGATGTATTCTTCTTCTTCTCACCGCCTCTGCCTTCACTTGGTTTCTGACCACCACCGTCCTTCACACCATCTGCACCATCATCGTCATCATCATCATCGTCCTCTTCATCATCGCTGCTACCTTCACCTGTCGTCAGCTCTCCCAGCAACTGACCACCGGGTTCATCATCGTCACTGCACATGTCGCTTCCACACTCCTCCTCCAGCTGCCGTCGCGTTCTCTTCCTGACCGGTCTTCCCTTGCCATTGCCAAACACCTCACAGTCGTCAACCCTTCCGCTGGCATCATCCATATCCGGAGAGTTTCGTTGCATCTTTCCAGTCACCTCTGCAAACCGAGCTGCCAGCCGTTTGCTCCTTCTCAGCTTTGGTGAGTTGCGGTTGTCTGCGTCCGGCGTACGGTGTGGTCCGGTGGTGGTCAGAAACCAAGTGAAGGCAGAGGCGGTGAGAAGAAGAAGAATACATCGGCAATTAAATTGCATTTGTTGTCCAACCCCGTGTGTCGTGAAAGTTATGATGATTCTTGGTTCAGTGTTGTTCGTTCTGCAAGTAGTTTCAAGCAGTTGAAAGTTCTAGAAGCAGTCTACATTCGCATTCGTGATCCAAATCTTTGTAAACAAAAAGAAAATGTCACCGCACTTACGCTATTCCAGTAAATTCGCACTCACACACACTTGCACATGCATGTCCATTGTCACACTGCACTTGCTGAATTTCCTATCATTTCTCACCTCACCTATAGTTTATTACCTGTGCACATTGTTCCTAGGTTTGTGCTATTTTTCTTACTATGCTTGTATCCTCGCTGTTCCACTCCAAGTGTATAAATCCTATTGTAGTTTCATCATTCTCTTTAGTCACGAATTCCATTGATAATTGTGACAAGAAAACGTTCTGGAATACATGTACATGATTCGTCCCCATGGTTGTGATATGAGTGCGCATTTAGTTATATTCATTGCATTATTAAGATTTTTTTGTCACGAAATACAGACTTCTACCCTGTATATGACCATTGTTTGTTTGTTGATTTACGGATTCTCCAGAGGTAAATGGATCATGGGAGTCTCACCAAACCAATAAAATAATGAAAATATAATGTATGGCTGTGCAAAAAACTCAAAATCTGAGATTTTTAAGTCAAAGGAGAGGAAGAACAATAGATTGAGAACCAGGGGTGCTAATAGAACACTGGTTGAGGCACTAAAACAAATTAGAACGAGGTCTGTGTCGTTGTCCAGGAAACGACCAATCAGCGACATTCCCGCCAAGGACCTTATCAGAGTTTAAAGCCCGCTCAATTGTAATGTTACTACTCTTGATGACGCGTCGAGGGCCTTGGATTAGTTTAAAGCCCGCTGAATATACTCTAAACTGGTGCGTACAACTCCCTGTATGCATTATAGTACGGTGCAGATAATGAACTCTGCACAAAATGTACGGCGTACTACTAAAAGCTACGCATTTTGAGAAGTGTGTACGGTGTTTGCCTCCCGTATTCTTTCATCTATACAATTTTCCTTTGTCAACAGCTGGCGGAAACCTATAAAAACCGAAGATCAAAGTCATTAGAGGTATCGACAAGGGGCTCTCAAAGCCCCTAAATAGCTCCACAAGCTATGAATAAGAATGAAGCTCGCAATAGGAGCCCAGCATTTCATTTGCTTCCCTTCTACTTTTAGTAGTCCTCAGTGGTGCTGAGTTACCATAACTTACAAGAAGAAAATATTTTTTTCATACCACACCAAGTCTCTCTGCACACAAACCACAAAACTACCCAATATAATGGTACAAAAGCATAATGGAAGTGAGATAATGCATGTTACCTCGTTCTAAAATAGTTAGTGCATGGCAGGGAGGGTCGTATGGCTTGTTTGTGCCCTTCAGGGTAGCCCTCGGGCCTACGGCCCTCAGGCTAACCTGCCGGGCACTAACAAGCCATAAGGCCCTCCCTGCCATGCACTAACCTATAAACGAGAGAGCTTGGAAGCTCAGGGCCCTACGCTATGCTTTTATGCCTTTTTGCCTAGCTCATCGTACATGCTATAAGAACTGATGGAAATGTCTTTTTCCGTTGATTGGCCACATCACTGTATTGCAAAAACGTTTCAATCGCTTTCAATATTATGAGTTAGGCAAAAGTATTTGCAGAATTTATTGCGGATTGTTATTTCTCTAATAATCATCTACTTTTGGTTTGTTCTTTCTTTTCTTTTTATCTCCTTATACTGTAAACCAACAAATTTTGGCCGATGAGAAATAGAAACCTCTCTATTAGAGAGGTTAAGATGCACGTTATTTCCGACATGACGCGCCATTTCACGTCAAATTTGAAACCGATCGGTATTTTTGCTCTCTCATGCATCCATTGCTCAATCATGCATCATTTGCCTATATGACAAACTTTTGGCCTGCAATTTACTTTGGCCGGTTGGTACCAAGCGGCGAAATCAGCGAAATTAAATCGCCAGCGAAAATTAGTTGATTTTAATACAGTAATCGGATTTTCTGGCCTTTTTGTAGTAATACATGTACATTGACCTGTTGAGCCAATGACTTCGCCGAATGCTTGGTTGCCTGTGGAGCACATTACATAACTTTACAGCCTCCTATAATACGTATCCTGTCCGACGGCAAAAGAGGCTGCAGATTTAGTTTTTCTGCGCGTCGACGGGATGTCTGCGACGCGAAAGCTCAGCTCGCGTTATTTGGCTCGCACGTCGAAAAATCAACGCGAGTGACCTGCTGCTCACGTCGAAATTTGGACATTACATAACTTTACAGTCTCCTATAATACGTATCCTGACCGACGGCAAAAGAGGGTGCAGATTTAGTTTTTCGGCAGGTCGACGGGATGTCTGTCCTGACGTTTACTGGGACCGGCGCTGACTCTGCCGATCACGGGCGTTCTGGACTCAACGGGATGTCTGTCCTGACGTTGCCTGGGACCGGCGGACTCTGCCGATCACGGGCGTTCTGGAGTGGACGGGATCTCTCTTCCGACGTTTCCTGTGACCGGCGCTGAATCGCTCGTTCACGCTTATTTTGGAGACGACGGGATCTCTCTTCCAAAGTATGTTTATGCTGACGCATCCTATCACCTATTCGGCGTCTATTCTAATTTAATTTCCTCCTCGTCTCCCTATTTCTTTCCAAATCTCCCTCTACATCAGGGAGTCGTATACATAATACGACAAATATTGGTACGGTACGGGACAGATACAGGAGCCCGCAAATATTGTGGACAGCTGTTATGTACAATCCTGTAGAGCCTTTGTAGTCACAGATACGGGACAGATACGGGACAGATACGGGATAGCTCCAGCCGTGACACAAACAAACAAACAAACACCAAATTAAAGCTGTGTGGACCCTGGCTAGCGCCAGACGTTACTGAAGTAACGTCTTCTGCATAGCTACGGGAATAACTTTCATTGGATCATCGTGGTATAAGCCACACTGACTTTCTGGGGTGGATTGCGAGGGTTTAAAAACTTAACGTTCGGCTTATACTCCGGAAAATATGGTACATTTATCCACACCGGGTACACCGTACATACATCACGTTCCGATACCCAATGAACTCATACAGTGTACAGTGTACAGCAGGGATGAATTTACTGCCATGTTCAAAAGTTTTGCATAGCAGTTTTTGCCATGCAAAATCTCAGTTGTGGCGTAAGCTACAAAAAAGCACGGATAGCCTGTACATGTATGTATGGCAGTTTTCTGCGTGTTGCTGTGATTTTTGAGTAGCAGTAGATCGATTTTGCATAGCAAACTGCGATGCGATACCGGATAAATTCATCCCTGGTACAGTGTACTGTTAAAGGCGAAGTTAAGCCTAGAATCAAATTTTCACCAGTTGTAGTCTTCGGGCTGCTTAGTCGAATGGTCGTGGTCCGAGGAAGCTGAGACGCTCCCTTCCTCCTCTATTCCCAATCGAACTTGCGCACCTCCACCGAAACTGGGTGACTGCGCCCTACTAGATGGGGATTTGTATGCAAAATGTCACTAAAAGCGCCATTTCATTCTTATAAAAGCACGGATGACCGCGATTGGCCCATATGCTGTAGTCTTTCGGACGCTGAGTCGACTGGTTTTGGTCCGAGAATGCTGCGTGCAGCGTTCGGCCTGTATTCCCAATCAAACATAAGCGGTCACGTGCTCATGCGTGCACAAGTGGGGGAGGGGGGAGGGTCGGAGAGGGCGGACAAACCTCCATTCTTCCCCCGACAGCCTTCAAAGTCATTAAAAACTCTCTTGTTTAGACATGCACAAGTCGGCGCATGTCGCAGTATATACCGGTACATGTAAATTGTGAATGTACCCCCCCCCCCCCCCTTATTGACATATTGGCTACGCACCTAAGGAGCAGCCCTATATTGCACCCTACCTCTTGTCGTATTCTCCAGAGCACCAGCGCATACAGAATGGGGATGACAAAGTAGGAGACGCACTCCCAGCCCTTCAGCGTCACCATCATCCACAGGAAGCTGACGCCACTGCAGCTCATCTCCCCCAAGGCTAGCGGACGCGAGCCAATCCAGCACCATCCCACCGTCGTCGATAGCGACGAGTTACCCAGCCCGCCCAGGCCAAACGCCAGCGACGACACGACAACGGGAACTCCCCAGCAGACGAGATGGAAGAACTTGACGTAGCGTTTGGCCTGCGCCGTTCCGTCACGTGCTATGGACATATATAAGTAGATTGACATACACGTGCTCCACAAGACAAATCCAAGAGTGAAGATGATCCAGAAGAATGCCTCCACCTGGCAGGGCAACCCCACCGTTTGGCCCGGGTCGGTTCTGCCCGATATAGCGTTGATCAAGCACGATCCGAAATCGCAGATCGACACATAGATGAGGATCTGCCTGCTGGTGGCCTTCCTCAGCTGTGGCCAGATCACAAACGACAGGATGATCAGCGCATTGCCCACGCAGCTCAGCGCCCCGAACGTGGTCGAGACCTGGAGAGATTGCCCGTACGCAAACCACCCGGGCCGATGCACGTTGGTGTAGTTCGACAGCGCACATGTCGAGTTTTCGTCCCTGGTGCAGTTGTGCAACGCTGCTGCCGCTCTCATGCTCAGTCGTTCCATTCCGGAGCTCTGAGCCACAGCAAAACCGCCCCACGTCCAGGATGGCTCTTATCTGGTTACTGCATGCATGCTAGAGAGATAAACGAAAGTCTGCGGGACGCTCCTACGCAGGACTGAGGTTGATTTGCCACACGCACACGCGTCTCATTGAATGAAATATCCAAGACCGCCAAAGGCTGAAGTCGTAGTGAAGATGCACAGTCTGAGTCAAATACCGGTAGCACTACACTACAGCTCGTAGTATTGTAGTGACTTCGTACATGCATTTTTGTATACATAAATCATTTTTTTGTAAAAATGGCCCCTGTATATATTTTCACGTGAAAGAAATAAACTTTCTCTTTGGCCCCAACTTCGTTGTGGTCTGGTTGGCCATTGTAGCCGTCATGGTTGACGTAAAACACCATAATTGGTGACCCCTGACACTGCGCTGAGTCGGAGTTGCTGTATGGATGGCATGGAGCAGGCCATCGCGCCTTCGACCTCCGCGGCCCAGATTGAGCAGGCGCCCAAGCCCACGACCTCACCAGCCCACCATCCGCCGGTCCACCGATCCGCCGATCAACCGCCAAGATCTCCTAGCCCGCAGCCGCCTCTGACAAGATCAAGATCCGTCCTCCTCTGTCACGCGTACGTTTTCCCTTGTTCTTTTCTCTACTTTCTTTCTCTGGACTGCCTCTGACACGTTCTTCCACCTCTGTCACGCATGTTTCCTCTTTCTCTTTCCTGCATTTTCTACCTTGTTTCGGACCTTGTGTCCACGTGTCATACAACGGTATTCCACATGCAGCGCATATTTTTTCTCTTTGTACAGTCTTTCTCTTTGTACAGTGTATTTTTCTTTCCCGTCTTTCCGCTTTATACTCTTCGCTCACTCTTTCCTTTCCTTTCCAAGATCTTTTTTCCGTTTGGCGTTCTTCAGCAACTGCTCTCGGCTTCATCTCTGGTGGGGGTGTAATGTAGTGACTTCGTACATGCATTTTTGTATACATAAATCATTTTTTTGTAAAAATGGCCCCTGTATATATTTTCACGTGAAAGAAATAAACTTTCTCTTTGGCCCCAACTTCGTTGTGGTCTGGTTGGCCATTGTAGCCGTCATGGTTGACGTAAAACACCATAGTATCACAGCTGCGATGAGGACAACACCGCGGCGATCATTATTGACAGTTTGTCACAAACTGTTGTGTGATGTTTGTAGCCCACTACTTCATTCAAAACGCATGCAAATCAAAAGTCATCCTGTTATGTTTTCCTCACTTCAACGTGAAGACTTTCTGTTACGAGGTGTGTAGTGTTACGAGGTGTGTATGAATACATACAATGTCATGTTGTGTCTTCTTCTCGAACGCAGTGTGTGAGATGGCATGCCATCCTGATCAGGCATCCGGGCCGGGGCCCGGCCCGGGGGACAACGCGGACTGCATGCATCAATCGCCATCATGCAGGCCAGACTGAGGCCTCATTTACACGACAACGATTGAAAAACGTTTTTCAATCGTTTTCGAAACGTTTTTGCTGTTTACACGAAAACGATAATCGTGTACACTGGAACACTTTTTTCGGCGCGCAATGGTCACGTGCAAAAAGTTGGTCTGGCGCAGGCCGGCGGCGGCATGTTTTGAGTACAAGGCTCGTACTAGAAAAACGTTTTTGCCGTTTACACGAGAACGAAACGGAACGAAAACGATTGAAAAACACTTTGAGGCCGTTTTTCGTTTGAAACGTTTTTGAAACGTTTTTCAGCGTTGTCGTGTAAACGCTCTTATCAAAATCTGTGGAAGCGTATTCTTTTGAAAACGTTTTTGACAAAAACGTTTTTCAATCGTCATACGATTCATACTAGTCATACATGTACTTCTTTTTTTTTTCTCATACTCATAGTCATACTGTCATACTTGTGACTCGTTGTGAGTCAGTGCAGTCATAGCTTCATCGAGACGACGAGTCTAGACTCGATCTACATGTAGTCTAGTATTTGTAGTAAGATGGTCGTCGACTCGTCGACTGTACTGAGTCGGCAACAGTTGCAAAATGCTGGAGTATGGGCCTGGCCTATGCCAGGCTATGGCGCCTATGCCATGGCTATGCTGCAGTATGCAGTATGCGCTATCATGGATAGCCTATCGTTTCTTTTCTTTTTTTCGGCAATAAAATGCATCATCCTATCATCGACGTCATCCACACCACATAAACATCATCATTACGTCACATCTCTCATCGAGAAATGCGCGGGAAAGCAGTCAAAGCACAAACACCGCGCACCGCTGCATGCATGCCGTATCTCCACGCCGCGCCATGCGAGATCTTCCCACCGGTATTTGAATTTTTTTTGTGAGGAGAGAAGAAGCGATGCGACTGGCTGGGGCCAGGACTTGTGTGTGTGAGGTCGACTTTTGCCCATCCACCGTCAGTTGTTTCTGGTTTATGCATACCAATTAGTTGTTGCTGTGGCCGAGGCGAATTTACAGGATCTGGCCCCCTAGTGGGTTTGCATCATGGACCGGGCAGAAGATAGCTTGCCGTTTCTTCATGGCTCCAGGTGGGTGACGAACAGTCCACGTTGCGTCGACTAAATTTTGAATTTTCAAGAATGTTTCAGTAAAAGCCTTAAAAGGCCTATCTCTGATGGGGTGTTTTTTGTAGTATTGCACCCTCGTGATCAGTGATGCATACTGCAGCATAGTGCTCCACAAAGCAGAAAGATATGAACGTACATGAGCACAAAAGGCGCAAAGTAGGTTTCTTGCACATTTCGATCATCTGGCGACTTGTGACATGTTCAGAGGGACTTGGCCAGTACAATAAACCCTAGTGTAGTGATGGTTATAGTTGTAGTAGGTGAAATATTGCCTTGATTAGTGGTCATTTGGATGGTCACTTGGGTGAAGGAGCTATTAGCGCAGAACGTGTTGATTGTGAGCGAATATAGAAGTGGAAGGAGTGGATTGTAAAATACTATGTAGTAGCCAGATGCGTGAAGATAATCCCCCCCCCCCCCCCCCCAGACCTGCTATTGGTGGTGTTGAGAGTTCTAGACTCAAGTGTGGGTGGGTGTATGTACACATGCACTGCACATGCGTGTGGGTCTGGGTGGTTGCACACCTGCGATCACGCAGAGGCGTTGGAAGCGGAAAGCACTGGTCCAGCGCACTGGGACGTCACACATGACAGGCCACAATACCAAACAAACCGACCGAAGTTTGATAACTCAGGCATGGGCATGCAGCGTCGTTACGCGGCACAGTATTTGCCCTTGGTCAATGTGATGATAACACGACTATCAGTATTAGTATACTAGTCTTGTAGCTTAACATTGCCTATCATACATGTTTCCCGGTGCCGAAAGGCGGGCTCACCACCCCTGTATGGCAACTTCCCCATGTGTAACCCCCAAGACGAAGTGAATACCGTAGTAGTCCTACTGGCCAAAGTTAAAATAAATAAATAAATAAATAATAAAATACTTGTAGATGATGTAACAATGAAGTCAGTTGTATGGAAGTTTTGGAAGAGCATGCGCGTCTACTTCGTACGTGTATATTGTAGGTGTTCCCGTCTTTGGCGATGAAAGCCATAGCATTTTCTGCCGCTTTACCTCGCTGTGGCTAGCGCTCAATTGATGCGTTGTGAAAGCAGAACGTCCATCCTATCACATGCAGCAGAGTGTGCAAGGAAATCGCATTGCACCTTGTGTTTCTTTTTGTAGTTGCTAGAATTTTTTTCTTTTTGAAGTCGACTTTCATGCAAAACTGACATGGCTACACGTAGGACCCTTCCGACGTCGCAATGCAAGGGAGGAGAGTCATATTCGACTGCGCCTGGGCTTCCCGGAACGATGTCGATGACGAGGGCACACCACGACATGCTGCTATTCGTAAGACGAGCCATTTTCTGAGTCTGCGACGCACTGCACCACTGTCTTTTCGTCAACAAGATTCGACTCCAAGTCGATGTCCAGGCACGCACCCTTTTTTGGCGAAACATTGGTTTGGCGGCCGCTGGACCTGCCGGACCTGTTCCGACGCCCCTGTTACGTCATGGCTTCACTGATGTTCTTGAGGAGGAATTTTGTTGTTGGAGTAGTGGCATTTGGATACGAGCTTGCTCCTTTTGTTCAGCAGCGTTGTCTTGTCCGCGGTGATGATATGTAGTTTTTCTTCGAGGCAGATGTTGCATCTCTTGCTGATGTTGCTGTAGGCTAGACTTCTCTCTCGATGGACCATTAATGGGGTATGGAAATTGAAAGAAAACGCACAAAGACATCCACTACTCCACCACCATCTCTTAATTTGTGCGCGCGTGTGTGTGTGTGTGTGTGTGTGTGTGTGTGTGTGTGTGTGTGTGTGTGTGTGTGTGTGTGTGTGTTGACTTTCACTCACAGTGGCAACTTACCGCAGTTGCGGTCCGAACTGTCGGCAAGTCTTCTGGGCATGTCCGGCTTAGACAGCGCTAGCTTGCAGGATGATAGTCTCACAGGGGCTGTTGCAGCAGCATCGGGTATGTCTCTCTCTCTCTCTCTCTCTCTCTCTCTCTCTCTCTCTCTCTCTCTCTCTCTCTTTCTCTCTCTCTCTCTCTCTCTCTCTCTCTCTCTCTCTCTCTCTCTCGCTCTAGCTCTCTGTCTCGTATCTCGCTCTAGCTCTCTCTCTCATGCTTAATCCCCTTTTTCTTTCTTTTTCTGTCTTAGGCATTCCGCGTAATTTGGACAGCATCGGTAACGTCTCACCCCATCGCACTCGCTCCATTCGCGACCATGAAGCTGTGAGTGTATGCTACCAGTGTGTCTTTCAGAGGGACAGCGCAACTCTTTGACCCTCCGCTGATGACATTGTGGTGATGTAATGATGACATTATCACTAGGTCTTACTCTAGTCTGAGACAGATTTGTTATTATCATTATAGGGTCCATTCTTCCACACCTGAAAGGACAAGTGAGCGTAGATTTCCTTTCGTTTACTTCTGCACAAAGCATGGTGCCTAAGCAGATACAACCATTACGAGGAAATGAAGGAGATGGATTTACCAGATATCTGCACTTTTCTCTACTCTGAATCGTGGTCCGGAAAGCATTCAGGTATGGCAATGGACTCTAGAGCTCAATTATGGTTGTCTTTTTGTTGATGTCTGTAGCAAATGTCAGATCTGAAGAAGGAGAACTTCAGTCTCAAGCTACGCATTTACTTCTTGGAAGAGCGTGTCAAGATCGCCCAGCAGAATGTAGACGGTGGCGATGGTGAATTCCAGCTGGTTAGTTCTGTTTGACTCTCTAGGTTCTGTACAGTACTGGCGGGCGCCGAAGAACGGCCAGGCTAGAATTTCACCAAGCACAGCATACCAATGTATACACGGTGACTCAACGGTGCATAGACTGTACATGAAAATAAGAACGATCAAGGCTAGGAGGCTGCTGACCGTACTGTAGGCGTGTCATTTTAATTTAAACCCTTCCTCACGGTGCATGGACTTGAAGGCTCCGCTCCTCTACAGCGGTATTGTCTGTTCATGGTGGAATAATGGCGGTCTAGGCACACCTGACTATGGCGGTACATGTAATTGTACGCCTGCACGCACACACTCTTCAAGCTGCGAACCTTGGAGAGAGAGAGAGAGTGTGTGTGTGTGTGTGTGTGTGTGTGTGTGGGCAGGCGTGTATTTACCGCCGTTTCCCCAGGTCAGCAGTTTCTCCAAGCTTTCCCGTAGTGTTTCTCGATGTTCGCGCGCGTCTGAATGCGCTCTTACCATATACGTTACGGGAACGCGAAAAGTGATCAAGGGATTCTTCGCGTCGCGCTCCCGTAACGTAGTGCAGAGCAGCGCAGCTAGTATTCGATATCCCTGGTCGTGTTCAGTACTTTCAGGTGAACAGTGTTGTCATTCATCTGGCTATCATTATCATATGTAGGAGTCAAACGGGTGTACCTTTAACTAACGAACGGGTAATTTTCTTAAAGGGGAAGTTAAGGCAAAAATTAAAATTTCACCAGTTGTAGTCTTCGGGGTGCTGAGTCGAATGGTCGTGGTCCGAGGAAGCTGAGACGCTCCCTTCCTACTTGAATCCCAATCGAACTCGCGCACTTCCACCGAAGCTGGGTGACTGCGCCCTACTAGATGGGGATTTGTATGCAAAATGTCACTAAAAGCGCCATTTCGTTCTTATAAAAGCACGGATGACCGCGATTGGCCCATATGTTGTAGTCTTTTGGACGCTGAGTCGACTGGTTTTGGTCCGAAAAGGCTGCGATGCAGCGTTCCTACTTTATTCCCAATCGAACATGGTTGAACAAGCGGTCACGTGCTCCTGCGTACGCCAGTCACCTGGTCACCGTGCTTGCAGGGTACAACTTACTAGCCTGTTTGACCTTTTTTGGGTGCAGTCCTGTCACTCGAGTTGAACCTTGGTGTGAAAGTTGTCGCCTGCTGGCGTGGTGACCAGGTGATTTGGGCACCCAGGAGCACGTGACCGCTTGTTCAACCATGTTCGATTGGGAATAAAGGAGGAACGCTGCATCGCAGCCTTTTCGGACCAAAACCAGTCGACTCAGCGTCCAAAAGACTACAACATATGGGCCAATCGCGGTCATCCGTGCTTTTATAAGAACGAAATGGCGCTTTTAGTGACATTTTGCATACAAATCCCCATCTACATATAGTAGGGCGCGATCACCCAGTTTCGGTGGAATTGCGCGAGTTCGATTGGGATTCAAGTAGGAAGGGAGCGCCTCAGCTTTCTCGGACTAAGACCATTCGACTCAGCACCCCGAAGACTACAACTGGTGAAATTTTAATTTTTGCCTTAACTTCCCCTTTAACGGGTACCCTTTAGCAGCCATGCTTAATTTTTTGGGCAATTTTCACATAAATCAAGATATTAATTCATCTGTCATTGGAAGAGAAAAAGACATATGGATACGAGTTAAGAGTAACTCTCCATCACTGTAACATGATACTATATACAGTCAGAAAGTGCAATTACTAGGCACAAAACTGACAGAGTACTGAAACATTCGACGTCCTGACACCTAGCTTCAACACATCTCCGTAGCGCTAACTGACAGCCTTCCAACTTGGAAGGTTCAAGGTTATGGAAAGACCAAAGAGGGGAAGGCAAGCGCAACGAAAACGAGCAAAAGCTACAGTCCCAACGGAACAAAGAATCATTGGGTTGCATTTTGATATCACATTGTGATTCGCAAATCGATTGGTGTCTGATAGTCGCAGGAGTAGATCTACTAGGTACGAAAATGCAACAACAATGCAGACATCCAGCGTGGAGTTGTAAATAATTGACTCCCGCCTGGAATACACGATCCCAGCAGTGTTGTTCCGTACTGACTGGTTCATCAAAATTCAAACGGGTACCCTTTTAATAACGGTACCTGAGATTAACGGTCGGGTACCCTGTACACCCCTTTGACCCCTAATCATATGTATGCACAGTTCAGGCGCAGAACTGTGTCATGTGCACCCCCCCCCCCCCCCCCCCCCCCCTAACAATTTCGACCTAGTACTAGGCTAGGTTCAGCATGCACATAATGACCATGACGGACATGCACCAGCCATCCTGCGGCCGTGCACCACCTAAAAGGTGGACCAGCTATGCCGCTGGGCATTGTTCTTTTGCCTCGCTTCATTGCCAACTTTCAATATCCGCCTGTGCTGTGTGTCTTGATCGTGCTCCGCTGCTGCAGAATATTGACTTGCAGGTCGAAGTAGCCCAGCTCAAGAATGACAACCAGGACAAGCAGGTTCTGTTGCAACGGGCTGCGTAGGTTCCACTGTGCTCTCGGCTTTCCTTGCTCCAGTCCTGAGAATTCTGCCAATTGTTTGAAGAATTCGCACACTCCAATGCAGACACCCACACATTAGTGACATTACCCAGTCTCACCACACATGCACACGCGCGCGCGCGCGCGCGCGCGAAACAGTAAAACCTCTTCACTGAGTGACCCATCCCTAGTGTAGCAATACAAACTTGACAATTCAGACTGAGTAGTGCTCCAGAAGCAGCGCGAGTTATATCATTGTTCGATCATTGTTCCAGGATGAATATGGTCATCAATGAGAAGTGCGTGTTGACGAGTCTGGTGTTACAGCTGTATTTTGTCTCCGTTTTTTTGCAGTACGCGAACCCGTGCAATTTTGTTCTTGTTTTTTTGTTTGTTTGTTTGCAGTACTGCCATTGACACGTTGACACGCAACAATGATGAGGTATGTGTAGAGTAACCATTCGTTCAATTTCTGTACGCGTGTGCGCTGGCCATTGAGAGTTGCTTGTGCACACAGAGGACATTTCATCTGTAGTTGTGGATGGTTGAGTCCCTTTACTACTCACCGAGCACCTTGTTTTGAAGGATTGCACTAGCGAGATGTCTACTTTCCTATGATATGTTTGATCTGTGTACTTGAAGTACATGAAGTTCGACAGTTACAAGGTGCTGTTCTGGTGGACTGCTGCTGCTGCTGCTGCTGTTGCTGCTGCTGTTGTTGTTGTTGTTGTTGTTGTTGTTGTTGTTGTTGTTGTTGTTGTTGTTGTTGTTGTTGTTGTTGTTGTTGTTGTGTTGCTGCTACTTCTGCTGGCTGGTTGTTGTCGTTTGCTGCTCTCCTGTTCAATGTTCAGTTACAAGAAGGGCACACGGCTGGAGAGGGACTGCGAGCTGAGCTGACAACTGCCAGGGAGGAACTGGAGCGTTTGCAGCAGGTACACTAAGCAGTCACCGCTACCCAGTGTAACTGTTGTGACTGGTCTCGGCATTGAGTTGTGTGCTAGTGGTGGGTAGTGTGCAGTCTTGAAGTCAACCTATGAGATATGAAAAGCCTTTTTTTCGTCTCACACTGCATGCACGCTTATGTACATGTGCACGTGTTTAAAAGTTTGTATCATGCGTGTGTTTTTGTGTGTGTGTGTGTGTGTGTGTATGTTTGTTTGAAGGAGTCCAAGTTCCACCACGATCGATACCAAGAAGCCAGCAGCGAGTTGGTAAGAAACTAAATCCATCTTCTTTTCTTGCATACTCTGTAATGTTGGTGTTTCTATATCGCAGCGGTCTTGCATTTCTTCCAGGACGAAACGGTGATGGTGTTTTCCACCATAGTCCAGGGCGTGGCGGTAGACAGCCTTGCCATCATTGCTCATTAGCCCCTCGACCAACACGGCAAGGTTGCTGCGATGCCAGGGAGCATGGCCCAACCTGGAAGAACAGCTCTGTCCCACAGATTGAGAGGTATTAATTCCTACAGTGAAACCTCTCTAAGACGACCTCTCAACGGACCTTCAAAACGTGGTCTCTGTTACCAGGTGGTCTCCACATCCAGGGCCATTTGACAGAAAATAGCATCCCTTGGCTTGCTCCTGGTTTGAGAGGTCTTCTAGGACAGGTGGTCGCTTTATCCGAGTGGTCTCCTTGACAGTTTTTACTTTACTTCGGAAATTCGGTGGTTTGTTTTTGTGGCTGTTTCCTCCAAATACTTGAACTTTGTGCATGTTTTTTCTTGCTTACTGCATGCAGGGCAGCCTAAAGAGCATCCAAGAGGATCACATTGGGTTGCGACGCCATCACGACAACCTGGTGCAGCAGACGACGGCAGAGAAGGTGTGTTGCGAAACACTGTGTGCATGGCAATGATGGTGTTATTCTTGGGGCTTGTTCTTTACGTGTTGATGTTGTGGCCGCTCTTGCCTTCGCCTGGTCAAGCGAGGCGCACTGTGACAACTGGCAATCGCAGTAGAATAGGGCTTTCATCCCATAGCACTGCTTGATTGAAACTAGGAGTGTCATCGAGTAGTACGGTGCCCGTGCTACTCGTAATTAGAGCGAGTATTCGGGAAGCAGTTTGCTCCTGAGAACCCAATCGGGTAGTTGGAATAGTTTTTTTTTGTGCAACGGTGCATTTAAAAGCATGGCCACCTGCTAATACTGTATACTTTCGATGTAGCACAAGTGCACACTCACTGTACAAACTATGTCCCAAAATACCCGATAGGGTACCCGTGCTACCCGGATAGAAATACCCGAACTCGTTACCCGTCCAAACCCCTACCCGTTGCAGCCCTAATTGAAACAAGAAAATCATGCTCAGAGTGCATTGTTCCTGTTGATAATGTAGTTAGACTGTCGAGTTTTGTGTTGTCAGTGCATGCAGTTCGCATCTTACCATTGCTAATATTAAATGTTAGCATCAAGTGTCTTGCCGGTGCTCAGCTGTGCTGTGTGGTATAGTTATCTTTTCTATTCTTTTGCTATGTGTGGGTGCGTGCGCATGCGTGTGCGTGCTGTGTGTGTGTTTGCATGATCAGGCGAAGCTGGAAGATCAGTTGAATGAGGCACAGCAGTAAGTCATCTCTCTGTCTACTAGTAGTCCTTGGCGTCGCTCAACACAATCTCTATAACTCTGAACTGGAGAGGATACGCTGTACACCGTAGTTTCAAACAATAAATTGATCTCTGATGGCTCTACTCTGCCCCTGATTCTCTGGTATTCCCGCCTTCCATTTTGCTTACAGGCCGGTAAGCCATAGTGAATCTGGCGTTCCTTTTGTCCCAATCTTCTTGTCCACAAATGCATCATTTGTGGACGTGTTCTTGTAGGGAAATTGACAGAGTGCGTGGCGTTTTGACTGCTACTGAAGAAGCTAAGCAGGTCAGTCTTAAAGTGATCCAGTCTTTCACTGGGTGTATGTGCCAGTGTGGGGAGCTACTGAAGTAATACGGTTCTCGAAGTATGTGACCTTTTGCTGCTTGGCAAGTGTGGAAAATCCTAGCTATACGCATGTACATTTGTTTGCTCTGTTGGTTCATATGGTGGTAAATACTCACCTGGCAGTATGGCGGTAAGTACACGCCTGCCCACATGCGCCCTCTAGGCTGCAAAGTTTTTCATTCTGCTGTTTGCTGTGTTAGTCATTGGAGCATTTTGCGTTTGCCTGTGTTCATTGCTCTGTGTGCCCATAGCAACTTAATGATGCTCATTCTGCCTCATCGTCGCTGGCTGAGCAACTGCCAGCACTCCGCTCCGAGCTGCATGACAAGATAGCCACAATTCAGGTGATAAGAACATATGGCCACACACACACGCACACACACACACACACACACACACGCGCGCGCGTACACATACACACACACACACGCTCGTTTTTCGTTCCTCAGTAGTTTCTGCTGGTTATGCATGCTTTTGAATCGTGCCTCAATTGGTCTTCAATTCTTGGGTTGGTGCATTGTACCTTTCTGTGCCCACTGCTCAGAGCTGACTAAAATGCAACAAAGAAAAAGAATCTCTGCAAGACCATTATGTAGTTTTCCACTGCGTCCTGACTTTCTTTCGTTTTGTCCTTTCTTTTCATCGAAACAGGACCTGGAAAGGAATCTAGCCGATGTGTCGGGAAAGAATAAGGTATGCGTGTGTGTGTACGTATGTGTGTGTATATGCGTATGTGTGTGTGCGTGTGTGTACGTGTGTGTGCTGCATGGTGTCGGATGCGATGATGTTGAGCCATTATCAAATTGTGATTGCTTGGACCATCCATCCCCTCGTCCTCTCCTTCATTTCAATCTTCTTATCTCTATTGGATACCTGTCAGTGGTTGAGTACTCAGAGTTCCTCCTCTTATTGTCTTAGACCGGTTACAAAACACACTACAGTAGAACATGTTACGGTTACCACTCTGATCAGGCGACCACCTAGACTAGAGAATCACTACAACTAGGACCAAGGGGTGTTATTTCTAGTCAAATATCCTGGATATGGACACCACCTGTACATGTATAGGAGATCATGTTTTGAAGGTCCATTGAGCGGATAGCTTAGACAGATTTCACTGTACTTCTGTTTGTACGTGCGTGTGTGTCAGTGTGTGTGTGTGTGTGTGTGTGTGTGTGTGTGTGTGTGTGTGTGTGTGTGTCAGTGTGTGTGTGTGTGTGTGTGAATATGCAGCATAGACGTTGGACTGTTGACGTGGTGCACATACTCATTTGCCATGCACTCTGTGCTGGAATTGTGCTCTCTTATTTCTTAGAACTTGGCGAAGGAGAGAGATGACATCCAAACAGCTGAAAGCAAGAAGGTCAGGCATGCGTGTGTATATTAATATGTGTGTGTGTGAGGGGGGGGGGGTGTTTTGTTTGTCCATTACTATAGACCCCTTTCCGGATCGCCGCGAATCTCTATGGTTACCGAGAAATTCAAACTTTGGTGGGCAAGAAGAACCACTCTCCTTTGTCTTTTTAGTTGGTTGGATCTATTTTGTCGTCCTTTCCTTTTAGTTTCAGCCATGGTGCAGACCTGTGCCGTCATAGGATGCACAAATAGGTATACGCGTGGCTGTGGAGGTGGTTTCCACCGATTTCCAAAAAAATCCCAAGCGCAGGGGACTCTGGATTGCTGCAATTCGCCGTGAAGAAGCTGATGGATCGCCCTGGACACCAGACACTGACGAGCGAGTCTGCAAGAAGCATTTTGTTCTTGGCAATCCGAATGCAAAGGAAGCAAAGGACGACGAGTCCCATCCTGACTATGTGCCGTCCTTGAAGCTCGGTTATGACTCCGCGAACCCTGAAACAGCTACGTCGAAAATCGATCGTTCTGTCTGACGTGAGAAGTTTACTGAGCTGAGGAAAAAGAAATTGGCTGATGCTGCAAGGCTGAAGCAGAAAGAAAAGGCAAGGAAGGCAAGCCAACGACATGGTGTTTCTCATGACCACTCGTACTTCGCCGAACTTCAACTGTCCTCTCCTATTTTCAAGGTAAGAAAAAGAGATCTGACTGATTCTGTACGTTGAGTAATTCAAAATTTAGTTGTTTGTACGTTATGAATTTCATACGTTGCAATCAGCTTGTGCCCCTGATGCATCGATGTTGTACGATGCTGGAAGGTCCCCTTCTTGGGAAGGCCATGCACACTCCATTGGCCAGGCCAGAAAGACGTTATTCTTCAGATGCATTTTGAAATTTCTCTTTCTAGATGATGGTGTCTGGAAGAATTAAATTATTTTTTCGAGAATCATAAAGTGTAGGTGTATGTCTACTTGTTTGTTGCTCAGAACTCAACCGGGATGTCCAGTCTTCTGAATCTTGAAGTGCCAACTATTGCTCCTATCAAGGTGTCTACAGGTAAGGTGTCTGCTGTCTTGGCCTTCAAGAGTAGTGTCATATCTGTGATTGGTTTCAACTCTTGTCGCATGTGTACAGTAGTGAGTGAAAACGCTGCGGGTCCCATATTAGTTCAATGATTATTGTACGTTTCTAAGATGTCCTGACCTTGTGTAATATCGGTAGATTGTTTCTGATCCCTGTTCTTTGAATTGCACCTGGACGTCATGGACGAAACGTACCTAAATCTTCTCCATTGCATCACTCCCATTTGGAGGGTTAGATGTTATGTGCCGGTACTGTGATCTCACTTGTCCCTGGTCAACTGTGACGTGATTTGTGTTATCTTTCTCTTCCATGTTCTACAGCATGTGGACCTGATGAACCCTACACCTCGGACACTGATCGTTTGGAAGAGGAATGCAAGAAGTTGAGGGCGGAAGTTGAACGGCTAAAGCGGCGTTGCGGGGAACTAGAGACTGGGCTTTCGAAGGCACAGTTTGGTGTGCACTGGATTGACGAGTCTGATGAGAAGTGTCGCTTCCTCACTGGTCTGCCGAACCGCTCCGTGTTCCATGCTGTCTTAGGTCATGTGCAGGAGAAGGCCGCAAAGCTCACTGCCTGGCGCGGTGATTCCACCAGTGACCCCAAGGACAACAAGCCTGGCCCTCGGATGACCAAGGACTTGTCCATTGCCAACCAGTTCTTTGCGACGCTTGTCCGGTTGCGCCATGGTATGTGTGGCGGGTTTGTGGCAGCCCTGATGCAAATGCCTGACTCCACGTTCAGCAGGATGTACTCCACGTGGATTCTGTTTCTGTCCCGTGAGCTGTCTCTCCTCTTCCCGTTCCCGTCCAGACAACTTGTGGACAAGTTCATGCCACCGTGCTTTAAGTCCAAGTTCCCGCAGACGAGGATTATCATTGACTGTTTGGAGATCCAGATGGAGCGCCCAACTTCTCTCCTGAACCAGTCGATCACGTACTCCAGCTACAAGAGCCGGAACACCATGAAGGTTCTTGTAGGTGTTTCACCTGCTGGTCTTGTGACTTGTGTTGGATGTTTGGGGTGGCCGAGTCAGTGACAAGGTCATCACAGAGCAGAGCGGTCTGTTGCAGCTTCTGGAGAAGGGTGACAGTGTCATGGCTGACAAGGGCTTTGACATCGAGGTGCCTCTTGCTCTCCATGGAGTGAAACTGAACATCCCGCCAAAGCTTGGTGCTGATAGCCAGATGAGCGCCCAGAAGATCGAGAAGACCCGCCGCATTGCAGAGCTGCGTATCCATGTCGAACGGGCTATCGGACGTGCACGTTGCTACCGTGTCCTCAACACTGTGTTCCCTGTGAGCATGTCGAGTCTGTCGTCTCACATCGTGAAAGTGTGCTTCTTCCTCACAAACTTCGACGCCCCGCTAGTAAATTGAAGAGACATGTGAATCACTTTATTCAAGTTCTATCTTCTTTTGTTCTCTTTATTATGGTCTATTTTTTAGCACACTATAATAATAATAATAATAACCACTCTTATTTTACTTCGGTTTCTCCAACAGACGATTCGTCTTATTACTGGAGCCCGAAGGGAGGTGCACAGTTAGAATCATTTTTCTGAACATATCAGAGCAGGATCGGAGCTGGATTCGCACCCTATCTTCACATGTAATGTAAATACAAAGTACGGCTACATGGCGCGGCGGAAGCACAGTGCTCCGGTCAAGTAAAGGTCTCTGGTTCGAAGTAATATTTTCTGGAAGTGCCATAGCTTGTGAATATGAACGTACCAACTGCTGCTAGGTCTCTGGCTGCGTGCGTGTTGTTTGTGGGGTTGTGATGTGATAAAGAGTGCATTGTCTCCACTCCCCACCGCATGGCAGGTGGCAAAGTGGAAATGGTGGCGTATGCCACGATCAAGCAAAGGTCTCTGGTTCAAAATACTATTTTGTGTAATTCCCAAAGCTTGTGAATATGAACATACCAAATGCTGCCAGGTCACTGGCTGGGTGCATGTTGTTTGTGGGGTTGGGATGTGATAAAGAGTGCACTGTCACCGCGATTGTCACCGAAGCAAGTTGGTACGGGCTACCAGAAGTAGCATAATATCCAGCCAATATTTATAATGACAGACAGGTACAAGGATGTGTGCGATGTCATCCATAGAATTCCGCACAATAACAGAAAAATCGATCGGAACCGCTATGTACAGAATTAAGTTTCAATGCTGGGAACATGAGAAGGTTCCGAGCATATCCCTCGCAGAAGATGGGGCATTGCTGTACAAAGTTCCAAAAAATCTAGCGAAGCAAAATAGATTGAAATCCCTATGTACAGAATATAAACACAAAAATATTTTTTCTTGTCATTCATGACTTGTACTTTGAAAGGTACAGCTTGTGAGAGCACAGCTCTGGGATAACAAACTGCTCGTAGAAGGACGTTAACTTCATGAGCATGGTTTGCCAATGAGCGTCATCGAACATGATACGCTCTACAAGCACGCCAGCACATGTGAACACCACAAAGTCACACCACTTCTCATCCATGACCGCCATCTCACCAATCACCTGGTCATAGTACTTGTAATTCTTGCATAAGTGGGCTGACCCGTCCGCGTGGCATTCCAAGAATGACTTGCCAGGGAATTGCTGGGCGATCTGAGTTGGCGTGAGGTTAACAATAGATGTGCCCTGGATGGAGAAGGGGCATTTTATTTCCAGGCAGCCACGCTCCACCACGCCGCTCTCAAGCTCCTCCACAACGATTCCATCAGAACTCGCAGCAATGAAGTGGTAGTCACGATGGAGGCTAAGACCACACTCTCTCACGGTGATGTTCTTTCCATCTTCGAGTGCCACACTGAGGTACATGTCCCTCGCCCTGGGCTCATTCTCCACTCCCCATCGCATGGCAGGTGGCAAAGCGGAAATGGTGGTGTATCCCATGATACCGGCCAGCAGCGAGACTGGCTCCTGGGCTCGAGAGCGAACGATGTCACCAAATCGTGAGCTAGTTAGGCGCCCATGGCGTAGGTCGAACCACCACGAGTTGTCTGTCTGGCCTTTGGTGAAGTCTTCCACTTCCTTTTGGGATACACCGTACTTGGACAGTGGTCCGGTATATCGACCAAGGGCATCTTCAGTTCTTCACTCGTTCCACCTGGAAGCCTGTCAGAATGGAACAGGACCAATGGCGAAAGGTCCTTGGGTTGGCTAACTGGAGTAGCAGCAAGTCCTGATGACTGGTCTTCGACTTCCCAGAAATGGAAGAACCCACAGTTCTTGGCTGATGCCTTTCCCGCTGCTAATGCCTCCTGCAAGGTGAGTGCGTCAGCAGATGTGACTTGGCGGTGTGACGGTGCACGGGGATCAAACTCCGCTCGCAGCTGCTTCCTCTCCACTTCATCATCAGTCATGCCATGGCAAGCTTTCACAAACTCCATATTGGCGAGTGGCGGAGGATCGACATGCTTCTTTGGAGGCTGATTCCAGCGCATAGGTTGTGACGTTTTAGACAACTCCACGGGTAGCTCCACCAGATTCCTTTTTGCAGCGGATTCAATGAAGAAGAGTAGGGTAGCAACATGATTGCACGCCTCTCCCAGCCTAACATAAACAACCGCACACGCACACCATGCACGGGAGACAACAAATATATGCCAACGTCAGATAGAGCTGTCAGAACTCATCACATCACAAACTTGTTGAACAAAGAAGTTATTATAACAATCATCTGCAAAATACATGTCACTACAAAGGAACTATCACAGCACAGGTAAGGAGGAAGAGTTATAATAGGATTTATCAGTGCCGCAGGTCAACTGTCACATTTGGACTGAAGAAAACACACCAACTCGTAGTGCGTTTCTGTGAAAACACTTACCCGGCAATACAGCTGCATTGCGCAGCGTAGACTTCACCAGTCTCAGTGTTCAACGACACATACACGGTGAGCGGTGTATCACACGACAAGGAATGGTGGACGTAAGCACGGAGATAGGAGATTGCCACACCGTTCTCCCCAGATGCAGGATATTGCTTGCTCCACGCATTCTTCACAAAGCCATCGGCAAAAAGTTGGTACGCCTTCAAAGACCTGTTGCCAACAAAATTTCCAAAGACACATTTGGAGAAAAGAGACAATATTAGGGATGTGCAATTCAGGGGTTCCCTAGCTGAATTCGTTCACTGATTAGACATTGATGGCAACTGATTCGAAAATGCTAGTTGACCTCAGTTACAGTAGGTCTTTCAACAAAACTTGACACACACTGACTTTGTCTTGAGAGATTACGAATTCAAACTGCCTACTATCACAACATACCCACACCGCCTATGCTCATTACTCACCTAAATGCCTTCATGCTCTCCATATCAAACGTCTTGTCTCGTCCATAGACCAAGTACGTCAATAAATCCATGAAGTGGAACCGCTTCACAGCAGCACGAAACTCCTTGCACCAGTCTTGCACCTCGTTGAAACGAGGCAACGAAGTCAAAGTGCCCCGAACGTCTTGAGTTATATACTGCAGTCCAACGGAAGCACCAGAGGACGACGCATCAGCAGCACCAGCCAAACCAATCTTGGACATCGACACCAAGCGCTCCACGATGTCAGCCTTCTTTGTTGCTCCAGTCAACCGAACATCCAGAAATTTGGCAGTTTCCTTCAGTTCGGCCACCTTCAGCGTCGCAAGAGAAGTCTGAACCCCAACAAAATCGGCATCGCTGGCTTCGGACCAACTTTCAAAAGGACAGCCAGTGGCTGAGGCAAGGGTGGTGGCTGCTCAGCGGCAGCAGAGTCAGGGATGACAGCAGACATTGTTGGTTCCTGGTTGAAAAATTACTTTCACTGCAGTTTGGGCTGAACTTCTTGCCCACCAAACATTTTTGCGCGTCACCCGTTGCCATGCAACGCGCACTGTGTTCTATCCGGAAAGGGGTCTATAGGGAGTTCCGAAAGTAGAGAAGTGGGTGATGGGTTTCAGTTCCAGGTATGTCAGTGCTGTTGATTGTTCACCAATTTAGTCGGACTCTCCGTGCCCCACTTCCTTCAGTCCCCTTGCCTCTTGTAATGATGATAGTGCTGTGGCTTTGTCATCGATCTGTGCTCTCTCTCTCTCTCTCTCTCTCTCTCTCTCTCTCTCTCTCTCTCTCTCTCTCTCTCTCTCTCTCTCACTCTCTCTCTCTCTCTCTCTCTCTCTCTCTCTCTCCACTGTGCTTCCCTTCTCTGTTCTATTTAGTCCCTGGAACTTCGGTTGGAAATCCGCACACGGGATGCTCGCATTGCTGACCTGGAGTCAGAGGTTGCTCATCAGCAGGAACTCCTGAAGGTGTGTGTTTAGCTGTGCATGTACGTTTTGAACACTTGATGTGTGTAGGTCAGGCAATGCCCTGTGGACTTGCGGGGTCGTTTGAACACGTGCGCACGCATACACAGATACATACACACATCAGACATCACTTACGGACACACACGCTTACTGACGCGCGTGAACTCACACACAGACGCCGTGCACATATACGCCTACACGTACACATACACATCCTTGGAGAACGGCGATGAGAGTTGGTATTATCTTCTGAGCTCTGATGTGTGTTTTCTTTCTGTTTGTTGTCAGGGTGTGGAAGCAAACCTTAGAGAATCACATGGCACATCTGCACAACGGGCTGCTCATCACTATGAGGTAAGATTCTCCTATCGTGCCCTGTGTGGCATGGTTTCTTTGCTCCGCAGTTGCCAAAACATGCGCTACACCGACCCGTATCTCTCTCTCTCTCTCTCTCTCTCTCTCTCTCTCTCTCTCTCTCTCTCTCTCCTCCTTTTCCTCTTCCTCTTCCTCTCCCCCCCCCCCCCTCCCCCGCTTCATTATCACTATGTACTTCCAGTAGTTCATATGTATCTTATCCGGTGTCGTCGTAACTTGTGTGTAACGCATGTTGACTGTCCATTGTTTGTCATCTTTTGGATGAAACATTTTAATTCTATGCATGTACATCATAAACTCTGGTGACAGTATGGTGAATGACAGTGTGGTGAATGACAGTGTGGTGAATGACAGTGTGGTGAATGACAGTGTAGTGAATGACAGTGTGGTGAATGACAGTGTGGTGAATGACAGTGTGGTGAATGACAGTGTGGTGAATGACAGTGTGGTGAATACAGTGTGGTGAATGACAGTGTGGTGAATGACAGTGTGGTGAATGACAGTGTGGTGAATGACAGTGTGGTGAATGACAGTGTGGTGAATGACAGTGTAGTGAATGACAGTGTGGTGAATGACAGTGTGGTGAATGACAGTGTGGTGAATGACAGTGTGGTGAATGACAGTGTGGTGAATGACAGTGTGGTGAATGACAGTGTGGTGAATGACAGTGTGGTGAATGACAGTGTGGTGAATGACAGTGTGGTGAATGACAGTGTGGTGAATGACAGTGTGGTGAATGACAGTGTGGTGAATGACAGTGTGATGAATGACAGTGTGGTGAATGACAGTGTGGTGAATGACAGTGTGGTGAATGACAGTGTGGTGAATACAGGTATAGTACATTTTGTTTGCCTGTTTTGCTGCTGAAGGAGCTGATGGCCCAGCACACGAAAGACCTGGCTGATACTCGGGAGAAGCTGCAGGCTGCACGACAGCAAGTTACGCAGAAGGATGTGCAGATTGCGGTGAGTCACCTGGTGGCCTGGCAATGCTCTGTTTTGAAACACCAGTTGAGCTGTATGTACATGTATGCTTCTTTCCTTCTTGGACATCATATATTTTAATTTTGTGCTCATTGTTCATGTGGTAGCTACAGGGGTAGTTTGGCTTACCGTAATGCCGCGTATAAAAGCAGGTGCTTACGGCCGTATAAGCCGGGGTTCAAACCATGCTTCTATTCAAGTTATGCTTCTATTCAAAACATGTTTCTACGTCAACACGTCTTCAGTCTACACTGTACAGTGCACATTGTCATGCATGTAGTGTGCACATACATGTACTTGCACGTATGCTTCTATTCAAATCGTGCTTCTGTGTCACGGCACTCTTCCAAAAACGGCTTCTATTCAAGTCATGCTTCTATACGGGTCATGCTTTTATACGCGACACTACAGTATGCAAGTTGGGCAAGACTACGACGTCACGATAGATTTGGAGTGAGCTTGATGAGTTTTGCAAGGCTACGCCATGGTAGGTCTGGAGTGAACTTGATGGTTTTTCGCTGCTGTTGTGTTTCTACACTGTACTACACTGCAGGCGCTAGAGTCTCAGCTTGCGGAGCGTGATGGCCGACTTGCGGTGAGTGCTGGTACCTGCTCTGGCCTGTTCTCAGTGTTGTTGTACGGATACTGGCAGTGGTTAGCGTATTTTCCCGAGTATAAGCCGCACCCAGATTGTCACGGAATACAGACATCTACCCTGTTTATCAACGTTAGTTTGATCATCGGAGTGTAAGCCGAACCGACTTTTTTTGGGTGAATTACTGGTATTGAAAGTGTGGTTTATACTCTGGAAAGTGCGATATCTGTGTTTCAACAACACAAACGGTGTTTCAACAGTACCAATGGCTTGAACTTTGAATTGTGTGTTGCTCCCTACGGCTACGTGGGAGCTCGCGCTCTTCCTGCTGGCTGGAGGTCATATTTGACTCGCGAGCTTTCAGGTAGGGAGCAACACGCAAGTCCTCAAGTATCGCCGGAGTCGCTACAAACCTCCTCTTCGTGAAGTTGAACTGTTGAAGTTTCTAGTTTTGTGCGACTGCACCTTACAGAGAGTTATGGTTAGTGGACTTGCTTGTCAATGCTTGTCCGGTCCTGTGCTTCAGAGGTCAGGTGATTATGTGCTGCTTGTAGTCACTCTGAGTGTTGCATTGATGAACTCTTTCTCGGCTTCGAAACGTGTTACTTGAATCAACCAGTGTCCAGTGCCGTCCAGATAAGGACACGTGTGTGCATGCATGCATGCATGAGGGTAGTCAGTTGGTGGGGGCGGACGAGCTGCCCAGGTCTCACCACCACTGCCGTTTCTGTGCTGTCTTCTCTATACATACGCATGTACACTGTATATCATGTGCACATTCACATGTCTGAAGGTTTGTGGTTTTCAATAAAAATAAATAAAAAAATAAAAAAGTTGTGCAATACGAAATGCTGGAAATTGTGGAAAACATGGGTAGCTTCCAGGTTTATGAAGACCAAGCAAGTCCTGAAATAGTTGCACCGCCTCCCTGGAAAGCTGTGGAATTGTTCGCTCTCAGAGATTAACGTAGTGTTGTATGTTCGCTGTGTGTATTGACCTGTGTACAGATGTCGGCCACGGAGGTAGATTCCAAGTCTGATGCGCTGCAGCTGGCGACAACCAACGCGCAGAAGAATGCCGATCATGTGAAGGTGCGGCTGGGTGTGCGTGCGCCGGCTGTTAATCTGTCTCACGTATCACTGTGTGTGAATTAAAATTATTAAAGGTACACACATGTATTTCTGATAGTCAGGGTAGCACAGAATTATATGGTTCTGGTGTACATGTAAATTATTGTAGATTCGAGTGTATGTATTATGTTCTGGTTTGTAGTAGCCCTGTCTCTACTTCTACACGTAGTACATATACGTACGTACGCACGCTTTGATTTGTTGTGCATGTACGTACATATCTTACCGAATACTCTCTCTCTCTCTCTCTCTCTCTCTCTCTCTCTCTCTCTCTCTCTCTCTCTCTCTCTCTCTCTCTCTCTCTCTCTCTCTCTCTCTCTCTCTCTCTCTCTCTCTCTCTCTCTCTCTCTTATACTGTCAGATGGTTACCCAACACTTGAAGTTACAGCAGTCTCCACAAACAGCCTCTCGTCTCCTGTTCCCTCTCCTGCAAAATGACTCAATCTGCTTATTTCATGTAGTTGTTCTTGATGTCGGCCTAATTGTGATGCCATGTGGTTCTGTGTGTGTGTGTGTGCGTGTGTAGGAACTTGGCGCACAGCTGAAGGAGAGGAATGCTGAGGTTAGTCGTGGTCTTAATGTACAATATCGCTTGCAGCCATGTACAATTGTGCATGGACAATTGTGCATGTACAATTGTGCATGAACATTTGTGCGCATACATATACACACATGTGCTTATTTGGACAGCACTAGACTCTAGCTGATTCAAGTAACTGGTTTCGAAGCTGAGAAAGAGATCATCAAAGCAACACTCGAACCGCGTTGTTGTGGAAGTGAATGACCTGTTTGTCGTGGCATTGCTTGCTGTGTGTTGTTCTGTTTCCGGTGTGCTATGGCAGTTAGCACGACTGCGGCAACAGCTAGCCGACACTCAAGATCGTCTGGATGCAGCAGCACAGGACACTGAGCTGCAGTCCGATCAGGTATGGTGTTAACCTGGCACTGTGTTGTCCCGTGTGTGTGGCATGGCGTTGTCCTGTGTGTGTGGCACGGCGTTGTAAGCATTGTTGCCAGCATAACAGGGGCGGGGGATAGAATGAGACAATAAAACTTCAAAGGAAAGTGTGCTGTGCAGTTACTGCTGAGGTGTAGGAATGCCAGTGGTTCTATGGGCATACTCGTGTGTATATAGACGTAAACTCTTCTTAACTTCCTGCAGGGAGTCTGCAGCGGTCATCTTCGGTGGTAAACAGGTCCAAAGTACAGAAGTTCTAAATAGGAACATAGACTTTGATAACGATTTGTATTTAGGTAAAATGATTTTGTTAGGCCGCCGAGCACTTTTGGAAACACTGAAACTAAATTGTGAGAGGTAACTCGGGTGGTGGAAGATAAACTTATGCAGCGTAACCAAACACATGAATTGCCGCCGATACTTGAGAGACTCGAGCACCGCTAGCTTGTTCAAGTCAGACTTGGTAGTTTCGTACTGGAACTTAATCTTCTTCTTTTTGAGGTATGACCGGACAAAACGCGCTTGGATTTTCTCCAAGGTTTCTGTGTGCTTTGCTGTGAGACGACACGACCATACGACTGCAGCATATTCCACCACCGGTCTAACGTAGCCTTTGTATAACATCATGAGTACTTTTGTTGTTAGACGATTTGACATATAACATAGCAGATTCACACGTTGTCGGAACTTCGAGAGCACGCATTCGAAATGATTCTGATATGATAGCCTTGAGTCAAACAGGACGCCCAGATGTTTAATGGTGGGCACAACCTGTAATGGTGCGGCGTCTAGGGAGTATGTAGGACCGGTTCTGATGGAAAGGACTGATGTTTTGGCCGCTGAAAACTCACCACCGCAATTGCGGGCCGAGCTTTGACATGCATCAACATCTGACTGCATCAGTAGTTGCCTAGTAGCCTGGCTGGCTGTTGTGTTGGGGCATAGCAAAGTAACATCATCGGCGTAGACGAAGGGTGTGGCAGACTTCATGAGGCGAGGGAGGTCATTGATGAAGATGATGAAAAGCAGCGGGGACAGGTGGGATCCTTGCGGTACACCGCAGGTGACGGTGTACTGCTGCAATCGGGTGTCGCCCACTCTTACTGACAGGTCTCTTGCATTTAGGTAGCTTTGAAGCCAGGTTACTGCATGCGGCTTGGCGAATCGGCTGAACTTGGTGAGAAGAGTGTTGTGATCTACGCGATCAAATGCTTTGCGGAAGTCCATACAGATCACATGGAAATCATGGCGGTCATCTATCAGGCTGGCCATGTGCTGGGAGAGAAGTATCAGCTGGTCGGAGGTGGACTTATTTCTAACATAAGCGAACTGCTCTGGGCATTATTATAATGTAACATTTCTCCAAATAGCGTTGGAGGCGGCGCACTGTGATTTTCTCAAACAGTTTGGCCAGGTAGAGTAAGAGCGAAATAGGCCTGTAGTTCGTGGGCTCCACGGGGCTACCTTTGTTCCTGAAGTCCAAATGTGGACGGCGCTGCGCCGCTAGCTGTGTGGAGCACAGTATCGCAACACCACCGCCGCCTAGCCCTTTCCACTCTACGTCGCATTGGTCGCGATCTCTTCTAAAAACGTCAAAGCCTCGAACGGCTACTGCTTCGCTTGGTATCGAGCTGTTAAGCCATGTCTCGGTTACGCAAAGTACATCTATACGGTATTGTTGCAGCAAGCAGCTGAAGTCGGCTATTGTTGGTTTAATGCTACGGCAGTTTAAAATGCATACAGTTATTTGGTTGGTTCAATGAGTTCTAAATGATAGGTAATTATGGGCATGCGAGGTGCTAGTGTATGTACTTGGTGCAATAGGTGGGTCTTGGGAGATACTCGTGATATTACAGTCAGTAGGTATGCAGGGAATATGCGTAGGGTGTTCAGTCACGCGACCAGTGAATTTTTATTCGTTGGAATTTTGGCACCAACTTTTTTTTGTTGGAAAGGTATGTTTGTCACGTGTTCACTCGCCAAGTTTCAGCTCAAAATTCCGAGCCACGATCGAGCAGTGGTTGATCGAAATATGCACCTTTTCACACAAAGAAGCCATACAACTTGCATACAAGCCATGGCACACAGGCCAATTCTGGCCTTCCATAGCAACCAGCATGGCAACCAAAAATATTGTGGGATTGCTTTGATTTTTTGATGAGAACAAGCCAACATGAGGTTTGGTTCTGAACTATTGTAGTTTTTTGTTTCAACTGTCAAAATTTGAAATACACCCCTAGCAACCACCATAGCAACCATATTGAAATGCATGAAATGTGTTGTTTCTATCACTTGAAACGAGATACAAACCAAAACACAGCACTTGTGGGGGTAAATCTCTGGTTCATTAGTTGAAACCACACACAATAGTCAACATCAACAGGAAACTTGGCAATGCACATCGACACATAACGTGACATAATATAAAAATCACTCCAAAGAATATCCCGCAACATCAAAAAAAGTCGTGTCACAAGTTGGCGACAACTTTCTCTACAAGCGCCAACACTTAGTATCAGCATTCAGCAAGTACTGTACAACAACAGCAAGCAAACAAGTACATGACAGATAGGCTACAGTCAGACCTCGCTTAACCGCACACATCCGTTTTCCACAAAAATATCCGGATAGGCGAGGGAACCGGATAACCGAACACCGGTTATGTAGGATGCACTGCGTATGCTGTACACCTGTAACCAGCTATTTTCTTCCGGATGGCGAGGGATCCGGATAAAAGAGGACCGGATAAGCGAGGTCTGACTGTATAACTATAAGGTTGGCGGTTATACTTCAAAGTAGTAATATACCAAGTGTACTGATAACAGCTACGAAAATCAAAAGCAAAAGTACCGTTTAGTACGGTTTACATTGATACTGGACCGCGTACCGGCTATAACAATAATCATGACAATCAGCTCTAGTAATATAATTATCGGCTGTAATGATCAAACTCTGCCATCAAACCAGCCAATCGCACACATTCTGCACACATTCTGCACACATTCTGCACACATTCTGCACACATTCTGCACATTCTGGATCGCTTCTAGTAATACTTCCAGTGATCTCCTGAACAGTTCAAACACAGTCATTACGAAAAGAGAAGAAAGAAGGCTACAATCCAGCCCAAGACGCTGCCATCATAGCCAACACTCCATGCCAATCACAACATGAAACTGCACACTGAAGGAAGTCATGTGAAGAATTGCTAATCGGTCCAGCACATATTATTATCAACTGCAATTACACTGTAAGCACTAGGGAAAGAACAGTGCATGGAAAAGAGATCAAGAAAGGTATTAAACACATTGGAAGCACTGCCTGCAGCACACAAGAGCAAGGCTTCACCTACCTATGACTCTGCCACATCTGTAGTTGGCTGAGCATTTGGGGCAATGCCGATCACCTCCTTCAGGTTGGCAACTAGCTTGGCTATTGGCAAGTTGCGGCCACCTGAAGTCAAGTAGTACAGCTGCTTGTCGGCATTCTGCAGCAACACGAACTTGCGAAATAGAAGCTGCACGCGCGACGCTACTCGTTGGCCTGTCACAGAGGGGATTTTCTGTACCTCCTCGCTGATGTTCGTTTCATTACCCCAAAGACCATACTGCTGGATGTCCTTTGTCAGCTGCTCTTTTCGCGCAAGGTCTGCCAGTTGCTTCTTCTCTTTCTCCGCTTGTTTTTTCTTCAGCTCATCCAGGTGGAACTGTCGTATCGCAAGTAGGCGATCCTTAAATTGTTAGCGAGCAGAAGAAGCCGTGCACCTTGCCACCTCAACAAGCTTGGCCGCCTCTTCCGGCAGTAACGAAGTCAGCCAGGCAGCAGTTTCGTTGTTGGCAAATAGAATCATGCCCTCTAGGGCCACAGTGTCGGCATTGGGCTTCTCCCTTAGTAGACGATCCAGTTGGGCAAAATCACGTTCGCTGACGGCGTTAGTTTTACGGACAGGGGCAGTCTCAGTCACCAGGCTGGAAGCCTCATCAACACTGTCTCAGTCACCAGGCTGGAACTGCCTCATCAACACTGTCCATGTGATATTGGGCAGTCTCAGTCACCAGGCTGGAAGCCTCATCAACACTGTCTCAGTCACCAGGCTGGAAGCCTCATCAACACTGTCCATGTGATATTGGCCTTTGGGGAGGTGATCAGAGAGAAGCCGAGTCGAATAAGCAGCAAGTGTTGAGCAGAGGTACGTCAGGATTTGCAGTGTGAGGTCGTCATATTCCTCCGACGGCTGCACCAGAGCCGAAAACACTTTCGCACCAGGAAACGGTCGTGTGCTGCCATCGGGAAGATCACTGGCATCCTTCCCCCGCTCATTTAGCTTGTTGGTGAGGTCAGTGTAGTAGCGGCTCATTTCCAGGATGGTGACATTGGGATCCTCTAACACACACCAGAGCGGACCGACTACAAGCTTGGAAAAGATGCCAAGCGCCCTAGCACCAGCCACGAAGTCTGTCTGACTCTAATCTGCTTTTTAAAATCGCACACAGAAGCTGATTGTCACGCACTGACACATCTACAAGAAAACTCAGCATTTTGCTATGTAGATAGTATACGCCTGCACCGTTGGTGAACAGAACATATGACCTATTACCGCGGTACTCTTCTAGAGGTAATTTGGTGTTTGTTTCTGAAAGAAAGGCATGAAAATCACCCACGCAGCCAGCTGCCTCATCCCCATGCATTATGCGGACTTACAGTTAGTGTGGTTGAAGTACTGTGATGGCCCTCTGGGTCTGCGGCATCCTATTGTCACCTACCACGGTCATTTAGGAGAGAGGCAATTCGCTCGTCCAACAGCTAGCGGTGCTCCATCCTGCATTATTACATCGAATGGCAGGGTGCACTTGACGTTCTGCACGCGCAGTGATCTATATGCGGGCAGGGCAGCCTTGCGCGCTGCCTGCTGCCGTGGGGTCAGGTCACGACCGACATACAGGGGTTGGTCGCCGAACTTTAGTTCCTTGCGATGCCTAAATATGGCAGACTTCATACCTTGGGTAATGCATATCACACGCACTGTACGTGGCCTCTTGGTAAACTAGCTCAGGCAACTTGCCACTAAGAAACGAGCAATACTATCTCTACGAGTGTTTTCGCAAGATGAAGTGAGCGCATGTACTCTTGGTGTCATTAGTTACGGACGATGCAGGACGCGGATGGTCGGCGTTGCCCTTAGCAGCTGTGCCAGGACGGCGCTTGCGTGTACCCACCCGTTCCACGACGACGTCCTTTTCCAGGGGTAGACTATTGGCTGTGCCGGCAGAGGAAATGGCATTCGAAATTTTTCCCCGCACGTCTTCATCATCAGTTTCCTCAAGACCAACCACCATAACATTGTTCGCTCTTTGGGAGTGGGCACGCGATTCCTCAATGATGCTGTGCATTTCCTTGCGGCTCACAAACTCACTGGGTCTAGCACATTCAGGAATTTTTGAATTTGCCGTGGGTGCCTCGTCTTGTCGTTCACAAATATCCTAGCTCTTGTCGCCAAATGTTGTCAATTCTGCTCGGATTCTGTGTATGTCCACATTGACGTGGTCCTCGAGGCCGGCGACCTGAGCAACATGAGCCTTTAAATCACACTCATGCACACGTTGGGTCTTTTCTTACTTGGTCATGCGTTTCTGCACTGATTCTAACTCAATGGAAAGGCCGTTGAGTTTATCTGACACTGAGTCTAGCTTTGTCGACATGACGGCCTGCATGTCACGTTGGCCAGCTAAAATCACACTCAACATGTCGTCTTCAGTTCGTTAACCAGTGGCTCTTACCGATTCATTGGGTTTCTCTGTTGGTGGCGTGTCGGGGATGACGATGTCTCCGACTCCCCGTCCGCGCTGGTAGACAAACTGTCGGCGGCATTCCCCGCCGCATTCCGGGATCGTTTCTTGGTTCTGCTCTCAGGACTGCTGTCTCCAGTGACAGGGCTGCCGCTTTTCCGCTATCCTAATCTTCCAGTCAGCGTGGACAGGGGTAAAATCTTGGTAGGGCCCGCCGAGCTTAACCACGCCTCCTTCTCTTTTGACGCCATTTTAGTTTATTGCTGATTAAAATTGTCCCAAGTGTGCTTGTGTCTTCGTAGGTAACTTGTAGTATGATGTGAAGTAGGCTTGGGAGAGAACTTCAGTAAGATGTTTGCTGTGTGTGTGTGTGTGTTTACATGCATGTGTTTGTGCATGCGTCTGCGTGTGTGTTTGTGTGTGTGCGTGTGTGTTTGTGTGTGTGTTTGTTCTTATGGTGCTCCTCTTGCCCGCCAGGATGCAGCACAACGCGATTCTCAACTGCGTGCTCTGACGCGTGAGCTCGACAAGCTACGTGCAGCACTCGACAAAGAGCGTCAGTCTAAGGTAACGTATTCACCGTGACCAGGCTATGGTTGTGTTTGCCTGAAAACGTGTCTCCAGCTATTTTCATTTCTTCTTTTGGACGAGAGCAGCTGATACTGTTCACCTTCAGATGAACCCGGTGTATTCTTTTGTAGAAGTTTGGGGATTCAGGGATAATGGACTACAGTCAACTTCGCTAATAACGACTGCGGATATAACGACAATTCGCGAATAACGACAGAATTTCCATGCCCAGAGCAAAGTTCCATCCCACTGTAATACATATAGTGAGACTTCGGGTATAAGAACACTTTTTTTTACACTTTTTTTACACTTTTTTTTACACTTTTTTGATGCCCCGCTGAGTGTCGTTATACGCAAAGCTGACTTTATAACACAGGACTGTGACAGGACTGTGTATATTATGTGTATGCTCTCACTGTCTTGTGTTCTTTGTGGTGTTGTTGTAGGGTACCCTTCAGGAGAATATCGATGCTTTGAAGGACGCACTGTCCAGCAAAGAACAGTCTCTGCAGGTATTTTCTCTCTCTCTCTCTCTCTCTCTCTCTCTCTCTCTCCCTGTCTGTCTGTCTGTCTGTCTGTCTTGCTGTTGATCCGAGATGGAAGTGTAAGCAGCCAGTATGTGTTGGTCCGTGGTAGTGAGGCCTTTGGTAACTGTATGTTTGCCCATGAAACCCATGATAGGTTTGGTGGAGTTGGTCCAGGTTATGGGAAACCAAGTAGCTGATGGTGAAGAGGACATCCAGTTACTGTGCATTCCTGTCCTGAAGGTTCTTCTACCTAACTGAAAACAGTGCTATTGTTGTGTCGCTTCCGATGCCCGTTTTTCCACTTTCACGTTTTCTGTTTGTAGAATGTTCGCCGTCAGCTAGATCACTCTGCACAGTTACATCGTCAGCGACAGACACGCCTAGAGCAACAGTATCGGGTACGTTTGACTCGGCACAACTCTGACGGCCTTCTTTTCAGGACTAAGCTTTTGTTTTACAATAAGCCTGCCAATTTTTTTTGGAATATTCAATATTGCCGTAGGTATTTTATTTGCAAGAAGGACTTTGACCATGCTGCTCTGTCTGCCCTTTTTCATTTATATGGTTCTATAGGATCAGATCGACAGCCTTACTCGTGATCTCAGTCGCCGAGACGAGGCTGCTTCTCGTCTCTCTGAAGCATTGCAGGAGAAGGAAGAAGCCATCAGGGTAAGGCAAGGAGAGATAAAGACAAACGAACGTTACCTGCATGATGCTGTGTTGTTGCTGCTGTTGTTGTTGTTGTTGTTGTTGTTGTTGTTGTTGTTGTTGTTGTTGTTACCGTCATCGTCGTCGTTGTTGTTTGTGCATATAAAGTTCATAAACATCATAGAAGCAGTGTATGGGTCTGGGCCTACCGCAGCAAGCATTTCTTTCCTAAGGGGTCGTCCGTAATTATCGAAAAATTAAAAAATCCGTCCTCATGCAAAATTGTCTCCGACCCACCCACCCACCCCCCATTTTTTCCCATTAATTTTTTGATTTTTACCAGCTCGAAAATAAGAACTCCTGACCCCATGTTCACTGATTGCACCTACATGTACATGTACATGTATGTCAAGTACTAGTAGCTATTAAAGTAAGTGAGTAGGAGGTCTACCGACGGCCATGCACGTCCTACAACTACATGCACATGTACATGAAGAGGCATGTACCGGTATATCATACTGGTGTTTGCGATCCTACACTACGTCTACAGTGCACTACATGTCAGTGCAACAAGTGTACGAAAGTCACTGAAGAAAGAAAAAAAAAAAAAAAGAGGTACGAAAAATCAAAAAATTAGATTCCGCCAGCGCTCTTGACCACCCACCAACTTTCTGCCTGAGGGCGGATTTTTTAATTTTTTGAGAAATATGGACGACCCCTAAACAGCCCACTTCCAGAATGGTAGTTGTGCTTCTGTCCTGGCACATTTCTGTTGTGCTCTGTCATTGTGTGTTGGTTTGTGTGTTTGGGTGCAGGGCTTGTCTGAAATGGCCGGTCGGCTCAGCGGAGATGGCTCCTCAGATGTGAGTTCAGTCTCAGTTTACAAACTATTGCATCACATTCCGTCTACTATCATCCTAAACAAGGAGCTTAACATGACGGGAACTTAACTTACTCTTTAGAGAGTGCACACAAAAAGACAAACAAAAGGACTGTTGACTACAATGTTGTGAATCATTCACTTGAGTAGACAAAGACAGTTCTGGGAATGTCATTACAACGAACAACATTGGGCAGTGTTTCTGCACTGCAATACCGTGCACCATGTAGGTGCTCATGGATGTATCTTTAAACAATACTTTGTTCTTAGTTCTGGACAGACTTGCATTCATGGCCGCCTCCCCTGATAGATGTGTGATTTGTTACCATTACGATCAGATTCTGATGACAAGAAGAACGTGTTTCAATCTTTGTCTGGTGTTGTCTCGTTTCCATTGCAGCATCGTGACCTTCATGTCCGTCAACTGACCAATCAGATCATGGAGCTGCGTCGAAAGATTGAGGTGCGTGTGTCTGTGTCTGTGTCGATCTGTGTGGGCGTGTGTGTGGGTGTTCATGTGCGTGTGTGCGTGTGTCTTGAGTGGGTAAAATGAGGTCTGACTGTATGCAATACTTAGTGTGTATATGACCAACTGATCCTGTTTTCCATATGGTACCAGTACTCCTTATATGATTGACACACAGTCCTTTTATTGGTCTACTCGCTATCATGTACTGGGTACCGGTGAACTATGTGTAGAATTTCCCTTCGGGAACATTCCCAGGTTGAACATGAGTTTTAAAAGTCTGTACCACCAAACACCCTGTCAGTGTCAGCATACATTATCGCTTCGGCGATTGTTTCTATGGCAAGCTGAGAGTTTTCTCTTGCAGATAGTAGATACATGTTTCGATCGTGAGCCAAGAATTGACGATAGTTTGAACTCACGCGGTTCATGCAAATCGCGTTTGTACGCTATGTACACTCACGACGTAATAATAATACGTCACGCGTGGGAGCAGTGAGTCAGTGACACTGTACGTGACTTAATAATACGTCATACGTGCTCAAAGGGTTAAGAAATTAGAGGGCACATGCCTCGTACTGCCCTTTTCTCTCCGAAACTCAACACTTGCAAGCCAGATACGAAAGAAAGAAAAATCATGTTGTCCTTTTCAAAGTGAATTCACATGCTTCTCACTGTGCTGTGTGCTGCCTCGCATAGCAACTCACCCAGGACTCCGATGCCCGTGTGGACGACTTGGAAAAGCAGCTGCTGCTGCTGCGCCGTCAGAACAGCAAGCTGCAGCGAGAGCTGAAGGAGTCCCAGGATGATCTGCAGCAAAGCAAGAGACTCTCAAAGGTAACAACAGAATAATGGACTGTGCTCCCTCGCATCTCCTTGTGTTGTCTGATGATTGGTTGTTACCATGACAACTCTGAGTTACAACACGAAAAACTTTACTTTTCTTTACGTACCTCTTGTGTACTGAGCTCTGCTCATCACGGACATTTGAGTCACTATAGCAGGTTTAGGCACACTGCCTTTGTGAGCAGTGAACTTGTAATGTATTGGAGTAGTAGGAGGAGGATCCAGCGGCGGTAGGGTGCTCGGTGTGTTGTCACTTGTCAGAACAGGTGTCTGATTCGTTGTGCTGCTCGGTGCTACAAGGCTGTTGTACTGCCATGTACTCGTGTTGATGTTCAGCCTGTGGCTATTTGTGAGCAGTGCATGGAGTTGCATACTCACCTATTGCACCTTCACGAGTTTTCGCTTGGCTGCTTTCGTGACATCTGTTTGTGCGTGTGTTTGTGTGTGTGTGTGTGTGTGTGTGTGTGTGTGTGTGTGTGTGTGTGCCTCTCTCTCTCTCTCTCTCTCTCTCTCTCTCTCTCTCACGCAGCGTAAAGACGACGCCAACGAGAGTCGTGACAACTTGCTGGATGTGTTGAATCAGTCGCTTGGAGCAGGCGATGGAGATGAGGTAGGTGACAGGCTATGACAGCCGTTTCCTACGATCAAATCATTGGCTACTTTCTCCAACCAGATTCTTTCTAGCGCATGTTTGATTTTTAGTGGGAAATTGTCAAATTTCCTAGCATCCATCTCTCTCTCTCCCTCCCTCTATCTATCTCTCTCTCTCACTCTATCTCTCTCCCTCCCTCACTCTATCTATCTATCTATCTATCTCTCCCTCTCTCTCTCTCTCTCTCTCTCTCTCTCTCTCTCTCTCTCTCTCTCTCTCTCTCTCTCTCTCTCCCTCCCTCCCTCCCTCTCTCTCTCTCTCCCTCCCTCTATCTATCTCTCTCTCTCTCTCTCCCTCCCTCTATCTATCTCTCTCCTTCTCTCTCCCTCCCTCTATCTATCTATCTCTCTCCCTCCCTCTATCTATCTATCTCTCTCTCTCTCTCTTCCTCCCTCCCTCTCTCTCTCTCTCTCTCTCTCTCTCCCTCCCTCTATCTATCTCTCTCTCCCTTTCTCTATCTATCTCTGTCTCTCTATCTCTCTCTATCTCTCTCTCTCTCACACAATACATGGGTTTTATGATGTGTACATACTTGACTCTTGTTTTCAATCCGTTTCTCTTCCGTTCTCCTCACACACATGCGTTCTCCTCAGACGGCCATGAACCTGCTGCAAGCGGAGCTGACGGCGCGTGAGAATGAGATAGCAGCGCTGACGTCACAGCTGCACGAGAAGGAGAAAGAGCTGCAGGTGAGAATGAGTGACGTTGTTGTTTTATTTTAAATTCGCACAATAAAGCGGGCAGCAAGCCCAATTACATGAGAGCGAATGTGTATAGTTCGTGCATATAAACATCATAGAAGCAGGGTTATAAGAGAATGCGAGGAGGTGAAGTTCATAATTTAGGATTAGGAGACATCCCTCAGTGACGTTGTCGCCGCCGCTGCTGCCTGTCAGTGAGTATCTGCTGCCTCCTTAGCCTCCTTGGCTGCCAGGCTGTGGGCAGTATGCACACTCACTGGTACTCTATGCTGCTCACTGCATTCACACTCTGCTGCCTCCTTGGCATCCTTGGCTGCCAGGCTGTGGACATTAGCCACACTCACTACATGTAGTACTCTAGGCTTGTCTCTACACTCACATTCTCCCACCGCTACTGTTTGCTCTTCTGCCAGGCGCTGCGAGCGGATCATGACCAAACGCAGAAGTCGCACGCTGACTTTGCTCAGCAGCTGCAGGCATCGCTGCAACAGAAGGACAGCACCATCGAGGTGAGGCATTGGTTGGTTTGTTGTTATTATCATGTGCGTGCTCTTGGTCTACAGTAGTCTGATTTTGTTTCATGTACTGTGCGGAATTTCTCTAATAGACAGTCAGAGTATGATGTGTGTCTGCCTGTGCGACTTTGCATTTATACTAGTTAAGGAGGCTCAACCCTTTGGGGGTGAAATTTTTCCTTCACAAACACCCTCTTTTTGTGGATGTTTGTGCTCCCTAGTATCCCTAGAAACTTTTTTTATAATCTTTAGGTGGGGGTCGCCGGCCTAAAAAACACCCAAAACTGCCTCATCATGCCGGTGACCGGCATGGCGAGGCAGTTTTGGGCGTTTTTTTTAGGGGTCGGTTTATTTATCGATTTTGGTCAGAAATTGCATGTTTTGGGGGTATTTTTCAAAGGTACTACTCTCTAGTTGTCTTTTTTCACTTTGAAGTCACAACTTGCTCTTTGCAGGATAAAGGAATAGACAAGTGGGCTTGCCTTTTCCTTTATCCTGCAAAGAGATAATTCATTTTATTCAAAAAATTGTAACATGGAAAATGTGGGCACAAGTTATGCGATCGAGTCTACCAACTAAACCGGATTTTGAACAGACGTGCACAATCTATCGCATAACTTATGCCCACATTTTTCCATGTTACAAATGCTTTCCTTGGCTCCCCATCTGAGTTTTTATTCAAAGAACGAAACATTGCGAATACGCCCAACCATGCTGTAAAAAATTGTGTACAGCTCCCTTTTTTCTTCATGGGCACCCTGTTTTTATTCCTGTTCTGGGATCCTCATACTTGAGGGAAGCTGAAAATACACAATTTTAGGGGGTTACCGTGCATTTTAGACCCCACAAACAAAAATAAATAAAAGGGGGTTTGTCAACTGACAACCGCTCTATTTAGTTGCTATTCACTCTCGAAACGTCACTTTTTGTTTCGACATCACTGTAAAAGAATTTTCATCCAGCGCATGCGCCAAGAGTGAATAGCAACTAAATAGTGCGGTTGTCAGTTGACAAACCCCCTTTTATTTACAATGCAGTTGCGTGATGTCCATCACCTTCTACACAAACAAAAATATACCCAAAAATGAACGGATTCTTTACATTTGCTGGAATCTGCTTTTTCACATATGTGCACATACTCCACGCGTTTCTGATGGTATACATCCTTTTTATGTAATATAATGTCATATGCTCTACTGAGAAGTATGTTGGTAACCAGTTTCACCACTCATGGAACATTCTCAGCCAGCCATGCCAGGTAGTCGGGGTCAGGGAGATCATATCCCTCGGCCTTCCGCCGCTGATACTTGGCCAATGTGGCCGGAGACCGCCGACTGGAAACTGCTGGAGATGGTGGGGATGGTGCTGCACCGAGCCATGACACCAGCTTCTTGATTAATGAGGTAGACACCGTCACCCTGGCTTTCCCAGCACAGTCCTTCTCTCCGACTAGATCCTTGATACCATTCCGCGAATGTGCCAGTCGAATGTCATCAAGAGACAGACCAGACTCTGCAATTTTCTGAACCATGGATACAGTCGGGGCTGTTTTGGGGGACAGCCTGCCTGATTTCCATGGCTCTGGTCTTGCTGGCCTTGTCCTCCTGGATCATCTTTTGCATAGATGCTGTTCTTGCTGCTGTTGCTAACAGCTGGCTCTTAGTCAGCTTTGTCAAAAGCTGAGCCAACGCCATGGCATCGCCCTCAGAATCGTGGGCAGGATAGCTCAGCTGGAGCAAGGAGGATGCAAGCGTCTCCTGTCGGTAGTTGGCTTGACTGACCTAAAGCAAAGTAGGGCAGACAGTGTGCAGCAGCAAAAGCCAATAAGCCATAAGCATCAAGATGACCAATCAAGCAATACACTTGAAGAGGCAATCGCTACACCCAGACACCCAGACACCCAGGATGTGTCAAAACATAAAGTAGAAAAGTAAGCTGACCTGGATAGGCTGCCCTGAATGCTAGGAACGAGTCCGCAAACCCAACAACAGCATCTGCTAGCCGACTGCTCATCTGAGAGCGCTCAACCTCGTTGAGCAGGATGCGGGAATCGAATGCTCACATGTTGTGGGCAACCAGAATCACAGGGCTGGGTAGCACACTCAACCATGACAGTAGCTCCTCAATCGCCTTCTCCCTTGTCATGGCTACCAGTGGATCACCATTCGCTGCCAAGCAACGCTGGCCACCCCGAACCACAATGGAGAGGCCAGTGACTTCTGCTGCAGATAGTGCAATACTGCCGATTTGGAATGACGTACTTGTTGAACGTGTTGTCATTCCATCTCGCAGCAATCTGCGTTATGCAGGAGTCATGACTGAGGCATGCAGACAAACAGGAACTACCAGTAGAGCATCTCAAATATAGACCCGACCTGTGAGCTGCATCAATACCACCATTGCACCATTGCACCATTGCTGCTAGAACATCACAGAAAATAACATACTGATGATGTGTGAAACAAGGAGTTCTGATATTAGAACATGTGAACGCTGTTTTCGGCATACCTGTTGTCTCTAAATCTCGAATGCCACGCATGTGGGCTCTGCATCATGCGCAAGAGCAACTGGTTGAAGAGCCGCTGTTCGTGGAGCAGGACTTTCTCTGGTTGATTTCGTTCCTTGGGTGAGAGCGCTTTCACTCGCATACTGCACACCTTATCTAGCTTCAGCACTGGACTGCTTTCGACTCCGAGCTGCGAGGCCCAGCTTTTCCTCACATACGCAGTCCACTAGTCGTAGCCCTGACCTGCAAGAGCTGCTGCAACCTTTCTGGAGAAGCTCCGCAAGCAAGCATAACTCAACGATTCTCCGTCCACCCAGGACGTCGCTCTTTTCGTTTTCAAATTCCACTCGAGGATCAGAAGTGCATCCACTTGGTTTCTGTGCACCCACTTCAGGCTCTCTTGACGTAGTCCTGGGACCAGCACTGACGACAGCACTGGAAGTTACAGTGGCACTAGCACTGGCTGCAGCATGGGGCTGTGCACCAAGCTGCTTCCCTCGGTTTTTCCTGGCCACAGTATTGCCTCGAGCGAAATTTGCTGAAAATGAATCTAGCCTCTAAGCGGCTTTTTTCCTGACGAACTTACCACGATATGTCGCCATCACTCCGTCACCCACCACTGGCCAAAAGGCCAAGAAAAGACGCTGACACCAGACGGGAAGACAAAAGGCGAACTTCAAAGTGGTCGAAACAAAAAGTAAGCTTCGGACGACGAGCACTTCGAATATTAATTTTGTTTGAGTTGGGATTTTCCCAGCATTTCGCGCTTGTTACCAAAAAAAGACTTTCGGCTATGAAAAATCGAGCTCGAGTTTGGCTACGTAGCGCAGAAGGTTGGAGCCTAGTAGGAATTTCTCTGATAAACATGTCAAGACCTTCTTGACATGTTTATTATTGTGTAGTGTAGTGTACTCACCTGAAAGTACACACCGGTCTTCATTAAGTTTAAAGTTTTGTGTTCTGTAGTGGTCTGTAGTTTTCTATAGTGGTCTGTAGTTTTCTATAGTGGTCTGTAGTTTTCTATAGTGGTCTGTAGTTTTCTATAGTGGTCTGTAGTTTTCTATAGTGGTCTGTAGTTTTCTATAGTGGTCTGTAGTTTTCTATAGTGGTCTGTAGTTTTCTATAGTGGTCTGTAGTTTTCTATAGTGGTCTGTAGTTTTCTATAGTGGTCTGTAGTTTTCTATAGTGGTCTGTAGTTTTCTATAGTGGTCTGTAGTTTTCTATAGTGGTCTGTAGTTTTCTATAGTGGTCTGTAGTTTTCTATAGTGGTCTGTAGTTTTCTATAGTGGTCTGTGTGTAGGCTGCTGGTATGTGACACTTGTGTGCTGTGTGTTGCTACTGTAGAGCTTGCTCCGGGCTGGCAAGGACAAAGATGAGCAGCTGCTACGACTCACGGTAAGGCTCGCCCTGTGTGTATTGTATGGTATTGTTTATTTTACGGATTCTCCAGAGGTAAATGGATACCTGTGTTGGGAGTCTCTACGGCAGAATACTGTAAAAGCCATATATATATAACGAAGTGTGAACTCTAACGAGTTAACGAAGAGAAATATGTCGTTAAAATAGAAATCGATACATATACTGTCCTATTGAGCGTTGAGAATGAGTGAGAATCGTTACCTTTGGTACACGCAAACTAGTCAATTTTGGGAAATCGTTATATATGCGCCTCGTTAGAAAAATGGCTTTTACAGTAACGAAAATCGAATTATGTAGGGAGTGGATAAAACTCATAATAATAATAATAAAATATAGTATGCGTGTGTGTGCGTGTAGTCATCGGGTTGCGTGCTCGCGCATTTCCTGCGACTGAATCCCGTGCTCCAAGTGCCGTGTGTCGCAGTCCACTCATCACAAACTGGCTCCCTTACTTTGTAGTGTCTTCCACATACATCTTCCTAAGGGTGTGCAGACTCCACTGTAGCCACGGTTCATGTTTCACGCAGTTATACACCACTACTCAAAAACGGTCTCTCCGCTGCAAATTCTTCGAAAAATAATTACTGTAAAGTCGCGGATAAAAGCCGGGTTTGCATACAAGCACATCGCGGATAGAAGCCTGAAAATCAAACAGGTCAAATGCATTATAAGCCTGTCGCGCGTAGAAGCCTGGCTTCTATGCAAGCGCGGATCGGGTAGGTCAAGAGTGCATGCGCTATGTACGGTGCATAGTAAAACTGCCGCCATACCGGTAGTCAATGGTAGATCTACGCGTGCCGATGTGCATACAAGCCTGGCAAAAAAAATCAGTGGTGCGTATAAGCATGGCTTGCATACAAGCCTGGTTTGCATTAAAGCCTGATGCAGAAAGCGGCTTATATGCTTATAAGCCCGGCTTTTATCTGCCACTTTACGGTAATTAAATAAAATCCAAATTTTCGGGCCAGCACGTACATGTACAGTGAAACCTGTCTCAAGGCGACCACTCGGAAAAGGAGACCACCTGTCCCAGAAGACCGCTGGAACCAGCACCCAGGGATGCTATTTCCATTCAACTGACCCTGGATACGGAGACCGCCTGGTAACAGAGACCACGTGTTGAAGGTCCCCTGAGCGGTGGTCGTCTTAGACAGGTTTCATTGTATAGTGAAACCAACACTGTACTCTCTATCCTTCATTGTGCCGGAAAAGTCAAGGAGCAAGGCGTTAGGATTTCGGCCGGGGTTACAAAATTAGGACAGGTATACCATGGCGGAATGTGTGGAAAATCTGATCCCAAATCCAGATTTTTAAATTAAACTGGGGCTTTGAGCCTTAATTTCAGCGAAAATAATAATTGGACTTCCAACAGGCAGTGGGACTTGTCTATCTGAGTTAACTCTAGTTGGAATGAGAGGTGTAGTGCTTAAGATGGAGATGACTGAGTGACTAGAACTGAAAATAACGAAATCCCGAGAATGTGTGAAAACATGCAGATTCCTGACATAATTTTTTCTATAATTCTCTAAAATAATAATGATTTTGACTACCATCGCTTCCTGATGTAGACTAGGATTAGGAAAACAACTACCGAAGACTTTTCCTAGTGGCCTTCCAGTCGGAGTAGACGTAATGTCCCTTGTTGCGAGAGTGAAGAAAGTGATGTCTGTTATTTTCCTGACTTCGCGTGGTTGATGACAGTGATCTGGCCGGCTTTAACCTGGAGGAGAACCTACTGGCATACATGTACTGAAAGGAGTACTGTTGTAGCTATACATTTTGATTGCACAAGTTGCACACAGAAACCGCCACTGGATTGCAGTACTGACCTGCCCAACGGTGGCAACAAGCGAAGTACAACTCAACTTGGGACGACTATCATGGAAGGAAGTGCACATGTTGAAATCACAACGCCGGAGATGACACGCACTCCAACCACAGATGGAATAGCTCCATTGACTAGGCGCCTGCGGCTTCTGGTATGGAGGAGCTCACCTCGCAAGTTTCTCACTATATCTTCTTCTGTAAAGTGTTCGGAGCACACGTACGCCGTAGATCGAAAATCTTTAGGCAAGTTCTCTCGCTTCACAACTTCAACCCGGCGCTTGCAAAGGTCTTCATCTCAAGGGAAGCGATGGGAAGTTATTTCTGCGGAGCGCCCACTTCGATTGTGACACCCAACGACACGACGGCTCGGCAGAGTATGGCACACCTGGTGTATAGGTGATGCAGGCGTTTACGATGGTGAGGATGTCGTAGCAGGTTTACGCACAGATTTTTCTTGGCTCCACTACCTTGTGCAGTTTAGCTCGCTTTTCCCCAGCCTCCCCTTATCATAGTCGTTATGTGTTATGCTATTGCCTCTCAATACTAGACATTGTAACCAACGGCAACCATCTTATGCGTTCGTGTGTGGCTGAGAGGTGCGCCTCCATGCTTGGCGTTGTCAGTGAGGCGATACGATGACCACCGTGACGGCAGCTGGAATGAAACAAGCCCGTTCATACTAGTCTTGAACGGTAGAAGGAGACCCTTCTTGCAGATTACAACTACTGCTGCGTGGGTGACTACCAATGTGTGGTAGCATGCTTCTGCTCCTCGGCTATGTGGGCATGTGTTGGACTTCCGCTGACGGCTTGAAAACTGGAACTTGTACTCACGCTGCGCGATCGTGCTCCTCTCCTTTCCGCCACTCGGGCGTATTTGTGTACAGCGCGCGCGGTGTGCAGCAGGTCAGGCATCGGTAGTGACGCAGGTGTGGCGCGCAGTTGGGCTGGACCAGGGGCGTGTGTACGGCGCGCGGTGTGCAGCAGGTCGAGCTTCGGTAGTGGCGGAGGTGTGGTGTAGAGTTGGGCTGGACCAGGAGTGCGGTCTTGCTGTAACCTGCACGCACTGTACCCCGCCTGGCCTGGCCTGGCCCCACCACAGCACAACATGCTCGTCCGTTTGGTTATTTATTTCAAGGAAGGTTCGCTGCAGTCGAGCATCTGCCCTGCAAGCTCTAGTTTTCCAATTCAAGGACACTGAGTCACTCGCATATCACTGGTGTGCAACGCTGTTCAGAATGGAGACATTGAAGCACTAGCAAGCCTGTTCATGCCAGGCTGCTGCATATGTGTGGCTCTCATGTACGTTAAGGGATACAATTGGAGGGATCACCCAGGGCAGGGGCATAACCTGGAGATAAAGTGCCATGGTCTGCCAAAAATGGAGGGGATCGTAAATCCGGGGTGGGGCATAACATGGGGGTAAGGTGCCATAGACCCTGCCAGTAATGGAGGGGTCATAACCCTAGGGTGGGAGCATAACCCCGGGGTAAGGGGTAAAGTGCCATGGCCCCTGCTAATAATAGGGCTTCGAAGTGTGAGGTCAGGTCCTTGACAACTTCGTAGCAACTGGGTACAAACAACCATTGCGTCCCTGGCACATGGTGTTTGCACTGAAAATTTCAAATTTTACATCATGGTTTGTGCAGATTAGAGTAGATACCTCACACGAAGTACCCGGATATCCTTGTATTGTCCTTTCGAGACACGAGTCTGCTAGCTTGGTCTTCCTTTCTGCAGGGTTTGAGTAGAGTATTGATTTGCACGAAATTAAAATTACAATTCCGGGTGCGACTTGCGACAGCGACACACGTTTCGCGATCATTTTGGTGTTTGCGACATGCCTATGTACTAGTAGTACTATACACGTGCGCTGCACGTGCACCCAGCAATAGCCAGAGTAGAAACTGTATTCCATATGTACGTTGCATGTGACGTCGCAAAAGTTGAACTTTCTTCAACTTCTACGACAGGTACCTTGCGACTGCTAGCCACAGCTCGCGACAGGCCTTTTCTTGTCGCAACTGTTGCGGGTCGTGTTTCGCGTCGCAAAATTGGTATTGTAAATTGACCCATTGCGCATTGCCAAATATGGAATGCTCATACATTGTATGAGTAATGCTTGTGAGTACACTGGGATCAGGAATGCACTGTTCAACAACCCCAGACGACCATGCCCAGGTGGCTGTCTGGGGTGTTTGTGGTACAAATTACGTCATTGCGCAATGGGTCCATTAGGACATACGAGCTTAGACTCACATGTGCACACACTTGCTTCCAAGTACGCTAGTGCAGATGTGTGCAGTGTGCTAGTGCTACTCAAGTAGCCGCTCTAGCTGCATGCATCATTGTGTATATATCTGTATGTATTGCTTGCTCCAGGAAGACTCAATGTCTCGCAGCGGTCAGAACGCCAGTACTCGATCTCAGCTGGTTAGTGTATGCTTACACATGTCCATGTAGCAATGTGTGAACTGTATTTCTCGGTCTGTGTCACAGTTTTTTTCCCCGGGTACATGTACTATAAATCGGGAAGCTCTTGTGGTGTGCAATATTGGCTCTTCAAGCATCACACTGGCTCCCCCTGAGAAACTTTGCAGTTTAACTCTTCAGGCTGATGCTGTGGTTTGCACGCCCAGTTCACAAAGCGGTTTGGTGGGTTTTCAATCTGCTGCTGTGCGTTGCTCACGACCCTAGCGAAACTGTACATCTAGCAAAGAGTGTGCCGCTTGATCGTGTTGTTTGCGGCCGAGGTTGGGGGTTGGTGTGCCTTGGAACGTAGTGCGAGTACATGTTTTAATTCATACTCAAATGCATCCGTGTCTATAAGTACGTTGATATACCGGGTTTGTGTGTGTGTTGGCTGGTTGGTTGGTTGGTTGGGATATTTTATTTTGCTTCGCCATAATGAACAGGCATTGCTGCCTTCTTGCCTGGGCAAGTGGATTGGCCAAGCTCTCGCTAATGATGAAGCGCGGGGTGTGTGGGATGCTTGTTGGGCGTTCTAATTTTACCCGGGCTTGACCTCAGTGCGTGTGTGGTGTGATGGTTTCGTTGCTTGCAGGATGACCTGCGAGATGCCAACGCTAAGCTGGAGTCGATGGCGAAGAGTCGAGAGACCCAGCTGCAGTCCTATCTGGTTGCTGCTCAGGCCAAGGATGGCGTGATCAAGGTACTGTCATGAGGCACACATCAGCGAGTTGTTGCATATAGGCAATGATAGCATGCAGCAGGGAGATGACACAAGACCACAGCTCCCAAAACGATGTGCATTTCGATCCCCGATTTGGAAGTTCCATGTGGTCCGCGATCTATACCACTTCTGACCACGGGCTTGACTTGCAGACCCCTAACGTGACTCGGTCCAACGATGCCATAATGTTAACTCGGAAACCTTTGCGATCCGAATCCTTTGCGGTTTTCGCGATGGGTGTGACATCGCAAAAGTAGGCCGGCACGAAACGTAGAACTGTAGTAAAGAAACTGAGGAAATTGACTCCAATCACGAACATATCCAGGTGCAAAATTGTCTGTGCTCGCAAGTCGCGAACTAAACGGGAGCAAAGGTTTCCGGGTGTACAGTATGCGAGCGTTGTGTAAATCAGCCCTGCCCACTTTGTGGTGGGTCTGATCAACTCACCTCCCACCGCTTAGGAGCTGCATCTGCGCCTTGATCCAAGAGGGTGGTGGCGTTCCTGCGGATGCGGAAAACTCGAGTCTCGCGCGAACCGTAAATTTTTTTGTTCTTTCATGTTTCTTCACACCTCTTTGTCCAGAGTCTACAAGAGCAGCTACAGATGCAACGTGGCCGATTATCCATGTCGCCGTCACGCCGTACACCTGAGAGTATCGAGGTCAGTTGCATGGAGTATTTTTTTACTTTTTAGCACTCCTGAAGATTCAGGATTGTGTGTGAAGTGTCTGTGCGTTTGTGTGTGTCTGTGCTTGTGTTTGCGTTTGTGTGTCTGTGCAAAATCTTGCTGCTCCAGAATCAAATCCAGTTTGCAGTAGTAGCTGCTGTGCCTTATTGATGTGTGCTTGCACTGACTGATTATTACAGCTCTGTGCATGTGTGTGCGTTCATGTGTGTGTTCGTGTGTGTGATTCTATGTGTGTGCGTGCGTGTCTGTCTGTCTGTATGCGCACGCTCGGGTGTGTGTGTGTGTGCCTAGGCGGACCTGTTGACAGTCCAAGCCCAGCTAAAGGCGTCTCAGGAATTGGTGGACGTGCAGCGACGACAGCTGAACGAGGCACGCCAGGAGAAGGAGCGTCTGCAGAAGCAACTTGATGCTATCACCATGGAAGCTATGGCGCTGGTATGTTCTGCGTCAGCACCATTGCTGGGCGACATGTGTAGCCTGTTACGTGATTGCATCATCACGTGGGGTGTTCTGTAGCTGTGTGATGCAACATGGCAAGCACTGGTCTCAGTGGTCTGCCATGCAATACTTAGCACTTTAATAGCAGACACGACGACGTCATTTGCAAATATGATGATGTCATTTGCAGATGTGATGATGTCATATGCAGATGTGATGATGTCCTTTGCATGACTGTATTGACATGTGCTATGTGGCACAGTGGTATTCTGTATGTGTAGCCATAGGGCATTGACTCATGATTGGATATACTTAGTTGCAATCTCTCTATTCTGTGGATGAGTTGGACAAAGTCTCTGCAGCACTGCTTTCACACATCCGCAATGATCATAGAACGGTATTGCAAACAGCCCAGTGCCACTCAGTGCAATGCTAGTTCTAGTAATTGGTGGCTCCCGGCAACGCATGGTGTTGGTGGTATTGGAGGCAGCAGACTTAATTTGCCTCAGTTCGGACTGCGCCTGTGTCTTGAACATGCTGTAGGGCAGTGGTCCAAGTCCCGGGTCAGATGGCTTTGCCACGCCTGACCGCTCCAGGACGGTGGATGACGAGGCTGTGCGCTTGCGTGGCAAGCTATCAGATGCAGACGCACTGGTGGCGAGTGTGCGCTCGCAACTGGCCGATGCCCAGAGGCAGAGCCAGGCACTGCATGCTCAGCTGGACGTAGAGAAACTGGCAGCCTCTCAGGTTTGTTCTGCTAAGTTGCTTGACAGCAGTGTGACTGTCTTGGCTCAGGGTATTCTTCTACCTTTTCAGCGTGGCCCATCCGTCCACACAAGCCTTTACATGCCTTCTTCCATATGCAGAGGCTCCACTGCTGCCAATTAATCATTGCGTCAATCTCCTTCACCACCACCACTGTCTTACACAATCGTAAATAGATATCCCTCCAAATGTTCGCCTTGGGGCTTCATCAGAGCATATGAACACACACACACACACACACACACACACACACACACACACACACACACACACACACACACACACATGCTAACGCAGGTATCCCACGGGCGATGTCCCTTGGTTCAGAAAGTCAAGTTTAGTGTGTCCCTTGCCTTGTCCCTGTGTTGAGAAAGTTTTAAGTTAGTTGGCACATTGCCCTATTTGACTCCTCTCTCAATGTAAGCTTGTTGATTACTTCATCAGGTACGTGAAGATTGCCCGAGGCATGAGAGTCTGAGTTGCAACTAGGCATTGAGTGGTGTCTTGTTTTCTATGTGTCATTCCATTGATTGTGCAAGTAACCGTGTTCTGTGCAAGAACCCGTGTTCTGTGCTGTACACCGGTGTGCAGGTATATGCGTGCACTGCGTTGCAATACTGTTTTTGTACTGTTTCGGATAGTTGCCTTGGTTGGCTATCACCCTTCATTTCACATTCATTCGTCATTGGCAGTCGTTTGACGAGCCAGGAATTATTGAATAAATACAAAACAAATGTCGCTGCCTCTTTGACTTCCCTTCTCCTGCTCTCCTGCTGGCAGGCAAGTCGAGTGGCCGAGAAGTTGCGCAGGTGCGAGGCCGACCTTGCACGGGCACGCTCCACCGTTGAGGAGCTACGTGAGGAGCTGAGCAGCCGCGATGCGCAGCTCCAGGACCTGGCCAGGCTGCAAGCACAGCTCAAGTCGTCGCAAGCGGAGCGCGACCTCCTACAGCAGAGAATCGATGGCATGAGAAAGGTACGGCGGCGACAGTGAAGTTAATTCTGTTCTTTCTTTCTCTCTCCTCTTTCTCTCTCTCTCCTCTCTCTCTCTCCTCTCTTTCTCTCTCTCTCTCCTCTCTCTCTCTCTCTCTCTCTCTCTCTCTCTCTCTTTATTCTCTGCATGGTGTCCTGAATGGCGTAAGCGAGAATGGCAATCCTGCCACACTTGCTGGAATGCACTTTAAAAATAATAATGAGAATAAGAATAATTATCATGCTTCAGAGGCAACATTTGTAGTTTTTTGGCATTGCTCTTGAGGTGCTGAATGTTGTGAAGGTCTTGTTCACTTCTCTGTAAGTTCAGTGTTTTGGCCGATTGTGTTTACTGCATGTGTTTGTGGATTTAGAATTAAACGTCAATTTCTAGCTACGTATATTGATACACATGTGCCTGTGTTTGTGTGCGTGCGTGTGTGTGTGTGATGTGTGCGTGTGGTGTGTGTGCGTGCATGCGTGTTTGTGTGTGTGTTTTTGTTTGTGCGTGCGCATGTGTACATGCATGCGTGTTTGTGTATGTGTCTGTCTGTGCTCACGTATCGTGTGTATATGTATATGTGTCTATGTGGTTATGTATTGAGCAGGTATCAGATGTGGCCGTCGGCGCTACAGCAGCGGAGCTTCAGAATGCCAGCCAGGAGCTGGCTCGACTGCAGGAGGCAAACCAAAAACTCCGCGAGGATCTGCTTCATGCCAATGATGATGTCAGGATTATCACGGCCGAGAAGTCCTCGCTTCAGAACTCACTGGGCAAAGTCAATGACGATCTCCAGTCCAAGCAGGCGTCGCTAAAGCAGCAAGAAGCAGAGCTGCAACACCTGCGCGCAGAGCTTGTTTCCGCGCAGGCCAACCTGTCGGCCAGCAAGGCGTCTCTGACAACTGCGCAGGACGAGTGCAGTCGGCTACGGCATGAACTGCAAGTGGCCGAGAGTAAGCTACGCGATCGCGACGCCTCGCTGCACAGTGCTCAGGCGGACGCATCAGCGCTAAGGTCCAGCATGTCCACTCAGCAGGGCCAGCAACGAGAGCTCATCCGTGACAAGCAGACGGCGGAGGCGACGGCTGCAACGCAGCTCAGCAGCATTGCATCCCTGCGCCTGCAACTGGAGGAACTGACCAACTCCCTAGCCGTGGAGCGTGCTGCCAACAGCAACCTTCGTCAGCAGCTGCTTGAAGCGCAGCGTGAACTCAGCGAGGCACAAGACACGGTAATGTCGAAACGCCATGAGGCAGACACCCTCGGCTCAGAGCTGCATTCGCTACGTCTTCGATCAGCAGACACATTGCGTTCGTCTGACGTGTCCGACGTTGCATCGCAGGCCGACTCCTTGCCGGATCTTGGCATGCATTACCAGGCGGAAACGGCGCGTCTACGCCAGGAGCTGGAGGCCACGCGTCATCTTGTGGATCAGCTGAGCGCGGAGAGGAACGCCATGGAACAGAGGTGCAGAGAGCTGGCAAGAGACCTTGCGGAACAAGCCAAACGAGTATGTGTGTATGCATGTGTGTGTGTGGGGGGGGGGGGGGGGTCGAGTGTTCATCCATGTGTTGAGAAGTTGCACTCAGCTGGCAAGCAAGACTAGAAAGTGACTTGTCGTTTTGACATTGCCCGCATTTCAGGTGCTCCTTTCGTTTAATCCATACATGAAGTTTAGTTTTGTCGTAAGCGTGTAGTTGTGCAGGCTGTTCATACGTTGTGTTTTCGCTGTCTCGGCAGTCATGTAGTTTGAATATTACTTTCTGCTGCAGTTGTCTGTGATCATGGTGAAGTACAGTGGCAGTGATTGATGGTGAAGTACAGTGGCAGTGATTGATGGTGAAGTACAGTGGCAGTGATTGATGGTGAAGTACAGTGGCAGTGATTGATGGTGAAGTACAGTGGCAGTGATTGATGGTGGAGATGTTAGTCTGAGTACCTCATACAGGTACGAGTACAAGTGGTTTGTGCATACCTACTGAGAGTTATCTGGTTGAGTAACCTTGTCCTGCGGTGTGTCTTGTGTTCTGCTGCTGTTGCTGCTGATGTGTGTGCGTGGTACAGATTCCCAGCTCTCAATCCCGATCGATCGGTGTCGGCAGTCATGATTCGCGCCCGCCAGCCGTACACCTGGACTCTGATCTGCTGCAGCGCGTACTCAGCGCTCATCAGGCTGAAGCGGAGCTGCAACGTGAGCTGCGGCATCTGCTGCGCCACGCCGGCTACTCGTCGGCCGATATCGATCGGCTTCTCCCGCCACCGCAGCCTGCCACCTCCCATGCGCGGGCGGACGACGGCCTGGCGAGCCTGCGTACGCGCTACAGCGAGGGAGTGCACGCTAACGAGCAGCTGCGCACGCGCCTGCAGGACCAGCTGACGGCGTGTGAGTCCGACCGACAGCGCTGGCAGCGCAGCGTCAACGAGCAGAACAAACTGACGCAGGATCTACAGCGACGGCAGCAGCAGTCCACCGCCGCAGCAGCAGCACCGCTGACATCGTCACCGTCGCCACGGGGACGGCCAATAGACCTGAGCGTCGTCTCCGGACTCACCATGGAGGACCTGCAGGGCCTGTGCAAGGATTTGAGCCAGTCGCTGCGTGCCAGCCAGGCGTTGCAGGCCGACCTGCAGCAGAATCTATCCAACACGGGCGGTGCTGCGCCATTGTTCTTACAACACGAGAAGGATAGGCTAGCCGGTGACGTGGTGTTGCTGAACGATCGGCTGACACGACTCCAGGAGGAGAACAGGAAGCTGCGTGCAAGACTGGAGACGGGGATCCACACCGATCGGTATGCTACAACAAACTATACATGTACCAGTAGTTGTCTTGTACCATTAGCTGTTCTGTTATTCTTTGCTGTTGCTGTGCGGTGTTACTGCCTTGCTGAGTGATGCAGGGTCATGTGACACTTTCCCATTGAAATTGATCATCTGATATGACTGGTCACATGACTGATCCGTGTTGATATCATGCCATTGTCCTGAGTCTGCAGATGGCTGACTGCCTGGGTCAATGCGTTGTTGTCGGTGTAGCTGTGATCGTCACGCCATCATGGGCCTTCATGGCATTGTGTTCTGGCCCGCTGTGTGTGCGTGTGTGTGCGTGTGTATGTGTGTGTCTGTCTGTGTGTGTGTGTGTGTGTGTGTGTGTGTCTGTGTCTGTGTGCACTGTTCAGAGGCTCCAGCACCAGTCCAGCACAGCTGACCGAGCTGGAGAGAGAGCTACAGCAGAGCCATGCCATTGCTGCACGAATGCGTGACACGCTGGCCACGCGCGAACACGAGCTGCCGCCAGCCACTCTCAGCTCGACATCGCCAAGTCGAGGTCAGCCTGATCATGAGGTAGGTATCCGACAGAGAGACAGAAAGACAGACAGGGAGGGAGAGAGAGAGAGAGAGAGAGAGAGAGAGAGAGAGAGAGAGAGAGAGAGAGAGAGAGAGAGAGAATGCGAGAGATTGCGAGAGAGTGAGTGACTGAGTGAGTAAGAGAGTGAGTGAGAGAGTAAGAGAGTGAGTGAGAGAGTGTTGGCACTCGTTTGAGCTCTCATAGCAAGATGGACATGGTGCTGTACCGCGTTTAATTTCTATTTGTATCCACTGCACCTAGCTAATCTTCCTTTCTGTCCGATGTGTTGTGCTATGCAGGCATTGGCTGCTCAGTTATCAGGTATCCGCCATGCACTGCAACAGCACACACAAGCCAGCCAATCATTACGGGACTGGGTTTCTCAGCCGCGCCAATCCTCCACATCATCGCCCGGCAAAGGAGCGCAGCCGGGCAGCAGTGTCAGCACCGGCACCACCACAGCGATGACAACGACGACAGGCCTGCCTGGTGGGTTTGTGCACATGGAGCGGCAAGTCCGCGGCGGACTGGACTCGCTGAGCAAGCTGGAGGCAGCCATTGCCACTGCCAACGAAGTAAGTACGGTACTGTCAGTCGCTGAAGAACTGCGGGGTCAGTCTCCTAGCTTAGACCGTTCTTATTGTCATGTATTACAGACTGGAGAGATTTACAGTCTATGCGCAGTCGAGTCACCGTGTGTACATTGGTTTGCTGTGCTTGGTGAAATTCTAGTCTGGTCATTCTTTGGCGCTCCGTTCTTTGGCGCCCGACAGTACTATAATAAAACATGTTAAGGTGACCACTCAGATAAGGCAACCACCTGTCCTAGAAGACTACTGCAACCAGCACCAAGGGGTGGTACTTCCAGTCTATTGACCCTGGATAAGGAGACCACCTGGTAACAGAGACCACCCTGTGAAGGTCCCTTGAGCGGTCGTCTTGGACAGGTTTCACTGTCGTATCCCTTGCTTGCCCAACATGACCGTACTTTGATCAAGGCTGAAGTGAAGATATGCAGTTGTAGACGTTTAGTGGGTGATGTTCACTGCTTTGCTGGTGTTTGAGAAAGTTGCAGAAGCCTCATCCAGTCTTGTACAAGTACTGATGGTGGGAATCGATATATCGGTGGCTGTATTCCAGAGTTTGAGTTGTCTATAACCGGACGATATGTTTTGTTAGTTTACAATATGTTTTGTTAGTTTACAATAATTATGTGTTGTCCTCTTTCATGGCTGCCTTTGACCAGTTGACTGGCTGCCCTAAGCGCCAGGACATGAAATAATCTTGGGCAGCAAACAGCAGGAATGTCAAGGGAGTGAAGCTACGGTTGGATTGGAGTGTGCGCAGAAATAAACCGAAAGCAACTTATAAATAACGCCGCATGTTTTCCAATGCGTCCGGCTTGTTCTTCTGCAAGGTTTTCTAGCCAAAAACAATGCATTGGTTTTTTAATTATCTTTTGGCCTCGTCTTCTCGCCCTTGCTGCTCCCCAGCACGTCGATGCTAATACCGTTCATCATTTACTGCAACTAGCAAGACAGGTACGGGCGCAGTTAGAGGCAGCCGAAGCGTTGCTATCGCAACTGAAGAACGTGGCGCCAGTGGCCGTTTCCTCCTCGGTAAGACAATCCACCGTAGCGTATTGTCTCACTACAGTGTAGTATGAACCTGTCAAAGGGGGGGGGGGGGGGGTGTGCTACATGATAATGTTGCTGCTGCTGCTGCTGTTGCTGCTGCTGCTGCTGCTGTTGCTGCTGCTGCTGCTAACACATGTTTTGTTGAACGGCAATTCACTGGGGTAAGGTTTCCCGGATTATGTGCTGCATGCGGCTGTTTTTATTGCTGTCAACGTCTCAGCACTGGTAATATGCTCTGTGTTTCCCTGTCTCCATGTACTTCCTCCTCCTCCTCGTCCTCCTCTCTCTCTCTCTCTCTCTCTCTCTCTCTCTCTCTCTCTCTCTCTCTCTCTCTTTCTCTCTCTCTCTTCCTCTCTCTCTCTTCCTTGTCAGGTTGAAAATGCATTGCTGAAAGCTGAATCAGCAGATCTTCGCCGAAAGTTGGCAGCTCATGAGAAGGTCATGTACAAAGCATTGCAGCACATTCAGGTTAGTACATGTACAGACCTACAGACCTACAGACTATACATGTTATAGGGTAACATGATTTTTTGAGCCAACTAAGACTTTGGAGGTAATGGCACTACTGAGTGAAGAAGGTGGCTGCTCCGAACAGTGGAGATCACGCTTCCTGCCGACTTCCTGACACTTGTCGTTATTTGCGATGTGTTTTTTTAGCGGCACTTGTTTATCACTCCATTGAGAACTTAATACGATGATGTCATTCGCATACATCGTGATGATCTCATTTTCATACCTCGTGATGATGTCATGCGCATACCTCACGATGATGTCATGCGCATATCTCGTGATGATACCATTCGCGTACCTCGTGATGATCTCATCCGCATAACTCTGTAGCTGTGGTTGGAGACTGAGGTGCAACTACAGCAAAACCTGTCAAGGCGACCACTCGGATAAGGTGACCGGCGACCACTCGGATAAGGCGACCGGCGACCACTCGGATAAGGCGACCACCTGTCCTAGAAGACCACTGCAACCAGGACCAGTGGATGCTATCTCCAGTCAAATGACCCTGGTCAAGGAGACCACCTGGTAACAGAGACCAGGTCTTGAAGGTCCCTTGAGCGGTCGTCTTGGACAGGTGTTCCTGTACTAGGTAGTGTGCTAGGAGAAACTGCTGAGTTGGAGAATGCTACATGGACAGGAGTGGAGCTATGGGCCCAGCAGTCAACCCACTTGCTTTGATGCCGAAGAAGGGACTATACAAAGCGTAGGGATCGTTAACCGTCCGCTGTTTGTGCTGCCCTTTCTCTTGTGCATGTGTGTTATGCGTGCGTACTTGTGTTTGTGTGTGTGCGTGTGTGCGTGCGCGTGCATGTGTGTGTGTGTGTGTGTGCACAGAAATCGAAAGACGACAAAGAGAGAAGCTCTTCACTCTATGCTCACTGTGAGTATCCTATGGCCTGCGGCTTACATGTACATGTACATGTGCTGTATGTATGTGCAGCCACTTCTGTCTTGCAAAGCAGCATGTGTGTGTGTTCATACTAAAACAAAGGCTAATAGAAAAATGGACTCGGATGGAGAGCCAAGGATAAATTTATAGAACGGAAATAGGACCAATGAACTACAAGTGACGCTATAATATCCACTAACACCACCAGTTACTAAACAACCAGCTCATAGCTCATAGCGTAACTTGTAGTTCATTGGTCTTTTTTCTTTGCTAATAGAAAAGTGTGAAGCAGTGTCTAGTTCGGGCACCGAGAGTAAACAAGCTCTCAAGAGTGTGAAATTCTGCGTATGGGGTCTCCGACGGCGACAACTCGCATCATGTGTTCTGAGCATATTTCGTACTGCGTACAACGAAGGCCAGCGTGTGTGCTGGATATCTGCCATGATTATGCTGATGTGAGTTTTCACTGTTATCGGACCCCGAAGAATGGGTATTTACTATTTACTATTAATTTTAGCGTTTCACACTCTTGGGAGCTTATTTACTCTTGTCTGTATGCATGCATATTGTAAAGTGCATTCACAATTCTTTTCTTCCAGGAGAGATTGTCAGTCAATCCTCGGTAGTATAGTGGTAAGTATCTCCGCCTGTCACGCGGAAGACCCGGGTTCGATTCCCGGCCGGGGAGGACATTTCTTTTTTTCTCATTTTTTAGTCTTTTAATGACCTCTCGACAGACCGAGTACAACGACATCCGATCGTGGGAGTCACGGTTTCACCCTGCACCGGTTCACATTGCAGTGTTTGCAAGTGTATTTTAATACACTTGCCAAAAGGCGTAAGGATGCACAGCAACCGGCGCGTACTTGACCTAACGCGATCGGATTTTAATTTTATTGACCAGTACTGTTCATACTTGTAGGACAACATTAACATGGGTGCTGAATTGTTTTTCATCTGCAAAGCACTATACGGTAATTATATTTTTTTGAAAGCACCCGCTTCGTCCAGAAATATGTACTGATGGCATCGGAATGACATGGGATGTGTGGTCTACGCTATAGACTGTATGTGCATGTGTTACGGTGAAGTCTCTCAATCGTGGACACGCTAGGAATGAGTGTTAATCACTTTACTCTAGTGATGTAACAAACCATGAATTTTACAAACGAATAATCCAGCGAATACCACTCAAGCGAACGAACGATTATTCTACTACTCCACAAAAAAATCATTATCGCCAATTATCCTATTGCAAAGTGTACATGTAGCAAACACACAACACACAAGCGCTCAGACTCGAGTCAAGAGTAGAGTGCACCATGGTCTACCGTGCGCAGTCAAGTCCTTGTCTGCAACACAATACAATGTTTATGCATTCAAGTCGAGAGATCTAGAGTCGAGAGATCTAGAGTCGAGAGATCTAGAGTCGAGAGATCTAGAGTCGAGAGATCTAGAGTCGCGGTATGCACTGCACGGACTTCGCGCGCCCGCGAATATTCGAATGTCGAACCTTCCACCTAGATTTTATCGGATCGATTATTCGTTGAGATCCAAGAGATCGAGTAAATCCGAATAATTGACTATTCGTTACATCACTACTTTATTCTTAGCAACGCGATCGAGAGCAGGGGAGTACTGAAGAAATGTGATGCCACAGTCAGACCTCGCTTACTGTAAATTGAGAAACTTTCGCTAGAGATTAAATTTCGCTATTTTCGCGACCACACATTCGCGGATAGAATTCGCCGCAAACCTCTCCGTACATTGATTGTAGACAGTACAATATCCGACTGAAAGGATAGAATCGCAAAAGTTTCTCATCGTGAATCAGCCCAATCTATGAAAACGCTAAATTTGCGTGCCACGAAAGTTTGTCGCTTTACATTAACTGCACACAGAACATCCGGATAGGCGAGGGAACCGGATAATCGAAACCACATACTGTTTGTATGCATGACATATGCTGTAAATTTTATGTCTTCAACAAACATAAAAGTATCGTACTTGAGACACCATGATCATGCATTCTCTATTCTCATTGGACACACACTCTATCGCTACACTAGATTACATTCTACATTATTATATACTTGAAAGAACCATTGCCTTTGCCATCAAACTTCAAGCACACAAATTCTCGACAAGTCTTCACCAGACGTTCCAAAAGGCAACAACCCACAAAAATGGCCACGCATGCTCCAGAAGAGCCAGCTGCGACAAAAAAGGATTTAATCGCGAAGGATACGATTTACATACTGTAAATATACAAAATTTCGGTGCTGCAAAATTTCGGCACGTCACGATTTTTGACATTTCGGTGGCGATTTATTTTCGGCGTGGGGTAGATCAGCTATAGAGGGCATGGTATACCGGTATAGTGCGACAGATGCTGTGAAAAATTTCATCGGCGATTTAATTTAGGCGTTTTGGGTCGGTGCCGAATATAGCCGAAATTAAATAGCTGCCGAAAATTTGTATATTTACAGTAACAAAGTTGACATAAAATACCAGAATCACAGGATACTACGTATGAGCTAACGTTAAGATCAAGGATTAACAGAATCTACCCTGAGTCATATAAATACCACTCGCATGTTCGCGACACTCCCACGAAAGGCAAGAAAGATAGTGAGCAAAAACACAAAAAAATTAGGGTAATTTCGGGGAGAGCAAATTCGAAGCCATTCCTGTTCTACTATTGCCGACACAGCATCAATATCAGTGACATGGCACACAAGGTCTACATGTATCACAACAAAGATTTCATGCAGTATGAATATAGAACAGTGAACAATTGAATCTTGCCTTCAGCCATGCGGGAATTTCCTCAAACAGAAATACAAATCAAGTGTGTAGTGTGTGTATCACGCTACAACAAAGCCAATATGTGTGTGTGTGTGTGTATGTCTGTGGTGAAATATGAATACTATTTACAGTGTGGGTGACAGTGCAATGTTCACCAGAGTCATATCAGGACCAGGTGTTGTTAGTGTTGAACTGTTGACAGCACGATCTAGTTGCATGCTATCAACTCAATTCAATATTACCTTCTTACTCATTCATACATTACCGTCTTGGATATGCTGCTGCAATGTGGCGCGTGATGCAAGCGCTGATGACCTTGCTGGTCTTCTGCTTCTCGAATCTGTAGATGCAGCTGGTTGAGTGACTGCCTCACTAGACGTTGCTGTAGCGTCAGCTTCACCATGACCCGTAGCGTCAGCTTCAACCTGAGCCGTGGCGTCAGCTTCACCATGACCCGTAGCGTCAGCTTCAACCTGAGCCGTAGCGTCAGCTTCACCATGACCCGTAGCGTCAGCTTCAACATGACCCGTAGCGTCACCATTAGTCATTGAACATTCCATTGGGTACACCAAACACAGGGGACGTTTGAGGATTCTTCCATTAGGTGTCAAGACTGATACTGACCGAATTGCCTGGTCAGCACTGTGATGTACCTTAGTGATTCGACCAAGTGACCACGCAGCTCTAGGGAGATGTTCATCCTTGATGATTACGACATCGCCTACTACTGGCACGCTGCGATCTCTCACTCTACGTTGACGTAGTTGGTTACCACCACGTTCACGAAGGGTAGCCAAGTACTCATCATTCCAAATACTCCTGAAACGTTCCACTTTAACCTGGCCTTGTTTCAACCGGGCAAGAAGTGCATCAGTTGGATTACTATTAGGATTGAAATCTGGATCAATGGTATCGTTGTCCACCGGTGGAAAGCCGATGTTAGGATTCAGACAGAGGAAATGGGCTGGAGTAATCACAAGTTGGGTGGGATCATCGCTGACATAAGTCCGGGGTCTGGCATTCACAACCGCCTCAACCTCAATCAGGAGCGTCTCAAATTCATAATGTGTGAGGAAAGATCGACCGATGGACTTACGTAAATATCGCTTGACCGTTTGCACCATTCGTTCGTAGAACCCGCCCATCCACGGAGCTAGTTCTGTGAAACCCAGCCATGAAGGGTTTGATGATGGCGAGCTCTCATGGTGTGATATGTGCTAAAGCGAATACTTGCTCAATCCTGTTCCTTTTTCTGTTTGTTCGTGTTGTTCTTCTCTTTATAGTACAACATACTGATGATATTGTGCAGCAAAGTAAACGCAATATCCAGGTAAATGCTTTGAGTGCATGTATGGCAAGTCTGTGGTGGTGAAGTGATGTACTGTCCATCAGTTGAGGTCATTCTCTCTACAGATGATACGTTCATTTGGTTCTCTTTTGCACTAAAAAGTACTAGTGACGCCAGGGCATGTGGCACTGGAAGGGACTCTCTCTCTCTCTCTCTCTCTCTCTCTCTCTCTCTCTCTCTCTCTCTCTCTCTCTCTCTCTCTCTCTCTCTCTCTCTCTCTCTCTCTCTCTCTCTCTCTCTCTCTCTCTCTCTCTTCTTCTCTGACTGACTCTCTCCTCTCTCTCTCTCTCTCTCTCTCTCTCTCTCTCTCTCTCTCTCTCTCTCTCTCTCTCTCTCTCTCTCTCTCTCTCTCTCTCTCTCTCTCTCTCTCTCTCCTGTCTCTCACTTTATTCCTTCTCTCATTGTTGTCTTCACCCATGTCTGTGTGTTTGTGTTTTTACTCCAGTCGCATACCACGAGATATCAATCATGACATTAGCCCGAACAAGTGGTTGACACTGCCAAGCTCAGCTGAGTGCTCAAACCGTCAATCTTCATTCAGCAGCCATCATTCTTTTGAGATTGTTTTTATCTCATTTACAACAGCAATCTGATGATCACACCTTCAATAATACTTTATTCATGTTACTCCACAAAATTATTACCAAAATCATGTCATCTATTTATTCGACTTTGTCTCTTTAGGTGCTTCAGCTTGTGTTTTAAAAAGTTAGTGTATCGTGGATTCCACTTGAGAGAGATGCTAGACATTGAAAGTTACACATCGATTTTTGTATTCTTGTTTTCGTCTCCGCATAGGCTTTCTGGCATTACAGTATGCCACATCAGTCAAATTGAATCTTGATACGATCAAGTGCAGCATGGCTTGGCGCTGGTATTGTTGATGTTTGAGTATGTGTGCCTGCAAGAGTACATGGCCACCCTAGTAACACACAAGTCACGTGACATCATCAGATTGTAACTACTACAGGCTCTCCAACCGTCCTGCTTTGGACCAAAAACATTTGTATACATTTACATGGAAGGCAAGTGCCTTAGCATACATATTATATGGGTGCCCTGCTTTGGAATGGTCGCAACGTTGGACAGATTGCTACTACAATAATTATTATAGTTTCATGCATGAAGCTAGTAGTCACAACCGGGTGATGCGTGGTGCTCCGTGACTTGTGTGTACAATAGCTCCATTCGAATGAATATTGAGCACTCCACCGAGCCGGAGGACTCTTCATTTGTAATCCCTGGAGTATGTACTCTTGCAAATGGGGCTTATCCCACCACAGTCCACAGGTTCAGGATACGTCTCATAATAATGTGTACAGTGCGCATTGCATCATAAAAAAAATGACGTCCACTTGAAACTCTGTCAGGACCGCACCAATAGCAATACTGGAGTTGTGCACTCTGGGGGGATATGTACTCTTGCCGTCTTGGTGTAACTACGGTGCTGGCCAAAGAAATCCAACCTCATGAATAGAATAGCGCTGGGCCATGGGCACTACATGTGTGCAGCCCTAGCACTGCACAGTCATACTGGTATGTGCACTGGAACGGGGTGCTACTTTATTCACGAGATTGGATTTCTCAGGCGGCTGAGGCCATAGTATTGTGGTCAACTGCATGGATATTATGCCTGTACGATGAAACATCCCTCTCCCCATCACATGCACACATACACCACAATATGTACATGTACATGTACCTGCTCGCTGCCACAAGCTGACCATGTACGCGGATGTCCTCCAGGCAGAGAGAGAGACGGCAGATCAGCAGAAATGTTGGAAAGATGTGACTTGTCTGGCTATTGAACCACCCAATAGGCAACAACCCCACCAAATCCCCAGACCCAGACTTGGCTGTGTGAACTGGAAAGCACCAGAACACTCCTGGACCCACTGCACATCAGCAGTAAGTGAATGAGGACAACTTCAAAAGGTGCAGAAAAAGGATTGAATGCATCAGGTTATGCACCCAACTGCATTTTACCTTTCCCCCAGTGAAGGTAATGCTTAGCACAGGTGTGGGTTGCTGAACCAGAGTGGATCTGATAATAGGATTCACGGTCACTGATGATACGTAACGTAACTGCCGAGTACACTTCCAGGAGGAAGCACACAGTGCTGCTCAATGAAATCCAGTGGCGTCACTCATGTGTGCACCTTGCACCATTCCGCAGCCCAGTGTCCACAAGTCTAGCGCTGTGCAGGGCCCGGCGCGTACTTGAGTGACGCGACTGCATTTCATAGAGCAGCGTTGTACATGCATAGAGCCTAAAGTGAGCATGTCTAGAATGCACCAGGATACAGCGTACACCTCCAAGCAGCCGAGCGATAAAGTGGCAACAGACCTACTGTGACCATTATCTGGCATACACGCAGCCACCAAATAAATTAGCTGGCACGTGAGTGCACATACACGCGCACACAACACACAAGTGCAGACACGAACACACCCCATGGCACCTGAACCAGCACAATCGTGTGCATAATTATTAAAAATATACACGCCTACACACACACACACACACACGCGCGCACACACACACACACACACACACACGCACAGAGTTGTGTACAGTACAGCCTGCGCACATCGCTCGCGGTAGTGCACATCAGAGAACAGCAGTTCTTACTGAGCGGCCAATAGCCTTGTTAGCCGACCTCATGCTACTCAGGAAGTCCTCCGTTTCCTCAGCATACAGGGGCCAGTAGAGACGAGGATCGTAGTTCAAAATACACGCCAGCATTCGCAAGCAGTCCAGGTTCAACTGCGGGCCAGCGCTTTCCGTCTCCAGGTCCTCGAACAGCTTCATGCTCTCGCTCGCCCAGACGATGTTCTCAAACGAGTCGAATTCCGGCGCCGTCGTGTTGAGCTGGAAGATGAGAAACTGGAAGGTCTGGCCGTTGGTAACCACGCCGTGGCACACCTCCGGTATGGCTAGCTTGATACCGCGCTCATGTGGCCCGGATGCCGGCAGCACTGGTCGGAAGCGGTGCGTGATGTTGACCCTGTCGCGCACGTACGCCTGCGCGTGCAGCTGTCCGAACATGTACAGGATACCGGTGCTGAGCGTCTTGCCAGGACTGTGGAACTTGTGGATCTGGTCGTGCATGAAGTGACCGTTGGAGTAGCGGCGCTCGCATTTCGTCGTGCCAAACTTGTTCGTACCCTCAAGGAAGCCGCCACGGGGTCGCAAGTAGTTACAGCTCTCTTTGTGCATGAATCGCATGCCGCTGTCACCACGAGGACTGAAGTCCATCGTGGGCTTGTACGCGGAGGACAGCACGCTTGAGATCTCCTGGTCGCCGATAGCATACGGCTTGACGGGTACAGAGTTGCGCATCAGCAAGCCCGTCTCCGTCTTGATCATCTGGTTTTGACCCCAGCGTGAAAAGAAACAGGAGATATGCTGATTGAACGCCACATGGTTGGTCCTGGAGAAATCTGTCCTAGGCAGCCTATACAGATGCTGGAAAACAGTGGGAAAGAGGTACTGTAGAAACAACTGCCGTTTGTCCAAGTGCTCAAACACAATAGGCTCATTGACGTGGTTGGATATTTGCCATATGCTGTGACGTATATCATCTTCCACAGCCTCCACAGGGTACAGCTGGCTTGTAGCAAGAAACCTCTCGGGTAAGCCCTTTACTAACCGGGCGTTGGCGGCAAATAGAGATTTCGATAAGCCATAGGAAGGTTCATAGTCTTGAGGGTCGTGTTGGTAATACGATTGCCAGTGTTTACTGATTCCCAGAGGATGGCGGGGACGTCTCCCCAATCGTCTGCCTACCCAACGCGGTAACGCCTTATATCCAGAGTGTCGATAATACTTCGTGTATCTACCTACAGCAAGCTTGTGAGGAGCCATGGCCGCAAGTGGCCACGTCCAAAGTGTGGCAATACAATCACGATGTTTTCAAGTTAGTTCGCATCACATTGAAATAATTGCAGCTAACATTTTTTTGAAAATGTGAGTGTTTTGCTTTTTTTGTTCTCGTCTTTTTGCTGGTGCACCGGTACCATGGGTACCGTGCGCGGTGGGCCGGTGGCCGGTCGCGCATACAGCTATTATTACCAAGAGTACTCTTGTTATTACTAGGCTGGCCGGCCGGCCGTGGATCGCCATTAATTTTTTCGATCGTTGCCTTGGTTATCGAAAGGATGTCGGCCTTGGCACATCGCGATTTGCACAATCATGTAGATAAAAAAATAATGTGTTGAATTATTTTGAAATCAGAAAAAAGAGGAACATCTCTGATCTTGTGTGTATTGGAGGAAGACGTCTTTTTGGCTCAACTTCCAGCTAGTATAGTAGTGATCGAGCCGCCATTCTGCCACTCGTGCCAGCTAGCTCAACGCCGTTCTTGTAGGCAGCGAGCTCAATTTGGCCACGTGAACGCAGGAAAATCCTGACATGATACTTTTATTATAAAAGAGTTTAAAAAAACTCTTATGGCACAGACTCAGTGCTTGATGCGTTTGGCAGATCAGTTGAGTCTACCCAGGCAGGCTACCATGACGATGTACAGGAATTATGTGCTGCCAAGACCTGGCAAGAGTCTTGGTGCGCGCCACGGATGTGTGTGTGGGACTGTGGCCCGGACCCACCCAGCAATGCAGCATGGTCTTAACCGGCACATTTGAGAGGTATGCTGTGGACCCGTGAGTTCATTGTGATCACAGTCGAGCAGAGAGTACACTAACTGTTGCAGGTGGAGTCCTGAGAATTGGACCCCCCCCCCCCCCCCCCCCAAAGAAAAAGAAACTTCTATTTTAAACCAATCATTGAAACATGTACATGTAAGGGTAAAGGTATAGTTTAGGGTCCCAAATTATTTTAGTGGGTCAGCATGCTCTACAGAGTCCCAGGCATGCACATTACACATAGCCATAGGCCTTGGCCACAACTGACATCGAATACGATGTGGATGGACAACCACTGGTGTATGCAAAATCACCTTACGATGCGAACGAAGACGGCGCAAAGGACCATGAAAATCGCCTGAGTTTGAAGCTCGGTGATGCCGTGCGTGTCTTGAACACCTTCATGGGCAAGGGATGGTGGTGGGTAGAAGTCGATGGCGAGTCTGGCTACGTTCCATCATCATTCCTTGGCACTGAGGAGGACCTGCGCGGCGCGGAGGAAGCCTCCTGGCAGAACGACGAATATTTTGACTTCTACCCACCACCATCCCTTGCCCATGGAGGTGTTCAAGACACGCACGGCATCACCGAGCTTCAAACTCAGGCGATTTTCATGGTCCTTTGCGCCGTCTTCGTTCGCATCGTAAGGTGATTTTGCATACACCAGTGGTTGTCCATCCACATCGTATTCGATGTCAGTTGTGGCCAAGGCCTATGGCTATGTGTAATGACTATGTGCATGCCTGGGACTCTGTAGAGCATGCTGATCCACTAAAATAATTTGGGACCCTAAACTATACCTTTACCCATGTAAGTACCCACAACATGTATTATGTATGTCAGAATGCTCACAATACCATGCAGAGTTGTGCTGTGCACCATTAGAATGTTAGACAGATGTTGCAGACACTGAACTGGCCGGTACAGTACAGCCTGCGTGTGCACACTGAACTGACCAGTGCAGTGTGCAGTGAACCCTCAATTATGCCTAGCCGCGTCTTGCTGTCGACATCGAATTATCAGCAGGAACCCCGTACATTTCATAATTTAATATGTAAGCCAATTTTGTTATGAAGGTATTGTATTGACTGAAATTGGTCGTGGACGAATGTTCTAATTCATCAATGGCGAATACCTTCCGACGCCCCTGTAACGTGGTAATAGATTACTAATAATGGCAAGTTCTGAGACAGTGTAGGCACATGTTGTTGTTTGACAGC